CTCTCGCATCATCCCAGCCTCATGCACACACAAAAATCAGAAAATCAGAAAACTGAATTTCTGTTTTAGATAAATCTTACAAGAATTAATCAGATTTATTTTTGCCTTTGTCCAACATTTAGAAGAAACTTAACCTAATATTTTTTTTTTTGGGTAAAGACCTAATAATTTTTTTTGTAATCAATACTTCCTTACCTAAAAAAAATACAATATCTTCATAATCGTTTATGTATATAACAGCTAAGTAGCTAACCATATGTCCTTTGGATGCCAAATCTTAATTTTTTTTTTTTCATACTTTTCAGGCCTAAAAATAATCAGCCAAACTTCTGATATAGAAGATGCAAAACCTAATCAAAAATATTTAATCCATATTCTCCGTAATCCAAAACAACTTTATAAAACTCAACAACACACTATGTATGTATGGGTGCCGTTGTTTTCTCTCACAATAATTTGTATCTGGAAAAAAATTTCTTCTTTCATGCCAGAAAATTCATGAAAATTTACTTGGCCATTTTAAATACTACACTTTTTCTAATATAAGATTAGTTGTAAACAACATACCATTGTTTTGTCCCGCTTGACATTTAGAAATGTAACCAAGTAAAGTACACCAACCATTTTAAAAGTTATACCTCTAAGATGTTTAAGTTTAACCGTTTAGCATACAACGACCAGGAACGTCCTAGAAATTAGCTTGAGAATGTCGACAGCCTCGAAGGAAATCTCTACGATCTCCAAACCTGTGTTATTTGTAGAAACTCTGATTAACGTTCCTGGAAATTCTCGTCGTGAATCGCCTTGTTCCACGAAACATCGGTCATAGGACTTGGTATCATAACAACGTGCTTAACGGATTGAGTATTATATGCAACATAATACGTAAGTATGATTCTACCATAAGTAAAACTAAAGCATCACTTCTTTGAAAAGATGCAAAGGAAAACAAAGCATTTGTTAAAGGTGCCCCTTTGCCAAATGAAATATTGAACATTGATTCATCTTTCTCCACTCCCATTTAATCTTCTCTTCCATTGAAAAATATATCAAAGTAAATAAGAATCATTGGATGGTAAACAATCAGAAGGTACATAAGAAGAAATATATATTATCCCAACGCTAGCCAACATAATCTGTTTTTGGTGTTAGCTATCTCTGGCAAAGGTACATAAAAATATAAAAGATACCCACTCAACTTCAAAATCCACAAACATGAAAACTAAACTTATATTTTACAAAAAAATTGAAACACCAATATTTTGAAACCATCGATAAGAAAGTAAAATTATAGCAGGGATCATAAGAAAAACAATAAAGAAGTGGATAGTTCCATAATAAGAAGAAGAAAAAAATGAATCTCTAATAATATAGAAGAAAATGGCATTATTTATAAAAATTGAGAAGAACAGATGATAACATTATTGGTTTTTATGCTCTGTATCATGAGAACCTATTGAACAGAGATATACGTTATTGGTCCTTTCTTCTCGAACCCATCAAATTCGGAGCTACTATTCTCTTCTCCCTCACTTTCTTCTCCGATTCTCTCTCGCATCCATCACCTAACTTCCGCGTGATTTTTTGCCGTCTCCGACGTCCCTCTGTCGGTTTCTTCCGCAGTCGACGCCTCTTTTAGTATTCCCCATCGTTATGACGCCGCTAGGATGCTCTCGTATAATCGCCGATAAAAATTTACGTCTTGGTGTTTTTCCCCACCGTCACGATCACACTGGTTTCCTGGCTCTCTCTACCGGAGATTCCCGAGGTTTACGAGTCGTGTTTGGGGACGAAGGTGATGTCTTTGTGGCAAAAGAGCGATTTTTTTTCTTCTTCGCGAATTTTGAAAATATTAGTGCAACCGATTATTAATTTGGGAAGCGTATAAGTGTTCTTCTTCTTCTTCTTCTTTTTCGATCATTACGTATGTTTTTAATAATCTCTTCAACATCAAATAAAGTTGAGAAAAAAGGAGAAATGAAATGGGAGAACAATATACCACTCTTGACCACGAGATGGATAATTTTTAAATTTAAAATGAAAACTGAAAAATGATGTACTATTAAACAATATATATATATATATAGAACTGAAAAGAAATCATTATAAAAAGTTGCAACTGTTAGTAAAGTTAGGCGGTTATAATAAAAAGATACAACCCTTTAAATAACCCTTTAGGTGATGATTGGTTCTCCCGCTACCACCCGCAAACGCAGCGTTTGCGGTTCGTAGCGGTTCTTAGCGTTTTATAACAATCACGACAACCGCTTTCAACCGCTCTATACCACTCTGTACCGCTCTATATCGCTGAAAATCAAAAGCTCCTTTCCGCAAGCGTTTGCGGTTGCGGGCGGTTGCGGTTTGAAAAAAAAAAAAAAAAAACATAATATCTCCAAATTTGGAATAAGGGTATATTTTTTTGAAAAATACCATAATTATGTTTAAAAATTTCGAAAATACCCTAAATTTTTTCTGTTTTGAAAAATACACTTTTAAAATGTAAAAAGTATGTTTTGACGTGATTTAAACAAAAAAATAATAAATAATTACAAATTATAAACGAAAATTTAAAAAAATAATAAACTAATAAGTTTTTTTTCAAATAAATATAGTATATGTTAAACTGAAACAAATTTTAATATTTTGGATCTTTATATAAACAACTTAACCTCATACACATTCAAACCAAATGAAACTTTAAATAAATTAAAACTTTACATATATTTAAAGTTTATAAATTATTAAAAATTTAAAAGTGGAGAAATATATCTTTCATTTTTAATGTTTATCTTTTGAAAAATTTAAATATTTTTGAAACTTTGCATAAACAACTTTAATCTCACCCCATTTAAACTTTATATAAACAATCTTATATTTTTATTAAATTGTTTAAAAAAAACTAAACAGGTAATTAGGATGTTAAAATGATACAAAATTATTATCAAATATTAATATTTTATATTTCTTATTTGAATTTCGTTTTTATTAAATTAGGAATAATCATTTTACATATAAAAAGTGTATTTTTCAAAACCAAAAAAAATAAGGGTAGTTTTCAAATTAAAAATTCATCAAAAAATATATTTCAAAAAAAAATTATTAATATGGTTATAAATGTTTTGAATAATTATATATTATTTTTATTTTAGTAACTTTTGGTTAAACCGCTCTTGCACCCGCTGGCTAACCAGTCAAAAATATCCCGCAAACGCAACCGCTATGAATTGCTATACCAGTCGTACAAACAGCTTTTAATCGCAAACTCCCGCTTCCGCAAACTCCCGCAGCCGCAAACTCCCGCAACCGCAACCGCAGCGGTTAAACCAGTCAGACCCTATCCATGATGATCTATGCTTCGCTAAGAGAACTCTTGATCGTTTGAGATCACAGTTATAACCTGAACAAACGACTTCGTCACAAGTTTGCTGCAACAACACAAAAGATTCCATTCATGTCGTAAGAACTTTATAAACCGAGGCTTAGCAAAATAATAACTAAAAACATAAGAGAAAGCCAAAACTTTCTAATGCAGACAAGATAAACAATACGGCGACCATCAGAAGATCTGGTAATGCGAGCAAGTTGAGTAGACAAGATTACTTTAAAACTGCCAATTTCCGTGCTTGAGTTTACAATAAACAAAGGAATTTTGATTAGAATGTAAAACTGGTTTTCAAAATGGTTGCAACAGAAACGCAATAACAATCACAAATACACAAGGAGATACAATGAGTATACATACAAATCACATGATTAAGTCAAATGCCTAATCAAGAACAAGATTCACCACCATGACCACCAATTCGATAAGAAATACTTTGCAGCGTAAGAAAGGGATTATAGAAAGAAATACCAACCGTGAGAGAGAAAAAGAGACAACAAATCAGAGAAACAGTAGGATAGGAAAAACAAAATATTGTAACCCAGGGATCAAATAATCTTATACAAAATATATAGAAGTGAAAATGTATCATTATCAAAAGTTGCGACTTTTCACCAGTTCGGTTATAAGGGAAAAGATGCAACTCAAAAAGATACAACCCTTTAGATAAACAGTTACAGAAAAAACGGTTAAAAACGAAAAGGTACGAACACAAAAGTCATTTATTCAGATTGCTATTATATATAGATTATATTTGATATTATAAAATTTCTTATCTGTAAGAAATTTGTTGCAGATTTCCTACTACGAAATCGAATATATGATCTCATTTAAAAGAAGATAATACTGAAACGACCTATTCAAAGGCTTAAAGCGTATAACATGTTGAGATAGCTTGCTCCACGTTTACAAGCAACTGTCAATAAGTGACACCAATAATACACTAATGCTTTCACGTAAAAATGATTCAGAATCATTATCCAAATATCTATCCATGTGTCTTTTAATAGACAACTTTCTAAAGTAGATGGTCGATTCGTTTTTGTTCGGTTTCACAAATATAAGAATAAGTAACCCAATTAAAAATATATCAAGTTTGATAAGGCTCGGGACTATATACATACCAGTTCTAATTTTAGTTCCTGATAAAAACATATCTTCAGTTTGAGTAACTTTAACACCAAACTATAAAACCAATCGTTTTTTCCTTGTTTGGTTAAATCAGCTCGAATTGTCTAATTGGTGTAACAGAAATATATACGAATACGAATTCAATATTTCTCCTTATTATTTCTTCTTTTATTGGTCACCATCCAAAAAAAGAAGGAATTGTTTGTGTTTAGATGCAAGGTCAGCTGTTGCTTTCCTTAAACGTTAAAAAAAGCTTAGATAAAGTAACTACAAAAATTATGTTTATCAAAGAAAATGTGTGATATATTTATATAATCTCGAGATGGATACTTCCTCTTCAACACGCCTAAAATACGTAATCGAATATTTATATACATCAAACCATATAGTATCTTGAAAGTTTCCAACATAGTTCATCTTCTTCGATCCAAGAGCTTCTCTGATCAGCTCAAACTATAAAAAGAAACATTAAACATCTGAAAAGATTATGGAGGAAGACGACAAGAAAGTGATGAGGTGTTTTAGCTTCCCGAAAATCGTGAGAAAGAAGAAGAAAAAAGAGGAGGAGAAGATGATAGTATCTAGAGAAATCGCAAAGAGATGGAGAGATCTGAGCGGTCAAAACCATTGGAAAGGGATGTTACAGCCGTTGGATCAAGATCTCCGGCAATATATCATACATTACGGTGAGATGGCTCAGGCTGGTTATGATACTTTTAATATCAACACAGAATCTAAGTTCGCTGGCGCTAGCATTTTCTCCAGAAATGACTTCTTCGCCAAGGTAATATCTAACAATGAAGAAACAAAAGCTGCATAAAGATGTTTTGATTGATAATCTTTAGAACTATAAACCGTGAAATTTTTTTTATTTATGTTTTTTCTTGCCAAAACGGCTTAATTTCCTTTCAATTTTTCCGTATTCATCCAGGTCTTTACTTTTTTTTACTGATCATATATTTTTCTCGAATCTAATTTATGTTTGGTAAACGAATCGCGTTGATTTATGTACATCGTGAAATACTGAAAAATATATATGCTAATAGAATAAAAGAATCATTAAACTAAATAATTTGACTAGAAGTCCTTTAAAATTATGGAAATCTTTTTCTTTTTGAAAACTCATCATTACATTCTTCGTAAGTAAGTGATATATACAATAGGGCTTATTGGTTGGAAACCTTGAAAAATAGGCAATGACTTTATTTATAAAAACATGTTTCGTTGGCTTTAAGAAAAAACAAAAAGCCATTGCTTATTTGCTCGAAGAAAAAAGAGTTAGGGTCTTCAAAAGTTTTTGGAGACATTTAAATAAAAATGTTGAAACTTGATTGCATAATATATAAGTTAAAAGACTTTAAAGAAAAGATAAAAATATCTAGCCTTTAAAGTAATTAAAACCAGTCAACTCTAATATGACTTCATTATTATTAATTTTAAAAAACTTAACTATATGTTGACATGTTACTTATGTACATGCATTATATTTCACGTCGAAATTCTTTTTTTCACGATTTTATTATTCCTTAATATCAGTATATCACTAAGAGAAGCAAGAAAGCACTTCTTTGATATAAGTCAGAATTATGCTTTCTTCTTAAGCAAGAAACCTAGCTAATGCGTTTTCTTTTTGATGACTCAAAACACAGGTTGGTTTAGAGAAAGCGCATCCGTATACAAAGTACAAAGTGACCAAGTTTCTATACGCGACGTCAGAGATCGACGTACCTGAGTCATTCCTATTGTTCCCATTTTCACGTGAGGGATGGACAAAGGAATCGAACTGGATGGGTTACGTGGCGGTGACAGACGACCAAGGCACGGCGCTTCTTGGTCGGAGAGATATAGTCATTGCTTGGAGAGGCTCAGTGCAACCACTTGAATGGGTCAATGACTTCGCATTCGGTTTAGTCAACGGCAACAAAATATTTGGCGAGAAAAACGACCAAATACAAATCCATCAAGGTTGGTACTCAATCTACATGTCTGAGGACGAACGTTCACCTTTCAATAAGGCCAATGCTCGTGACCAGGTATGTGTAGATTAGTTTTTAAACGACGATTTTACCCTTTTGATATTTTGCCAAATTTTCTGAGAGAATTCTTTCAAAAAGGTGTTGCGAGAGCTTGGGAGATTGTTGGAGAAGTATAAAGATGAAGAGGTTAGTATAAGTATTTGTGGGCATAGCCTTGGAGCTGCGCTCGCGACGCTTAATGCTACGGATATTGTGGCGAATGGCTATAACCGACCAAAGAGCCGTCCTGACAAGTCTTGTCCCGTCACGGCCTTTGTCTTTGCTAGTCCTCGTGTTGGGGATTCTGACTTTAAGAAACTCTTCTCCGGGTACGTCTAATCATCTTAAAAAAATATATGATATTTTCATAAATTAGTCCTTAAACAACGTGTTGAATGAATGAATGTAATTTAGTAGAAATTGATCTACATGAAAGAAAAAAAAAACATATAAATAAATCAGATGTTAGAATTTAGTAAAATTACAATTACAAAATGCTTGTGATGATCTCATTTTATTAATAGAGATATGAAAAAGAAAAATAGCTAACTATAGGTGTATACGTATTCAGATTTACGTTGGAAGTTTTATGTACTTGCAATCACAAACCCGATCCGAATTAATTACTGTTTTTAGACTCTTTTATACAACATGAAGATAAAAAAGCTTCATTTTGATATAAAACATTACATTTCTTATTAATTTTTAAAGAGAACTTCCTGAAAAAAAAATATATGTATCATATATAATATTCTTTTAGTCTAACATTACAATACTATATTATACGAATAACCGAACTCAAAAATTATGGTATCCTGAATCTCCTGATATTGTGACTAATACTCTGAATTGGCGTTATAAAAGTCTAATAATAAGATTTATGATCTCACATGGTACGTTCTTTTACAAATGAAACGTGACCTATTAATGCAATTAAAACAGATTGCAAGATCTCCGAGTGTTACGAATAAGGAATCTACCGGACGTAGTTCCGATCTATCCACCAATAGGTTACACCGAAGTTGGAGACGAGCTTCCAATCGACACAAGAAAGTCGCAATACATGAAATCTCCCGGAAACTTCGCGACCTTTCACTGTCTAGAGTCTTACTTGCACGGCGTTGCAGGGACTCAAGGAATAGCCAAAGCTGACTTGTTCAGACTCGATGTGAAAAGAGACATTGGACTGGTCAATAAATCAGTCGATGGTTTAAAAGACGAGTGTATGGTCCCAGGACGTTGGAGGGTTCTTAAAAACAAAGGTATGGCCCAACAAGACGATGGGTCTTGGAAGTTACTGGACCATGAGAGTGATGATAATGAAGATTTTGATTTCTGATTTTTTGGTTATCTTTTTTTTATCAAGTGGTGGATGTTGATGTTTGGCAAAAGACGACTATACTCTAACGTTGTTTGCCCCTTTTTATTTCTTTTAATATTTGTTCATTGTAAAAATCTGAATCCATTGTTTTTTTTAAGAATATGTTAGTCTCTCTTCTTTACAAAATTTTTTTCCGAATTATCGACCTTTGCAAATAAATATTGGTTTGGATTTTTATATTCAAATGCGAATCATTTATATATGGGTTTGACTGTTTTAAATTTGCATCTGTATACTGTATTAGTGTAAATTCGGTTTAATGTCATGTCTGCAGTTAAGATGACACGTCGTATAATTAAATGACAGTCCAGAGAGAGAGACATAAACTAGGAAACAAAACTGTTCGTTAAACATTAATGACATTATGACAACATCTATGATAGATATGTATTTATTACAAGTAGGGTAGTGACTGGTTGAAATAGTCAGGAACATGAACTTATGAAGTACCAAACGAAGGAAGTTTCTTTTACATGTCGGGTGCAAATGGATGCACTTGAGGAACAAAATTCCGTACAATTGGGTATTCCTCTGAAATTTTATCAGATGCAATAAAAATAACAAGTCCACAAATTCTGCTAGAAATAACTGAATTTGTTCACAATTCGCTCAAAATTGTTGAATGAATGGAATAGAAACGTTTATCGTATCCCACTATATTCCACTAATGTTTTGTATGTCATCCATTTTGCACCGGTCTTTTTGTTCCACTCTTTTTGCGTGGTAAAATTACTCCTTTTTTTTTTCTTTCAAAAGACTGGAATTTTATACGTCAAAATACATATATCCATGGAACTACATTTAAGAAATAGTCATCCCTCCATATTACTATAAATCAAGCCTATACAATGTATTAGTGTGTGTGTGTGTGATTTGAAATATTCAGAGCTACCAAGTCAGAGTCAATTGAACACCAAAATTTGTTCGTAACTCTAAAGAAAAAAATGTAAAAATGACTTGAAAACAAAGGCTTTTTTGGTCAATAATGAAATTTTGAATATGGTGATACCAAATTATTATATAAAAAGGCACTCTCTTTATGAAGCTAGAACAAGCTTAACTAACAGATAATCAGAGCTCAGTAATCTAAGCTTTGTGTCTTAAATCATCTCTTTTTGTACCTAATCTAAACCAACAAGAGAAAGAAAAAAGAATGGAGCACGCTTCGACCGTGAGATTCTCTAGCTGTCGAGGAGTCGCGTTTGAGATAAAACCTCATCCAAACCCTTTCGCTATTATTGATACAACTAATCAAAACCGCAACGCAAACGCTGAACGTGAGGAATCGAGCAGCAGCTTTCGAATTCCATGGGATTTCATGAGAAACGCCTCAAAAGTTTTTCCTTCATCGATTCAAGGCTCCATGTGTAACATCCGTTTCTTACTTCTTAAAGAACTCTCCTCAATAACTTATACCACAAGTAACCAATTCCGAGTTCAAATAATACTCTTATTAAACCAACTTAAACCGTTTCAACATAAAACCGTCTTTAAACCATTATTAAATAAAACCAACTAAAGTATTTTTAGTTTAACATAATAAATAATATAATTAAATAAAATCCGCCCTTGCTCCCAAAAACAGCACCACACCGATTTGACTCCTCCGGTTACTTTGCACGCTCACCTGAAAAGGGAGGGGTGAGTAATTTGGATTACTCAGTGAGTGTGAGCCTTAGAGCTCACTAGATCCACCACACACATTCATAACCACGGACAGATGTTTAATCTTAAGTTAAAACACACAGTAAATCATCACGCCCTAGTGACGCACCATTACAACAAGGATCAAGTCCTAAAATTACTATGGTGTCCCTGCATCTCTTGCGGCTCCAGGAATCCACCCTTCTACGCCCATGCAGCACCCGGCTCGTCAGCCCTTTTCTGAACTATGACCGCCCACGCAAGACTCGTCATCATAGCTCAACACACAAACGGATCCACTTTGTGGCCGTTACCGCGGATATACCCGCCACATGTCTAAAATGACATTTCTAACTTATCGACTCGCAATCGATCTCACTCTTAAATCACGCATCATCACACATTATTCAATCATCAATCAACCGTATTCATTTTTAAACAACTTAACCACATCTAGGTTATTCTCACACAATCATTAATATTATATATAATAATATATTTATATTTAGCACTCAAATACGTATATTTATTTATATATATACGTAGGTATATGTATTAAATCCTAAGACTAAACAAATGTTCATAATTATGAACATATGTAATGGAAATCACCGCAAGGTCCTCACCTTAGTCTCTTTTGGCTGAAACGGAAATGAAACGACGACTCGGCAACTCTAACACCTTCTCCAGCAGAACAACTCACAGCAACACTTAATCCTACGTAAACCATAATCCATACTAACACATGTCAGACACGTGTATTTCATGATCCCATAATACTCACAAACCAAACCAAAGACGTGATCGTCTCGGCATACCTTCGGGACAATGACAGATCACACCAGCCACAATGACGACAGCAACACTTGAAGGGGTGATGAAGACTTGCAGCCTAAGGTACAACAACACAGCAACAATGGAGATTCAGACTTCGATCTATCTCTCGGGAAAAAGTAACATGAACTGTGACGATGAGAAACACGGATCTCTTACCACAGAGAGGTTTCACGGACGATGGTGACGACTCGGACCAGGAGATCGACGGCGACGACGAGCTGTGGCGGCAGAGCTGAGAAGACGTTGCGTCGGGATGCTTTCTCGACGACTGCGTCTCACGGGAGAAGCTCTACGGCGGTCAACGGGAGCTGTGGCTTCACGGTCGGCGTCGGAATGAGCAGCAGGGATGGCGGCGGTTCTCTCGCGATTCTGGCAGCGATTCACTACAAGAAAATTGAGTAAAGATAGCATTAAAACATAACGTTTTTTTCGATTATGCTATCTTTGACATAAAGCTTAGTTTAAGATAGCGTTTTTAAAATACCAATGCTATATTTTAGTAACTCTTTATCTTAGATAGCACGTGCAAAGTAAAAACGCTATGCTTTAGATACTTAATTCCTGGCTAAATACTTAGTGAAAAAAGAAGCGGCTATTATTTTTCATTCTCCCCAAAAATTAAATCATGAACTCAGATCTATCGTCTTTCTCCCCACGCACTCGAAACGCCGCCGGTCGGTGGGATGAACGACGATGACATGGATCTCGAAATGCCTTCTCCTTCTCCCTCTCGAAACGCCGCCGGTCTTTCTCCCTCTCGCAATCGCTTGTCTGACGAAGCTAGACTTGATCTCCTGTTCCCTCGAGCCAGCTCACCCAAACCCTAACTCACATCCCGATATCCACGAAGCCGCCATACTATTCCATCTTCGCCGGCATTCCTCGTCTCCATCATCCAATTCGAGCCGAATTCCGGTTTATCTAACTCCGGATTCATGTAGTCTCAGCCTTCTACGGTTATGGATGAGGAAGACTATAACGAGTCTTTGAAGCACACCCATACGGTAGGAACCATGGATCTGTGAGCTTTTTGATTTGCTTGTTGGAGTCCTTATATCTTGTCACGGTGATTGCCTAATCCTAATGATTATGTTGCATAGAAACCATAATTTGCTCTGATAGTTTTTCTAATTGATGAAATTGAAATCTTGGTTATGTTTGCAGGGAGTTTACTTGATTGGGCATTCTCTAAGAGCTTGTCTTAATCTAGTAAAAGCTGCTCGTGTTGTTCTTTCTTCATTTCCCTTTTAGGGACTTGCAATTTGGTATGCTGACATTCTTTATCAGCCTTGATTTTAGACTGTAATAACTTTTACTATGGGATTTCAGTGTCAGAACAACCAGTGTCTGAGGATGCTAAGGATTATCAGTCCAAGGATGTTAGCAGAGATTCAATACCGTATTCTTGACTTCTATGCCTCTCGTGGGCATAAGGGGCTTGCAAGTGCGTCTCTTCTGCCATATTATCCTACTGTCCTGCTAACAATTGCAGGAATGCTTCAATTTAAGTATTCACGGTGAGTATCTGATATGAGCTTCTTGGATCAAAATAGAGAGTTTTCGAGTATATGGTAGAAAATGAGTTGTGTGTTGGTTGGTCTTTTGTTTTGGTGCAGTTAAGAGGTAGAATAAAGGAGGAAGAGTTTACAAAGAAGGTTCAGGAAATAATGAGGAAGAAAAGATAAGAATCCCCATTGCTCAAGGTCTTCCATGGACAACGGATTAGCCTGAGGTAAGCATTCTCTGCTTTCCTATACCACCAAGTTTGATATTGCAAATTGTAGTAAGTAACAGTAACTGATCCACGAAAATGAAAGCAGACGTTGTCTTATTAAGTATGAAGAGCCTGCATAGAGTTAGTTTTTAGTATTCTAACGTTGTTTTATGCTTTTTCAGTTTTTTGTCTGATTAAGCCTCATGTGAAAGATATCACAAGACCACTTGACTTAAATCAGAACGTAGGGGCTCAACAAAATCTGCAGGTACAAAACTGAAACAACTTCTTTAATCTTTACTAGTTAAGGGATGATAATGTTCTTTGATTCATTATTTTGATTTTCTTATTGTTGAAAAGATGCCACAGGATCAGAACGTAAATGCTTATCATGATCAACAGCATCAGGAGGAACATATACAAAGAGATATTTGAGGCAAGGTTCATGGGAGCACTGCCTTTATCACTGCAAAGACTGATTCTGCTTCCAGTCCAACAACATAGCTTGCTTACCAGAGAAAGCCGTTAAGTTCCATTCCACTTATAAGTAGGGTAGTATAACTCGTTGGCTATTAGAATTTTTGTTTTGCTTGTGTAAAACATATGTATTTTTTGTCTCGTAATAACATTTACTTCTTAATGATATGTTTTTATAATAATCAAATAAATAATTACAAATAAAATATCTCAATTAAAATAGCCTAGCCAATCAAAATAGCCCAGCAACAAAATTATTGAAATGAACAATAAATAATAGCAATTATTATGTGCTATTATAAGTTATACAATTGCAAAAATAATAAACGCCATCGAAAGTGTTAATTAACATAGCACATGTAAAAGTGCTATCTAAAGTGTCCGAGAAAAGATTGCGGGGGCAGACACAGCGTAGTTACAAACGCTATGGTATCCTATAATAGCGTTTTTTGGACGCTATCTATGTAACATTTTCTTGTAGTGATTTGCTTCAGCAGCAGCGTGTGACTCCTCACCTCTCACGCGCAGCTTTTTGATCGAAGAAGAAGGGGGTGACGTCATTAGGGTTTCTGTTTCGTGGGCTTCAGTTTCGAAATGGGCTTTTCCCAAATTCGACGGGTCCGGGTCGTTACACCATGAGCCGAGCCAGCAGCCATTTCTGCGATTTGGACTTCGACAACGACGAAGAAGACGAAGAAAAAGACGAGTTTTAGTACTTAGAAGGAGGTGGAATCAAGGAAGAAGACTTACAACAACACAGTGAGTCGGACGAAAACGCAATTTCTTGCTTCTTCCGCAAGCAAAACACAGCGAGAAACCGCAGCAGCCACCTGTTCCAAAGAAACGCGCTTCAAGACTATCGATCATACTTCTTGATCAAGAACTCTTCACCGTTTACAAACGCCTCTTCGTCCTCTCGTTGTTTCTAAACGTCGTAGCTCTCGTTCTCGCAGCCACGGGACACTTCGCTTACGCTAGATACAGAGCGGCTCTGTTTTCAATCGCCAACATCCTTGCCCTAACTCTCTGCAGAAGCGAAGCCTTCTTGAGACTCGTCTTTTACCTAACCGTAAAACTCCTCGGACGCTCCTTCATCCCTCTCCGCGTCAAAACCGCGGTCACGTCGCTCTTACAAAGCCTCGGAGTCTTGGCTCCTCTACGCATTGGTTCTCACTCTTAAAGACAGAGAAAACACTTCAACAGCGATCATAGCGGTTGCGTCCGCGATTTTCGATTAGATGTTTTATTTACATAAAACTAGGAAGTTCAAATTGGAAGTTCACTTTTTAGAACAGGCTATTCAGTCAGTAATTTGGGTTAGTCTTGTAGAGAGATTTCCCCTAAAAAATAAAGAATTTAGGTTACTTGGGTCCTGTAACCATCTCTGCCATGGGCAACCTAGCAAAGACCCCAGCTCACGTCCTGCAAGGCCTCTCTTCCACTGGAATCTCTGCTACACACTCCAGTTAGTCCTTGTTATCTCTTGATTTTTTTATATTTAAAAAATTGGGGTTTAGATTCTTCAACTATGCTGTAATATCTTTGTTTTCCCTTAATTGCTACATGTAAGGTGGGCCTACACATTTTCTGTGATTGTATTGCATTCAAATCAAATATCCGATAAGGTGGAATCCGAATTGACGATCGACCTTTCTCGGAATCAACAATCCAAGAGTGGATACAACCTTGTTGTGGCATCTAATGATAAAAGCTGAAATGGATATAACTATATAAAAGCCGGATGCATGCGACGTGTTTGCGACACGTAAGATTTTTATAACTCGCATGATTGCGACACATGTCGATTTAAATTTTTACTTCTATTATTAAGATCTTGACATGTGTCTTGAAAAAGAAAACTAAAATAAAAACTAATTAAAAATTTATTAAAAAGGGGAAAAAATAATTTCCATATTCTAAAGGAAAAACGCTACATATTCTAACGGATAAAGGAAAAAAAGTGGAAAAAAATGAAAAAACGATGTAAGTTCAGGTTCCATATTCTAACGGAAAGGGAAAAAAATATTTTTACAAACGTTATATTTTAAGATAAAAAGGATTCAAATGCTAACAGAGAAAAAGGAAAAATAAGTATCTTCTATGTCTCACCAAGACAAGGAAAACAAAATTATATTTTCCATATTCTAACCGAAAAAGAGAAAAAATAACATTTACATGTCTCATGTTTCAATCGTCTATGTCTCAACAAATCCTATATAATAAGCTCTAACCTTTCAAATTTAATTGTGTGTTTTCATTTTTTTGTTTTTTTCTTATATTTAATAATGTGCTTCCATCTTTTTTATGATAAAAAGAATCATGTCTTCCAAAGTTAAAAAAACAATGGAGATTATTTGACTCTAAACCAAGTGGATTGAAATCAAAATTATCGTTGTACGATATATGTATTTTTCGAAAATGAGAAGTTAGAAATCCTAAAGAAATTAAAGAATATCTTTTGAGAATTGAGATTCTATTAGTTGATCAAATATGCTTATTATAAAATTATAAAATTATACCGACGAGGTTAAAGTATTCAAAGGAGTTCCAGTCCATCTAGGCATCTAGCAAACGCAAACCACGAAGAGGTATGTGTTTAAAACTTGTTGATTTTATGTATTTCTAGTCTTACTTTATGCATTTGATAATCAATTCTGGTTGTAGAATACTCACCCTAATAACGTGGGGGTCGATTTGGAGAACTGCAACATCATAAGAGACATGAGCACCTCTTCTTTGCATACGAGGATAAGGGATGGTCTCGCAACCAGAAAGTACACCGGAGATGTGAGTGTAACCGTTGTGGTTGCTCGCTATACCCAAGATATTACCCCTGAGGTTCTACAAATTTTGCGAGATAACAATGTCGTTTGTCATCACCTGGGATATGGTAATTGAATTTACAATTTCATTTCCTTTAATGTTGTTACTTTGAGTGATTGAATTTGTGTTTTCTATGATCAAGATTCGGAGGAGAACAAACCAAAACGTGATGCTGCGGATAGAGCTATTATTGCGATGATCAACGAATTTGTAGCCGACCCTGAAAATGCCCCACCTCAGAACATCATGGTGTGTTCTAGTGATGGCTTTTTCCACACAGCCTTAAAACCTGCGAGGGATTGAGGCTTCACTACCTTGGGAGCATTTCGCCCTGGCACAAACAGTGAAAGAATGATCAGTCCTTATGTGAGGGACTCCTGGTTATGGAGACATTTAATGGGTCTTGGGGATGATATGGGCTGGAGGGTGGTCGATGAAGAGGTTCAAGAGGAAGAAGAGGAGCCGAGTGTGAAAAAAAGAAAATCAGCACAGAGAGTAGTGGTGTTGGAAGTTCAAAAAGAGGAAGAGGAGCCAAGTGTGAAGAAAGAAAAGTTAGAAAAGGGAGGAGAGGTGGCGGCAGGTAAACAGTTTGACTCAAAACCAGAGCCGTTCTAAGAGATTTAGAGCCCGTAAACAGGAAAAACAAATGGCCCTAAAAATATCTAATCCATTCAAACAATAAGCATAAACAAATAAAAACTATAGCAAAAAACAAAATGCATCATTTGTTTCAAGCTGTTCAAAGACATTTCTGAAATTTTACCAAAAAAAAACAAGTTACAGTTTTGATTAAAGCCACAGTTTTGTAAACTAATAAACGATTCATGTACATTAAGTCACATTTTGATTAATATATTGCTAGACTTAATAATTAGCAAGTACCTTCTGTTTATTGTTTGATTTTTTTTCTGTTTCTGGAGAAAAAGAAGAAGTTAAAAAGTCGTCAATCAAAAGAACAAAGCCCTAATATTTTCTGTAATTTAAATTAATTAGTAATTAATTGCTATATTAATCTAAAATCGTTTTACTAATACTACTAATACATATAAACCAATAATATATATGGGCCCTTCATTTTTTTTAAAGAAATTTTGGGCCCGTAGGCCAATGTTTCAAAATATAACATATGGGTGCTCAAAACACAGGTTGGTTTAGAGAAAGCGCATCCGTATACAAAGTACAAAGTGACCAAGTTTCTATACGCGACGTCAGAGATCCACGTACCTGAGTCATTCCTATTGTTCCCATTTTCACGTGAGGGATGGACAAAGGAATCGAACTGGATGGGTTACGTGGCGGTGACAGACGACCAAGGCACGGCGCTTCTTGGTCGGAGAGATATAGTCATTGCTTGGAGAGGCTCAGTGCAACCACTATGGGTCAATGACTTCGCATTCGGTTTAGTCAACGGCAAAAAAAAATTCGGCGAGAAAAACGATCAAATACAAATCCATCAAAGTTGGTACTCAATCTACATGTCTGAGAACGAACGGTCACCTTTCAATAAGGCTAATGCTCGAGACCAGGTATGTGTAGATTAATTTTTAAATGACGATTTTGTCCTTTCGATGTTTTGTCAAATTTTCTGAGAGGAATTATTGAAAAAGGTATTGCGAGAGCTTGGGAGATTGTTGGAGAAGTATAAAGAGGAAGAGGTTAGTATAAGTATATGTGGGCATAGCCTTGGAGCTGCGCTCGCGACGCTTAATGCTACGGATATTGTGGCGAATGGTTATAACCGACCAAAGAGCCGTCCTGACAAGTCTTGTCCCGTAACGGCCTTTGTCTTTGCTTGTCCTCGTGTTGGGGATTCTGACTTTAAGAAACTCTTCTCCGGGTACGTCTAATTAATTTTACAAGATTTTTGTCACAAAACATACAAAATATGTTTTATTACCCATAGTCCTTAAACATTGTGTTGAATGAATGAATGTACTTTAGTAGAAATCGATCAACATGAAAGAAAAAAAAATACAAATAAATCAGATGTTATAATTTAATAAAAATACAATTAGAAAATGTTTGTGATCTCTTTTTATAATATTAAAGATATGATAAAGAATCTATACTATATAAAAGTTGAGGCTATAAGCCTCGAAGAGCGTCCACATAGGATTATAAAATGAGATCTTATTAGTCCACATAAGCATCTTCAAATTAAGAAAGTTTCCAATTTTAAACACCAATAGTATCATTCCACATAATCATATAAAATTATTTCCAAATTTTAAACAACCAATAGAATTAATCTATATCATCATATAAAATTAGCTATATTTTTAAATTAGTTATTTTTTATGTTTCAAGAAAATTAATTAATAAACGTTTAAATTAGAAACTCCACAAGTCCAACGTAATTAAATTAATATTTTTAAAATTATTGTTAAAAAATATAATTTACTAAATTTTAAAAATTATATAAAAACATTTGTATAACTAAAATATTAGTTATAAAGAATTAAATAAACCTTAAGGTGAATATCTTTGACCAAACTTAAGTTTTTACAAATAAAGAGTAGGTTACACCATAATAACTGAAGAATTGTTCTAAGCAAACAAAGCCAACATTGCAAAAGAGTCGATCTCAACATTACATAATCTATGAATAAAAAAATGGAGATAGAAACAAAAATGCGTAATGTCGTATAGAAGACATATGAGTTCATTTGCAGTTTTTTTAGGTGATGAGAGAGATCAAGCTTTGGGAGCTAAAACAAAAAATCAAGAAAACAATAGCATACTATATAATATTTAGTTCATCGTAGCTTAAAAAAATGGTCGAAAAAGTAAATAGTTTGTTTGGATTACATCAACAAAATAAGAGTTCATATTCGGAGGATAATGGAAGTCAGACAGAGAGGGAAAGAAGATTGATGTCTGGCATCCTTCACATCCTTTAAGAAGATTTCATCTCCATGTAAATAACGATTTTCAAATAAGAGAAAATCACGAACCTTCCAAAAATGGCAAAATATATAAGGATAAAGAGATATAGGCAATAAACCTATTAGGGGTAGAATAATCAGTTTTTCTACATCTTCAAAGAGTTCTGAAAAATGTGTGAGTTTGCCATAAGTTTATTGAAGCAGCTTGATCCAAGACTCATACTGTAGAAAGACATATGAAGAAGATATGGAGACTGTTTCTTTGATGATCACAATGATTGCAGGAGGTGTATCAATTCCATGAGCAGCCAGAGTTTGATCGGTCAAGACAAAGCTTTTGCCATCAAATTCAAGAGGAAATATTTCATTTTTGGTGTAGTATAAACTTGCCAAATATGATTACTCGATTTGATTAGAAACATGATATGAGGTGAGTTAATAACCATTTTTGCAATTAAATAAACACTAACTGAATTTTGCAATTTCTAAACAAATATGTAACTAACAAATTTTTTGAACAAGAATGTATTTATAAACAGATTTAAGGCGGAAATATTCAAGTAAACATTAATATAAAACTACTTCTAAAAAGAAATGTATACCATAACGCATAAAAATGTGACAAAATTACTAACAAAAAATCAACATTGAACAAACAATGATTTAAGATTTTCTTTAAGCCATAAAAAAAATATACATAATTTATATTATATAAAAGCTAAATATATACTATTATGATCAAAGTTTATAAACTAATAACACGATGTGTAAGTTAAATGTACTGAAAAATAAATTATATGTTGTTTATAGCATTTTAAGTTCTAACATAACGAATTGAAGTTATTTTAAATAAACATCGTGTTACATACAAATACTGTTGACATCTAATTTTAAGAATTTCACTATACATATTTAAAAATATATTTCTGTTTAGAAAATGATTAACACGTCACAATAGTTCATAAATTAACATTACATTTTACTAATATAATATTTGTCCTATTATAATGATTTGAATATCTTCAAGTAAGTTTTGGTCATTAGACATACACAAACATTTTTGTTACCGGGATATGATCTAAACAATATTTTTGTATGTCAAGATTTGATCTCAACACGATATTATATATCTAAAAACTTTTGTTTTCCAGAATTTTGGTATTGAAATATTATTAAATTTTAATTGTTGATTTTTGCAGTTTAAAAAAAATATTCTTTAAGAATATATTTTAAACCGATTTAAGATACAGACCCGCGCGTGCGCGGGTGAAAGTCCTAGTAATAGCTAAAACTATAGGTGTATGCATGCATGCAATTACAAACCCAATCCGAATTGCATGCAATCACATCACATAAATCATAAAATTTATAAGAAATGTAATGTTTTATATAAAAATGAAGCTTTTATCTTCATGTTGTATCAAAAGTCTAATAATAAGGTTAATGGTACGTTATTTTTAAATGAAACGTGACTTATAATTAATGCAATTAAAACAGATTGCAAGATCTCCGAGTGTTACGAATAAGGAATCTACCGGACGTAGTTCCGATCTATCCACCAATAGGTTACGCCGAAGTTGGAGACGAGCTTCCAATCGACACAAGAAAGTCACAATACATGAAATCTCCCGGAAACTTCGCGACCTTTCACTGTCTAGAGGCTTACTTGCACGGCGTTGCAGGGACTCAAGGGATAGCCAAAGCTGACTTGTTCAGACTCGATGTGAAAAGAGACATTGGACTGGTCAATAAATCAGTCGATGGTTTAAAAGACGAGTGTATGGTCCCAGGACACTGGAGGGCTCTTAAAAACAAAGGTATGGTCCAACAAGACGATGGGTCTTGGAAGTTTTGGATCATGAGAGTGATGACAATGAAGATTATGATTTATGAATTTTTGGTTATTTTTTCTTTGTCAAGTGTTGGATGTTGATGTTTGGCAAAAGACGACTGTATACTCAACGTTGTATTTCCCTTTTTTATTTCTTTTTAAATGTTTACATTGTAAAAATCTGAACCATTTTTTTCAAAAAAGAATCTGTTAGTCTTTTTCTTTACAAATTTTTGTTCTTCCTTTTTATGTTCAAATACGAACCATTTATGGGTTTTATTGTTTTTGAATTTGCATTTGTATTAGTATAAATTCGGTTCATATGTCATGTTTGCATTTAAAAGACATCATTTTCTTTATATTCATGAATACGTCTAAAGTTAGATATAAACGCAAACCTCTTTTTCATTTTTACATTTAAATATTTATTTTCAAATTATATAAATTAGACCGAAGCTTCTATCTCACTTATCAGTTTCATCGATTTATGATCGTTACTCTGATAAAATTTCAAGTGGGTGTCAACAACTAGTTATCTACCTTTCATTCTTTCTATTTTTGACCAAAGGCGTAAAAATATCTACCACAGTAAATATTTTCAAACTTGTTATTGTACCTAATTTCAAAAGCCAGTCTCTTTACAAGCTCCTACTCGTGTTTGGTCACCATGTGGTTATGACTTGCTAACTGAAACTGACCCATCCCCATCGATCGTTAGCACAAGCGTTAAAAATTCACAAAAAAACAACAATAAAATTATACTTCCTTCATTTCTATATTTCTATTTGTTAGATGTTTAAGAATTTGGCAATTGTCCAAGTCGCCTCACATAATCAAACCATCCGCGACTAAAGCAATAGTCAAAGCCAAATAAACCATACATTTTGGCTAATAAATGCCAATGCCACTTGCAATTTTGTAATTAATTCCCTAATCATATAGATTAATTACAGTTTGAAAATTCCTCCATCCATCCTGTTTTAAGTTTCACACGTCGTGAATTAAATTACAGTCCAGAGAGAGATAAACTAGAAAACAAAATTGTTAGTTAAACATTAAATAACAACATTTATGATAGATATTTATTTATTACAAATATAGGGTAGTTACTGGTTGAAATAGTCAGGAACATGAACTTATGAAGTTTCTTTTACATGTCGGGTGCAAATGGATGAACTTGAGGAACAAAATTCCTTAGAATTGGGTATTCTTCTGAAATTTTATCAGATGCAATAAAAATAACAAGTCTACAAATCCTGCTAAAAATTGTTCTTCTAGAGGAATTTGTATGTCACCCATTTTGCACCGGTCTTCTTTTTCTTGTCCATTTTTAAATCTTTCAAAATACTCACTCTTTCTGCGTGGTAAAATTACTCCATTTTCTTCTCCCTCAAAAGACTGGAATTTTATACGTCAAAATACATTTATCCATGCAATTACATTTAAGAAATAGTCATTCCTCCAAATTTCTATTAATCAAGTCTATCCAATGTATCAGCGAGTGTGTGATTTGAAATATTCATCAGGGCTACCAAGTCAGAGTCAATTGAACACCAAAATTTAACGGTCTTAACTCTAACGAAAAAAATGTAAATGACTTGACAACAAAGGCTTTTTTGGTCAATGATGAAATTTTGAATATGGTGATACCAAATTATTATATAAAAAGGCATACCTCTTTAACGAAGCTAGAACAGGACCTAACTCACTCCAGATAATCAGAGCTCAGTATCTAGCTTTGTGTCTTAAATCATCTTTTATTTTGTTCCTAATCTAAACCAACAAGAGAAAGAAAAGAAAAAAAGAAAGAAAGAATGGAGCACGCTTCGACCGTGAGATTCTCTAGCTGTCGAGGAGTCGCGTTTGAGATTAAACCTCATGCAAACCCTTTCGGGATCGATACAAGCGATCAAAACCGCAACGCAAACGCTGAACGTGAGGAATCGAGCAGCAGTTTTCGACGTCCATGGGATTTCATGAGAAACGCCTCAAAAGTTTTTCCTTCATCGATTCAAGACTCCATGAGCCGAGCCAGCAGCCATTTCTGCGATTTGGACTTCGACAAGGACGAAGAAGACGAAGAGAAAGACGAGTTTTACTACTTAGAAGGAGGTGGAATCAAGGAAGAAGACGAACAACACAGTGAGTCAGACGAAAAGGCAATCCTTGCTTCTTCCGCAAGCAAACACAGCGAGAAACCGCAGCAACCACCGGTTCCAAAGAAACGCGCTTCAAGACTCTCGATCATACTTCTTGATCAAGGACTGTTCACCGTTTACAAACGCCTCTTCGTCCTCTCGTTGTTTTCAAACGTCGTAGCTCTCGTTCTCGCAGCCACGGGACATTTCTCGTACGCTAGAAACAGAGCGGCTCTGTTTTCAATCGCCAACATTCTTGCCCTAACTCTCTGCAGAAGCGAAGCCTTCTTGAGACTCGTCTTTTACCTAACCGTAAAACTCCTCGGACGCTCCTTCATCCCTCTCCAAATCAAAATCGCCGTCACAGCGCTCTTACAAAGCCTCGGCGGTATCCACAGCGGCTGCGGCGTTTCCTCAATCGCTTGGCTCGTCTACGCATTGGTTCTCACTCTTAAGGACAGAGACAACACTTCAACAGCGATCATAGCGGTTGCGTCCGCGATTCTCTCCCTCCTCTGCCTCACTTCCGCGGCTGCGTTCCCTCTTGTTCGCCATTTACACCACAACGTCTTTGAACGCGTCCATAGATTCGCCGGCTGGTCCGCGTTAGGCCTAGTTTGGGCGTTTATAGTCCTAACGATTTCTTACGATCCAAAATCAAGAACGTACACCGACAATCTCGGCTCGAAACTTGTCAAAACGCAAGAGTTTTGGTTTACGCTAGCGATCACGATCGCGATTTTGATCCCTTGGTTAACCGTGAGACGCGTTCCGGTTGACGTATCATCTCTCTCGGGTCACGCGTCACTGATCAAGTTCGGAGGAGGAGTGAAATCAGGGATCTTGGGTCGGATCAGTCCGTCGCCGTTATCGGAATGGCACGCTTTTGGGATCATCTCCGATGGGAAGACATCGCACATGATGTTGGCCGGAGCTGTCGGAGACTTCACCAAATCCTTAGTCTCGAAACCTCCGACCCACTTGTGGGTCCGTACGGTTCACTTCGCCGGCTTACCCTACCTCGTCAACTTGTACGACAAGGTAAATAAATATCTCTAAAACTTTGCGGTTATACTTTTGACTGTTTTTTAAATTTACTAATAGCAGAATTTAACAGCTTTCTGTTGAAATTTTGACTGTTTTTAATCAAACATACTACGCCGACATATTGGTAGGAAAATTTGGTGAAAAAGTATCAACCATAGCTGAATTTTATCAGAAATGTTTTAGAAAAAAGATTGATCATCACAAAACTTTATTTAGATATTTGTTTTCTTCTGAATTGTTATCATTAAGCTAATTTGTTTGTTAAATACCAATATCATGAATATTATCAGCTAAATATATTGTCTTTTTCACAGGTATTACTTGTGGCTACGGGTTCAGGGATTTGCGTATTTTTATCGTTTCTTATGCAAGAGAGTAAGGCCGAGGTATACTTAATATGGGTGGCTAAAGGATTGAACGAAAATTTCGGGTCGGAAATCGTGAACAAGATTAAAGAGTATCCTCATCAAGACAGGATCATAGTTCATGATACTGCGGTTCTAGGACGACCAAATGTGTCGGAAATGAGCGTAGAAGCTTCGAAGAAGTTTGGAGCTCAAGTAGTGATTGTTACAAGTAATCCTGAAGGAAGTCGTGATGTTGTTAATGCTTGTAAGGCTTCCGGTGTTCCTGCTTTTGGTCCCATTTGGGATTCTTAGATTTTACTATTTTTAGTATTTTGGTCCCATATATTCTTTTATCATTTTATTATTTGTCTCTCATTCCTTTTACAGTTATGTATATTTTTGCTATTTTCGTATTAAATAAAATCATAATAAAAGTGACGAGTTAGCAAGATAAGACTGATTCTGGTTATCTTTTTTTTTTTTTTTTTTTGGTCAACATAGAACTTTTATAAAAACCTTACTCTCCAATAAAGGAGAAAATGTTCCAAATACAGGACAACCAAGCCATACCGGCTAAACACTCCTCAACAACCCAAACGGAAATGGAAACAACAACAACAATATTATGGATAAGGGCTATCATGACACTTGAAACACCAAAACCGAAGAGATGTCCCCTGAACTCGACGACCACAGTAAGATGAAGCGAAATGATACCATGGGAATTATTGGATACATTTAGTAATCCTAATCCCGAGATTGAAAATGCATCTAGAGCATGTTTAACAATCAAGAAAACGACGTTGAACTCCAAGATGACAAAGCATCGGGTTACTAAGCCTACACCAAACGACGAAGTGCTTGAAGCCTTTGAACTCCAACTTCCTGCAATAACAACACTCGAACCAAACAGAACATTTGGAAGAGAGACAAACTCCACAAAAGAGTAACCAGCCAATATCAGATGGAGATTAGGAATATTCACACCAAATTGCCACACATCTGGTAAAATAAACTTCAAATTATCCATCACTATAGCAAGACTAGAGGAGGAACTGCATATAACAGTAAACAATCGCACAGAGGCGATAAGATCCGAATAAATCGGTAATGTCAGCATATCAGTACTCTCCGCACAAGGCAGAAGACAATAGCAAACCTGGAAACGATGGAGAGGCAAAACCGACGGGAATGGAGGCGGAGATCTGAGCGATGGAAAGGATAAACAGAGGAGATGTGATGGATGACGGGAGAAAGCGACCTGAGGAGATGGTAATGGAACGAAACATGGAGTGACGGGGAGAAGAAAAGATCTACCACCGTCAGGCGGATCCGGTGGATCCGGAAGCCTCACAACGGGGGGAAAACCACCGAAGAAGGAGAGTGACCGGAGATGAGAGGGATTCCCAGGCAGGTCAGGGGATTTGGCAAGAGCGTAACTCTTAGTGAGCAGATCCAAAGTATAAACAATCAGGGGCGGTGGTTCTGGATCTGGATCTGGAGGGGGAAGCGATAGCGGCGGCACAATCAACAGAGCAAGAACCAAGAGAGCCATGAGAGGCATGAGGGAAAGGAAGAGGAGGGAGAAAGGAGAAGATACTCACCGGCGGGCGTGAGGCCACGCGGCGGCGGCGGCGGCAAAGGAAAAAACCCTAGTCGCCTGCAGTCGCCCTCGAGAGAGAAAAGCGTTTTTTTTTTTTTTTTTTTTTTTTAGACTGATTCAAGTGTGGAAACGAGTTTGTAAGCTTACACCCAAAAGTTGAAAGTGCGTTGAGTCTATTACGAAGACTTATTAACTGCTTTTGAGTTTTGAGTTTTGAGTTGTACTTTAAACAAAAGTACAAAACAGTGCGACTTTGACTCCTAGGTTCTCATCATATATATAAGATTTGATCAATTCAAACCCGTAAAGTCTGAGAAATAAATGTTATAGTCAACAAAAAACATTACTATACATCCGACAGATCATATAAAACAGTTTTGATTTTTAAGATTAAGAAAACTATAAGCATACATTAAATAATGGAAATAAGATGTTGGTCACTCACAATTAAGGTGATATTTAACCATTATACATCAGTCATCACGCTCGTGATACCAATGATATAGTATGTTATGATTTCTTTTTCAATTTCTCATCTTACGGTTTTCTATATAACTAATGGTTTCTTTATGTATTTGTAAAATGGAGGAGATTGATTGTACTCTTCAATTCGGATTGTGTACTTTATGCACTATGCATCGAACGTAACATTATATATTCATATGAGCAATTTCGTCCAAAAAATAGATGCGGTTCGTTTGTTTTCCTATGAATATCTTCTCTATTCTTGTTTCCAATGTGATTACCAAGCTAATTGACTTTTTACAATAATGCATGTCCGAGTTAATTTACATCTTCACCATTCTAATTTTCCTTTAGTAGAATTTTGGAAAGAAGTTTGCTTATCTTGTTTCGACCAAAGCAAAGCTATTCAAATTATAAGAAGTTCTATATTTCAATAGTGACGTAAGATTAATAGATGTTAAATCTTTCTACTTAGCAAAAAAACAATAAAACAAAACAAAAAAATTTATTTTCTGAAAAAAATGAAATGAATCTCTTAAGTCCATTTAAAGAATGAAGACCCTTTAACAAAAAAAAAAAAAAGTCCATTTAAAGATTAAAAATCTGATATTGTCAATTGAGACAAACCTATGAACTACAGTCTATCAACACCAAAATTTGTATCAATATAATTGAAATTTTAATTATAATGCTATCTTGTAAACCATTTAACTATCTTTTATTAAATAAAAACCCAACATATTCATTTATTTCTTTTCTGAAAAAGTTTAAGCATTGGTGTGTGTTACACTGTTACTTCATTCTGTCCAATAGCACAATGAAATTGGGTAATGAATCAGGGGCAAATGGAACTGAATTTAATTCTCTATTTACAAGAATCAATTATAAAAGGAAAATTATATAATAATACAAAACATAAAAAAAAATATCCTCAATGTGGTCTATGACATAACAGATAAATACACTGAATTGTTGTTTCCCACTAAAACAAAATCTATGTACCCAAGAAAATGGTATACACTGAACCACAAAACATACTCAACAAGAACAATCTCAATTCTAATTCTGAGATAGTCCAGTTTGGTTCGGTTTAACTTAAACCAATTGGGTATCAATACGGATCGACCCAACACTTATCATCCTTGACAGCTTTCTTCCAACGTTCCTTGAATCTCTTCATCTCTACAAATGATTTCATCCTCACTTCTGGTCTATTATCCACTTCATGAAACTCTGATGATTCCTGTGAAATCTTCCCAAGAAACAAGCAAAAAAACACACACGTTTATTCAAGAACATATTTCTGCATCAAAACATATACAAACACTAAAGAAGAAGCTCCTACTGTTGATTTCTTCAGGTTGGTATCATTCCTCGCAGAGCTTGAAGAGGTTTCAACCACACCGAGTGTGGGAAGACCGTAGTGAACTATGTACTCCGCATCAACAACACCTACATTTCTCTTCCGATCACCCTACTCCCCAACCAAGAGAATGTGTCAAACAAGAACCGGTAAAACCGGTTAAGAAAGCTAAGCAAAAAAACAAAGTTAGAGAAGAAGAAACCAACTTGAGCACAATAACCAAGCTGCTTATCCAAACCCCAAGCATGGATCAAATCGTTCTGAATTTGAAAACAAAAGCATCAAAAACCAAGAACATCTTTATGCTGTTTCTTTGATCCATTTTTATGGTTACCTGAATCATATACCAAGAACATCTCCAAGCTGCTCTAGAGAAAACAGGTGCCATCATCTCTACCCACCTGCAAATCCAAGCTACATGTTAAACCCTTAAACGAGAGAGAGAGAGAGAGACATTTCAAGAACATATTCTTGAAAAAGAGTTTTACCCGATACAGGGAGGATTGGTGCTATGGTCATCACATCTCCCACTGCCTTTGTTTTTATACATCCGTCTGTGAACTTTCAAGTTCTTGCGACGAGCGGTTATAGGATGATGCACCTCTGATTTCGTAGTGTCGAGAGCCGGTTGCGATATCTGAAGACCTTCTTGTTTCACAATAGATAGGTATCTGAAAATGAAAACGATTTCATCATGTAAATGAAAAATGAGAGAAGGCAAGAAAAGAAAACAAAAGCTTATAACTTGGTGGATTACCGTTGAGGATTGAAATGACTAACACCAAGATCTTCGTCCCAAAGAAATATATACTCATACTCTGCAACTATATCCGGATGCAAGAACCGCTTAGCGAACCACCTGTGACATGAACATCATTCAGTGACCAGAGAATAATATATAAAAGCAAGCATAAGGTAAAAAACAAGAAATGCAAGAAAGGGACCATTTTGTTTGATTCATCACGGAAACATGGATTGCATGTTCATTCCATGGATACTGCTTCCAGTCGTCGACAACACCATCATAATGAAACAGCATTACAGCGAAATCTCGAGGAGGAAACTGAAACCGTAGCAACTTGTATCATTACTCTGCACAAAAAGGTGAAGAAGATCTTACTGATAGGAAAAGAAAAGAAGAAAACCTTTTGGATGACTTTGTTGACTAGCTCCTTTTGCTTGATCCCAACCGCCATGGCTAACAAACTCAACAAACGGTTCTGATTTCCCTGAAAAGAAATTGAAAAAGGAAAGATTTAAGATACAAAAATAGCTGTGAAAGTTTACAAAATCTTTGATGAATCTTCTTGACTGCTGAACAACCTTTTTTGAGTCACTGTAGTTCCATAGATGTTGCGTTTCCAAGTTTGATGTTTTAGCTATTATTCCTTGCGGTAATGCTTCAGTTCCCAATGGCTTATTGAGATTCTAAATGAAAGATATTTAATCATCAAATTTGATATCCAAGAATCCCATGAAAGAAACTCAAACAAAACTGAAGTTTGTTCTTAGAAACAAACCTCGCATGTACCGGATGTTTTGTTCTGAATGTTCTCAGTAATGTTCTGCATCTTACCAGTGATGTTATTATGCATCTTATCAGTGATCTCCCATCTTAGCAATTTCTGTACATTTCAACTCTTATTAATAAAAAATCAGAATACTCTATTTTGTGTTGACTACAATGTTCTTTGCATGTACCAAGAAACAAACAAATCTATACTCTCATATTTACTTATTACCGATTAAACAAAGCATATAGAGCTTAAATGATGTCAGACACAAAAGAGATTTACCTCTTTGAACTCTTTAGCAAGATAAGCATTGGCAATGAAGTAAGCACCACAGATCAGAGCAGTGGTGATTAAGATACTACAGAGACACGATCTATTCATCGGACCCTGCAATTTAGAGAGCTGATTATCAGCAGAACTCAGAGAAAAAAAACAAAGAACAGAGCCTAGAGACAGAGGCTTTAAATCACATATCAGAAACACTGAATCAGCTTTAAACTATTAGCAGTATGTGATTATAAGATAAAGTTGAATCAAATTCGAAAGATCAGTAATTTACAGAGATTTGTTTCATAGATTTTTTTTGCTATGACTCCAATGTATAAACCCATAAGATGAAGCTGTGGCTAACAGTTTTTCGCAAATTATGACAGAAGAATTGAAAAGCAATCACCTAATCATATATTAGACTACTAATCAATAAGTCAATTATATGAGTATGATTCAATAGAAAAATGAGGTCATTGTCTGGATTATTATGCATGATGAACAGAAGAAGAAGCTATAGCTTTCAATTCCTTCAATTATGTGAGAAGAAATGAGACGCAATCACCTAATTAAATTAATTGAGTTTATCATCGTCAACAAGTAACAAACCACAAACAGAGAAATTGGAAATACGAAGGAGAAGAAAAGCTTTTATTTTCACCTGTTTCATGAATTGGTTGATTGTCTCTGCTTCTGCCTTTTGGGTTTCTCTGAAAAATCTGAAGCTTTTTGTTCCTTACAAAAAGGTTTTTTTTTTCGACGGAATAAAAACTTTTGGAGAAGGAAGAGGAAGAGACGAAAGTGAGAAGAAGAAACGAATATCCCGAACTTGAGTCGTTTCAAATTCTCCTCTCGAAAATTTCGATTTCTAAAGCTTTAAAAGGTAAAAAGGATTCAGCTTTTTTTTCTTCTTTTTTTCTGAGTCTTCGTTAAACAATGAAAAACCCAAAAGTCTCAGAGAAGCTTTTAGCTGATCAGTTTCAATCAACTCTGTCGCTGCTTCATAAAAACCGAAGCTTTCAGAAACGGAATTGACAAAAATTGACCTGAGATATCTGAAAAGATGAGAACTTAAGAAGTAGAAAATCTGAGAATTGATGAGGAAGATTGAAGTTAAGACTGTTAGAGAGAGAGACACGTTTTGTGGGATCGTGGAGCTTTTCAAGGGTTTTCAGGAGAGAGGTTTGTCAATTGTCTCAAAGAGGAGAGGAAAGTGGTAAGTGGTGAATACAAATGCTTGATTCTGATTGGTTCGTAACAATTATTTATTTAATTTCTATTTTCATGCGTGTGTATATTTGTCTCTCGTTTAGGAGTTGAAAGTTGAAACCGACCGAGATATTATTTGTTGTCGTCATCAATTTCCAGATCAGATTAATTAAAAAGTTCCAAACTTTATTTTTGTTTGTTTAAAAAAAAAGAGAACTTTATCTGATTTTTTCACCGAACTCTTTTGGTTCTGTTATCGGCGGGAGATTTTCTCAACATCGCCGATGTTCTCTTTATCGTTAATTCAACCGCATCTCCGGATTTCAGAGATTCCGAGCTTCAAATCGTCGACGATACTGAGCATCAGCGATGCGAGACCGAAGCGAGAAGAACAGAGGAACGGGAAATTATCTGGGTTTCGTCTCTTTTCTGGAAAGAAACCATCTTTCGATTCGGGTTTTAGCGATTCCTTCGAGCTAGAGTTCGCCGGAGAGAATTTGAATCGCGATGAAGACGACTCATCATCTCCCTTGGCGAGCGAACAAGTTGTAGATTACGCTCTGCTCGCGGAGTGGCTACAGTCTTCAAGCGGGATGCGACTCATAAAAAGGATTCACGCCATGGCTTTGAAGTGCTTCGACGATCAAGAGATATATTTCGGCAACAATTTGATCAGCTCATGCGTGAGACTCGGCGATTTGGTTTACGCACGTAAAGTGTTCGACAGTATGCCTGAGAGAAACACTGTCACTTGGACTGCGATGATCGATGGATATTTAAAATACGGTCTTGAAGATGAAGCTTTCTCGCTGTTTGAAGACTACGTGAAGCACGGGATACGTTTCACGAACGAGAGGATGTTCGTGTGTTTGCTGAATCTGTGTAGTAGGAGATCAGAGTTTGAGCTAGGGAGGCAGGTACATTGTAGTATGGTGAAAGTCAGAGTTGAGAATTTGATTGTGGAGAGCTCTCTTGTTTACTTTTACGCTCAGTGCGGCGAATTGACGAGTGCGTTGAGAGCGTTTGATTTGATGGAGGAGAAAGATGTGATATCTTGGACAGCGGTTATATCGGCTTGTTCGAGGAAAGGGCATGGGAAGAAAGCTATAGTGATGTTTACTGGAATGTTGGAGCATGGTTTTTTGCCTAACGAGTTTACGGTTTGTAGTATCTTGAAAGCGTGTAGTGAAGAGAAAGCGTTGAGATTTGGGAGGCAAGTGCATAGCTTGGTGGTTAAGAAGATGATCAAGAAAGATGTGTTTGTAGGGACTTCGCTGATGGATATGTATGCAAAGTGTGGGGAGATTTCTGATTGCAGGACAGTATTTGATGGGATGAGTAATAGGAACACGGTGACGTGGACTTCGATCATCGCTGCGCATGCTCGGGAAGGTTACGGCGAGGAAGCTATTAGTCTCTTTAGGTTGATGAAGAGGCGGCATTTGATTGCTAATAATTTGACGGTGGTGAGCATTTTGAGAGCGTGTGGATCTGTTGGGGCTTTGTTGTTGGGGAAGGAGCTTCATGCTCAGATAATCAAGAACTCGATCGAGAAGAATGTGTATATTGGAAGTACTTTGGTTTGGCTGTACTGCAAATGCGGAGAGTCTCGTGCTGCTTCCAATGTTTTTCAGCAGTTGCCGTTTAGAGACGTGGTTTCATGGACGGCTATGATCTCTGGATGTTCGAGCTTAGGGCATGAATCGGAGGCGCTTGACTTCTTGAAAGAGATGATTCAAGAAGGTGTGGAGCCAAACATGTTTACGTACTCGTCGGCTTTGAAGGCTTGTGCTAATTCAGAGTCTCTTCTCATCGGCAGATCGATACATTCCATTGCAAAGAAGAACCATGCTCTGTCGAATGTGTTTGTGGGAAGTGCTTTGATTCATATGTATGCGAAGTGTGGGTTTGTCTCGGAAGCGTTTCGGGTTTTCGACAGTATGCCTGAGAAGAACTTGGTTTCGTGGAAGGCGATGATAATGGGTTACGCGAGGAATGGGTTTTGCAGGGAAGCGTTGAAGCTGATGTATAGAATGGAGGCAGAGGGGTTTGAAGTGGATGATTATATATTTGCTACGATTCTCTCTACTTGTGGAGATATTCAGCTTGATGAAAGTGAATCTTCTGCGACTTGTTACTTGGAGACTTCTTGATCGTTTCTTCTCTAGAAGGCTATGTTTCTCAAGTTTTTATATGACAGAGTTCATGAACAACATTCGTTTCGAGAATAGCACCAAATGTACAAATTGTTTATGTTGAGGATATAAAGAATCGAAGATTTCACCTTTGCAACTTGCAAAAGGAGATAATCATTGTTATACAGTAATCTTGTAGTTCTCTTGCAAAGTTGCAATGTTTAGAAGTTGGAGCATAGGTTTAGTGGGCCTTCCTTGATAAACATGGTTACATGGGCCTTATTGACAAAATCTCTTTTTGAGCTAGAATTATCGATGAACAACTTTTTTCATGATATGATTTGCGACTAGATTATAAGATTCAGTTGAGGTGCCAATAAAGTGAAATGATAAATATTAATAAGTTGGATCTTGTTTATCAATAATCTGAATCCACTATGTATTATTTAATCAATCCTTTAAGTTGAATCTTTAACAAACATTTCCGTAATGATATAATTTGCTATATATATTGTAGAGGATCAAACTTTTAAGGGAAACTTTCTTCAATTTTTGAAAAAATCATTACATTTTCAATTCAGGTAATCATCTTTTCTTTCTCGATTTAGAATGCACATTAGAGTAGACGGTCCCCACTTTGGCACGATAAACAGATTTGCTGCCTCTAGTTCATTTTGATTTTTGATGTTCATATTTTCATCCTTTTCCATCTTATCAAATGCTTAAATAATCTAAAGTATATTTATCAACGACATGATTTTGTGTTGATTATTAACTATTTCGATTCGTAAAATATCCTAGTTAATAGACAAGAAATTATATTCATCAACGACACGATTTTTCGTAGTACTATTTATTTTGAATAATATACACTATGTTAGATATTTGATTTTGGATGATACCACAACGATAATACTTATAAAAACTATTAAACTACATGTTTTTATCTGTTGTGGAAATATTTTACCTTTAAATGATGTGAAATTTGTATAAACTCCATTTTTATATGTTTTACATTTTTTTATGATGATATAGTACACACAAGTTATTTTTCCCTATAATTAAAGTATATACTATAAAGGCGCCTACTAATCTTTATGCTTAGTAATAAATTTGTTTTTATTCAAAACTAAAGCTGTCAACACTATCATATTATACTATATATATATGATATTAAACAATAAAAAAATCTTAAGGTTTATATAGCATCCAAATCGTGCGTATGTTGTTATAAAACGATAAGAAGGTCACCATGCTTTAATTTATTTTGTTGATATTAATCTAATATTTAACAGAAAAGAATTACTACAATATATACAATAGGGTCCATTTTGGTCGTGTGATAAGTCATTAGTTTTTGGCGTTACACTTACAAATACGATTTGCTTTTGACAAAAAAGAATACATCACGTTCGCCGTCTTTTGTTCGTCGATAAAAAGACTTTATTACATGATGCCATTTTCAGCCGATTATCCTCAGTTTGGTTTTCACGTTACTTTTAGGTCGCATGCTTTTTTTTTTGCATATTTTGTACATTGTTTATGCAACAGTGTTTATCTTATTATATGTGTGTAGTGTTCGGTTAATCTTTAATTAATTTTCTTTTGATACGCATATATGATTTCATCGGAATCTGTCCTTATCACTCATGACCTATCGTCCATGGGGCGATCATAGTATTAAGTGTTTGGTTTACTGTAAAGCATATGATTGATCAAATATTCAAAGATTAACAGCCAAATCTTTCTTTAGACAAACTGATGGACCATTGCTTTAAGTAAATAGCCAAATATTATTGACATACATATATGTAAATGTTGAATTACAAAATTTCCAGTTTAGACTTGAATAGACATTAAAAAAGTATAGAAACATAATTGTCTAACTCTAAAAATACACAACAACCACAATACTAAATGGTGTTATCTCAACTGAAAAACATACCTTAAACAAAATTTAGAGGTCACATGATCGAGAATGCTGCTTAAAAACATAATCAATATTTAAGGTTTCAGGTTTGGAGGGATGTACAATATAGGATTTGGCACAAAACTTCTTGGTAATTCAATAAAGAAAATACACAACAACAACAACAAAATAACATGGTTTTGTATGTATTGCTGAAAATGGATTTTACTAGTTCAATGCTATTCTAAAAGGAATGATAGAACAAAAAATATTCCTTATCATATATGAAGACGAATAATATTCCTTATCATATTTGAAGAGTAATGATAATTCCCTTTCTTTTATTCATCTTTTTTTTTTCATTTTTATTTATATTGTTCCTCGAGTGATCACCATTCAAAGCCATCGTAATTTTTATATTATTTACATGAGACAAAATTCTTCTCAAAATCAATTAATACGAGTATAGATATCAAAAGGGTAAAATTTCAAAACTACACTTTTTTCATTGAGTAAAAGAACTATAAGCCCCAAAATCTAAACTCTAATCTAGGATTAGTGAACCCAAATATATATACTAAAATTAAAAAAAATTAAAATATTTTCGAAAATTTCCACACTATAGTTATAGTTTTGAAAATTTGCAACTCAAAAGGTGTATTTCCTAAAATTTCTCTATTAAAAGACCATCTAAATATCGCATCCAACATTATTCGTTCGTTAAAGCCTTAAAGGGGTTACTATCAAATGTATGTAAGAAGCTCTTTCAATGACAAAAAGTTCCTTTCATTTAAGAAACCAGAGGTGAATGTAAGATCGCATACAACATTCATCCTTTTTTTATCCATTACTGTCTTCAACAGTTTTTTCCCTTTATTTGATAATCAAGATTAAATTAAACCAGGACTTAGGCACTGATTGTTTAAGACTTTAAAGACTTTGACTGTTAGATTTTTATTTTAAAGTATGGCTGTCAAAACTCTGTGACTTAATTGAGGCTTTAGAACCATCATCAAAATCGAACATATCTAAACTGTACTTTCCTTTCCTTCCATTTTACTGGTTTGTCAGTTAAAAAAAGAATACGTATTCTCATTATTTTTTTTCGTAACATGATAGTCACAATCAACATAATCATATATATGCATGACCATCTAAATCAACCTCATACCTGCGTTGCTATAAATATTGCAAAGGCACAAAATAATAATAATTAATCAAAAGTAAACGTGTTCTAAAGGCAAAGGATGACAATGACACAGTCCTTGTTTTAGTCGGAACATAACGAAATCTGAACATATAACGTATGTATGATAACGGAACTTAGAACAAAGTATCAATGAAACTGTTAACTTTCGTAATAATCTTACAAACGAAAATTCACAATCTTATTACAAAAGAAAAAAAACAGATTCACTGCAACCAAATTATTGATAAGAAATATCTCGAAGAAATTGAGAACAACTCATAATCATAAAGGAAACCCTAAATAACTAATGATGTTGTGGGTCGGGTCCTCCAGGGCTTAACCGTTCTGGAGTTTTCCCATGGCTGCCCGCAGCTGGATCATCTGCTACAGTCGGGCTCGTAGCCTCGATCGAAGGGCTTAGCTCTCTCACCTTCACCCCAACCGGAGTCCTTTCAAGAGGACGGCTTCCGGCAGCCGCTGAGGCTAATAGAAGAAACAACAGGAAGCATAAAGTGAAACTTAACTTAGCCATTACAAGTACAATATATTGCAAGTAGTTTCTATATCTATAGAAAGGCAATAGCAAGAGAGAAGGAGTATGTGAGGAAAGAAGTATTGTAATTGTGAATTAGTTCACGTGGTGTGTATGAGTATATGAGGAAAGAAGAGATCTCAGAAGGGTTTCTATTTATAGTGATTTATTTGAAGTATTTCTAGTAGTGGAGATGGGTTTAGCTAGCTTAGGGTTTGAGTGCTTATGGCAAGTGCAATCGTGAGTTGTCACCGACGACGACGGTTTTTATCGTTGCATTGATCTTTCTTCATTACCAAAACTTGTATGATAATCATATTTAATCTCTAACCAGCTTAGCAAGTGACCCTTGCGACTTGCCAAATGCAAATTGATGCTTTGAATAGTATTAAAATTTGATAAAGATTTGCCCCATTACGGTATAGTACACATATTTTATACGATCGACATCTTAATATATACTTCTTTGTGTTAATTATAGCCTAGGATTGGCCAAGCCCTTATAGACTCATGTGCGATCCATTTTATTGATTTGTTAGGTGGCATTGTCTCTAGGATGAATTCTATACTAATTCAAAACCAACTATGTGAATATCTCGTAGTGGCTAAATCAGTAGAGTAAAACAAACGATTACTTCAATATAGTGAATAATAAATCTTAAGATACATTATGTGCCAAGATTTGTCAATCCCTTATTGACTCATATATGTGCTTTAAACGCTCGCCGATTTGTTAGTTTAGCACGATATTGAAGTAAATGAAACCTATTAATCTCAAAACATGTACTACCAACTATATAAATACTATAGTGGTAAAGTTGTTGATAGGACTAAGTTGGATTGTTCACAAATGAAGCTTGAAGATAAAGTTTTATCCTTTTAAACGATCGTTTATCCGTAGTTACATCATCAAACTAAGAAAGATTTGAATCTTATGTATTTACACATATGGGTCTCCCAAAAAGAGCGATAAGACGGCTTCGAGTGCGAATTATAATAAACAAATATGTCGACAAAGCACAAATATTGAATACAAAAGTTACACCAATTTCTAACTCGACCGTCCCTATCCAGTGACAGCATATATAATATATGCATGCGCACACACAAGTAATATAGATATGTGTGTGTGCGTGAGAAAAAGAGAGAGAGTTAATAAATACGAGGTATTGATAATGGACGAGGAGAGTGATTCATGAAAATCCAATAAGATAGAAAAGGAAAGGAGTAAAATATGAAATGAAAGTCAAAGGCCAAGAGCACTTATTCATGGGTTTGTGTTGGTTTTAGATTGGTGTAAGATATATTATAGTTTCTATTCACATTTGATTCATCAGGAGATTTCACTACCAAGAAGAATATTCAAAAAAGTTTCAACCAGAAAAAGGTGTTGTAATTTTTATTACATTTGTCAGGAAGTGGGTAGTGTAGTTTAAGATTCCACTAAGGTGAGGTTAAGTCATATAGTTAAAGGATAAGTTTCCAACTAATCACACTTCTTACACTGTAATTATGTTTCTAACTGAAGCATTTCTTATCCAAATCCAGATTTCATCATAACATGGTGTCAGCAAATTGTTTGACCAAAATATTATGCAACACATCAGTAAATCACTAGAGCATTTTAGTGACAGATGTCACAGATGAAAGTGACTTACTGTCTATAATTTATGCTTTTGGCTTATATATTTCCTTGAAAAAAGCGAGTAAATTTTGACAAATGGATTATCTTCCCAAATAGATCTTTTTGGGTTTCTCTGAAAATTGGATATTTGCCTATTTGGTGTTATTCTTCCTCTGATCTCATTAAGTGCTTTATAATCTGATTCGATCAATTCTCTGGCAAGACCATGAGACCATCTAATAGTAATCTTGAGATAAATCATGTTCGGTGTTTTCTTATAAAGGATTAGAAGGCTAACAATACGAAAAAGAAAACATATTGAAGAATAATCATTAGTCGAATTTTAACATTAAACCGACTAATTACTAAACTAGTAAGATGTACTAGTATATGTTATCTACTAAGAAGGTTAAAACTCAAAACCCATCTATACAAGAACAATATAACCCACAGTCCAACCCAATGAGACACATTTACCTGTAACCAGAAAGACAATTTCCATTCGCTTCTCAGCTGGCTTGTAACTGGTACCACACTACCACTAACTCTAGTTATATCTCAATTCTCAAATGTTCCTAGTTAAATCAGAACAGATCAAACCCTTTAACCAAAGAAAAAAATCAGAACAGATCACACATATAAAGTTCGATATGTTAAAGTCAGGAATAGAATCATACTGATATTGGAAAGAAAATCTGCAAGAGTTGTAAACTATTGAAAAACCAGTATACTCATTGGAAATATATTTTCTGTGTTGGATACATGAATGCTATTGGATGGGTATTGATAAATACCCCTAATTAAAAGAAGTCATACAAAATTTTAAAAATTGGAAAAGACCCATCTCTAGATTATAGAAACGAATTCCAAAACAAAAGAAGGAAAAGTCATCTGAAATGTCTACAAGATAAGGCAGAAGAAGAAGAAGAAGAAGTAGCGGGCTTGAGACAGACACCAGATCTTCTCTTCATGCATTTGGGATCAATCGATAGAGATGGCGAAGAGGGCACCTGACGAATCAGGAACGAAGAGGACAATGGTGTTGATGAGACGAAGAGATTGGTGATGTCCTGAAGAGGCTTTCTAGGATTTTTCCTTCTCATTCTGATCTGGGTTTTGTCTTTATCGATTGATGAGCAATCCAAAGGCTTGGCAGAAATGGCGGCCATATAAGGTTGGACATTCTCTTTGTTGTCGTTTTGAAGTTTTAGATCGAGAGCAGCCATTGATGTAAAGCTAGAAGGAGGAACTGTATATGGAACTGAGCGAAATAGAGAGAAGAGAGAAAGAGAGAGAGATCGATGTGATTGAGGATAGAAGGAGGAACTGTATATGAAGTCAGTTAATAGGAGGGACTTTGAACCAGATTTGGAAGTGATGAATCTGAGATTTGTTTTTGAAATTTTTGTGGAGGGATTTTTGTTTTTGGTTTTGAGAATGGTTCCAAATTTTGTGAAACTAGAAAAAGGCTCTGAGTTATGGAGGGAACTTGCGGTGGAAAAAGTAAGATGATTCTGAGTTGCCATTTTGGTTAGGAAATTTGGTTTTGTTTTTACTAAAACAAGTTTTGACTTTTGACTTTGAGAGATCTCAAATCTTTTCATTGTACCAGTACCAGATGAAGTAGGTTTTTACGCGCCATTTTTAATTTAGGATGTGCGCCAAGAAGAGGAGGGAACCTACCGGGTTTTGTTAATTTGTTTTATTTTTTTAAACGGAAAATCAATTGAATCTAATTAGGCCCAAACTAGAATAGTTTTTGTTGGGCTTTATCTTCAAGCTCATATAGTGTCTCCCTTGTCAATGTACGCACGCATGCACACTACTTGGTTTTGGAATTTGGATCCTTCTGTATTGTGCGTGTAAATTCAAAATTATCAATAATCTATCTTAATCGTGTATGATGATAAATGGTTCCTTTTCACGAGTTTTGCAACATGACACAATTAACAAAACTGACAAATCCGGATCATGATTTTTTTCAGTTACAGTGGATAGTGGTGTTTATCTTTGTTTTTACTTTCCCCATGTTCTTTCTGCATATTAGTTTTTCGACCAAATGTTTCCAGTTCACAGTTCGAGTCGTCCAAGTAAAACGAATTGCTTCCTTTTTGAAAAGTTTGAATAATATTCTTTATCACTTCAACATTAAAGTTTTCTCATGTTCCAAATTTTACGTTTTTCCTTTATTAACCAGCAGTGTAAGAAAGACGATCTAGTACCTTGAAAGGCTTGGACTACTGTGACGCCAACATTTCTGGACTTTTGACGATAACGTGTTGGAGTAAATCCACTGAACCTGTAACCTTAGCCAATAGGACGATGCCACCTGATCAATAAATGAATAATTGGAGTATTCTTGAGATAGTTTCTGAGAAAAGAAAATGTCAAGATTCTTCTTATACCTTTTAAGCAACACTTGTTTGAGTGTCCCTTAAAGTCAACGTTGCTGCAAACTTCTGGACCATGCGGATGTTTCTGGTTATTAAGGGAAAAACAAGAGATTTTTTGCTAAAGATAGACACAATCAAACAATGGCAGAAAAAAAAGAGCTAGAAAAAGGATATCTTGTCTTCATTTAACGGATGGTTGAGCATCAGTAGCTTATTGTTGTTTACTACAGCACGGACAAGCAACTCTTTCGCTTCCTCATGTTTCTTCTTCAGAATGTTGCAGATCTTCAAATGAAACAAAAATAGCACAATTTAACAGTTTAGAAAATGCTGTACTGTGATCAAGAAGAGGGATCTGTTTATTTTTAAAGAAACTTACATTGTCGAGTTCTTTTGTATACGCTTCAGCTTTCTCTATGTTGTCATTATTCTCCGTGATAGGGATTTCCAGATTTGCCATGTTTGTCATCTGGTGATGAGACTTAGTCCTTGGGCTTTCCTTGACAAGCTCCGTGGTTGTATTATTATCTATCCTACCCCCTTGGCTTGAGAACTGGCAAAATCAAATGTTTGACGAATGTTATGTAAATTAAACAAAGAAAGGGTGTCCCAGTTATAGTCTGTTGGTGAGTCTTACCTTCCCTTGCGCAACTCTATGTGTGACCTCCTCAACGTTCCTGTGCAATCTCAGCCGTATAAGAAGTAAGAAGTAACGAAGCAAATATATAGATATGGTTTAGATAGCCAAAACTAGAAACCTGTTTTCTCTCGGAGACATGGAAAAGCGTTTAAGTTGCGGCTTCAGTGATCTATCTGCATCCTGTGGAAAAAGCAACAACTTTTCTTCAAGCTCTAGATAGTCAGATAGATATGTTCATTCAGTAAGAAGATAAAAAAATGTGAGTTGAAGAATGAACCTGATCAAGAGCTTTCCGCTTTAAAGAAGATGGGCAGTGCAGGATTTGTGTTTTGTCTCTGGGAGACAAATGATGGATCCCAGGGCTCTTTTTAACTGCTGGAGCTTCGGTATTTCTCTCCTTTCTTACGGAAGAGCCAACTTGTGGTTGCACTGCCGAACTGGGACGATCTTTATTTACTCCAATGGTCCTACAATGGAAGAGATTAGAGAATCTCAATTGATATCTTATTGTAAGATTCCATACCAGAAGCTGTTGTGTGTTCTTTTTTGTACCTTTGAGTTGCTGCACGCAGATCAGACATGATATTTCCAAGTTTAGGCCTTTCAAGAGATGTGATCTTGGACTTCTGCAAAGATTCAGCTCCAGAACTCAAATGTTTACTAAGCTTCTGAGTCAAGCTAGAAGCATCGAGTTTTGAGCTGTGACAGAATCCAAAAGCAAGCTTAGTTATGCATATCATTCTAATAAAGCTTGCTAGAGATAAAATTTCACGGCTACTAATTCATACGCAATGAGGTAATATCCTGTTTTTGGAATCAAGAGCATGGCAAGAGACAGGAATGAAGTAAACCAAAATGAGTTTATCTCACCTAATGTTCGCTTGCAGCTTTAAATGATCCATCATTCCAGCCACATTTTCTACAGTCTTAGCATTTGAATGGTCCTTGTGGATTACCTTTTCAAGAGAACTGCTAGTAAGAAAATGAATTTGTTACGTAGCTTATATATATATATATATATACTGTCTTGAAAGAAGGAGAGAAAAGCTTATTCTTATGTTTGAGCATAAAATCTCAGAAGTACCTGCTCGTATTGACATTTGCTGTTTCGGAATCCGTTTTGACAAGCTCAGCTGGAAATGTTATAGTTTTTGGATCCAGGTAACGCATCTTTGAAGGGTCCTTGTGGATTATCTTCTCATGAGAACTGCTGGTGATATAGTTGGATTGTTACCTAGCTTATATATACCATCTTGAAAGAAAGAGAGAAGCTTATTCTTATGCCAATCACAGAGAATTACCTGCTAGTATTGACATTTGCTGTTTCGGAATCCATTTTGGCAAGCTCCGTTGGACATGTTCTAGTTTTGGATCCAGGTAACGCATCTTTGACATCATGTCTGCATGTTGGAGAAGAAAATTACAGTGAAAAGATAGTTAGACCAAACTACGAAGAAGCAAACTATTACCTTTTATCAGTTGTGGGATTCATATTCCACCCAATCCTTTCTCGGGTAACTGGCCGGATCTCTTTTTGAATTGCAGTGGACTCCGGCACATGGGATTGTGGTTTTTCTGTCTTCTTAAAGAATTTGGATCTGATAATTCCTGAGTCTTTGTTTTGCATGGCCTTCAAATCAATGTGCCCTGGCACGCTGCACTCAGTTCACAGAATAAAGAAGTTAGCTACATATTCTGTTTCCTAGTTTACTGGCAGCATGACAAGTACCCATCAATCTTCCGGGAAATAGTAAAAGTAGTTTTGGTTGTTTTCTCTAACCTGTGAGATGGAGCCAGTGGTAGCTTTGCACTCGAATCTTGTTCTTTTACCTGCTCAGTTTGGCTTAGATGAGTGCCTGGTGATACTTTTCCTGACAGAGTTGTTTGAAAATGCCCGGCATCTGGACCACATAAAGTTCTTCTAGTGTGATCCTGTATATCTTCCTGAGAGCCTGTACTCATTTCTTCCTGTTGATGTTCGATCTTGTCCGAACATATCTGAGATGAGAAGTTTGGTTCAGCCTGTTCACTCTTGTCATAACTTGAATTCGTGGAGGAAGCCCTTTTATCGTTAGCATTCTCTTCTGGATCTCTAGGAAAATCTTCTTTGGTGCCAGACCTGCAGATTTCATGGCTATCTGGACTGGTTTCTCTGTTTGCTGCAGTGTATGTAGTCTCAGAAGTATGTAAGGGCGAGGGCGCTGCGGGATCATCTGAAAGACATGGTTCGTCTATCTTAACCATTGGACATGATGTCTTCAATGGTGAAGTGTTTACGGGTTGGGGTTGCAAACACATTGTACGAGTAGGTGAGGCTTTTCTCCTTAGACCTTGAGGTGATTCCACTGCATCAAAATTTTCCATGCTCTCTTGTGGAGCTTGCTTCAAGTCTTTGCTACTATCGACAACCATAGTATCTGTAGTCTTGGATATGAGGTTCTCTTTTTCAGCTGTAGCTTTTGCCTTGACATCAGTATTCTCCACGGAGGCAGCTTGTCTAGTTATCGGTAAGTCTGTGCCAAAGTCCAGATCATCTGACATATCAAATTTTCCTCTAGCAGAAAATTTTTCAGCTGAGGCTTTTGCCTTGACATCTGTATTTGCCACGGAGGCAGCTTGTTTAGTTGTTGGTAAGTCTGTGCCAAAGTCCAAATCATCTGACTTATCATCAACTTTTCTTCTAGCAGAAGTTTCTTCGCGATCCTTGGTCTTGGTCTTTGTCTCGCTTCCTTTCTTCGGTGGGCTTGAATCAAGATCAAAGTCGTCCAACCTGCTTGCAGGAAAAGCATGGTGTTAAGTACTTACAGATTGACACAGATAGGATTTTACAAAAGGAAATTGTTGTAATGGATTCATACGCATCAAAGTCATAAGAGAAGGTAAACGGATTCTTTTTCTCTTTTAAATTTCCACTAGATTTATCATCAGAGCTTTCTTTCGTTTTTGGGGTTTTCTTGGCTGGGCTTGAGAAATCAAAATCTGGCATGTCCATTTTGAATGATGATAAATTTCCAAAATCTCCATCCAGATCGAATCCCATATCCCTGAGAATGAGACAAAATATCAGAACTATATGAGACAGTAGGCATTGTTATCAAGCAAGAGCATCTTAGAGTAATGATAAAGGAGTAAAAATTCGATGTTTGAACAACATAAGCTTCGGCGCAAACATGGTTCAAGAAGCATATCATATAGGTTCCACTCACAGCTTAAAGGCATTCTTCTTCTTATTTGCTGGTGCGTCGAAGCCAAAATCCATTGGATCATCATCTGTCATTGACTTAAAGTCCCATGTATCTTTTTCCATGTCTTTGTCTGCAGGTAAACAATGGAAACAAAGAGATTACAGACTACTAAATCAATCTTTTCACAATGGGAACAACATCTTAAGATTTCAATCTATGCCAACAAAATTACACAGCTAGCCAAAATTTGAGGAATAGAACAATGAGGAAGATAATGAAATCTGAAAGATAGCGTGCATGATCTTTCTGATGTAAAGCTTTTTAACACAAAGTTATCAAGAAATTGCACTTGAGAATCCCTTCTCTTAAAACAGAATTTTTGCCGTAAGCAGTTTAAGTGAATTCCTCTATGCTCTAGCAATGCCGAGTTGGTTGTGGTTATGATCCAAACTTGTAAATTTTTATGGAATTCAATAACGTTCAGATCACTGAAACTAACTCTTAAACACTTGAAACGTACCGAGCATTAGATCTTTCTCCTGAGTATCTTTAGAACTTCTTTTAGCAGGTGCAGACATGGCGAAATCTGATCAGTATTACCTCTGCCAACAAACTGCCAAGAAGAAAATGCCATCAAAACCAAAAGAAAACCAAGTTACATGGCAAACTAAACTAGCATAGAAGAAACAATGCTAATACACAAAAATCATAAGTTCCATTGACATTCTTCCAAAAAGCTATGCGACTAGCTAGTAAGAGAGAAACTATCTTAAAGGAGATATGACGCATACGATTATCGGAGAGACTGAGAAACATAGAAATTCAAAACCATGTGATAATCCGAGACGCAATCAATCAGAAGATAGAAGAAATGTAGCAGAGATTAAGCAACGAGATTCAACAATAACTTAGCGAAATCCAGGCGATTCGTAGATTTTAGGCAATGAAACTGTCACTGGAGACTATTTTCGGGAAGAAGGAGCAGTACGAAACTAAGCGAGCTAGAAGGAAAAATCAAACATATTCTTCACATTGATCGAACATTTCCTTACTCAAAATCGACGCAGAATCGCTAATGAACAACGATCGTCAAACGTCGAACCGTTTACAAGCCTAAGCCAGAACAACGCACGACGGTGAGATTCTACTGGCACGACGGTGAGATTCTACGGGAACGACGAGCAAAAAACGCAAATTCGTACCGATTAAAATCGTTGTCCAGTTGATTCCGTAGTAGGCGCTAACGGTAAACGTTCAACGGGAAGAAGACGACGGCACCGGAGAGACAAATCGCCGACGAAGCTCAGGGGGGAGATTTGAATTCGCTGGGCTGTGATTGAACGATTTGGTAATGGATCGTATTTGTGATGTTGAGATGTAATTTGGGCCTTTGCAACCTTTATTTATTCCGCGCCGCTTTTCCTATTTTTATTTAATTTTTGAATTTTATTTGTTTTTTTACTTTAAACAAAATGACGAAGATAGAGAAAATCTATCTCCTTATCCTGACCACAGAAGCGAATCATCATCACCAATTGAAAACCAAATTTCTCAACTGAGAAGAAGCCAATCAGAAGCTGAGTGAAAGCAAGCTCACACAAAAATGGCGTCTCTTCTCGGAACTTCTACTTCTTCTTCTGCAATCTGGGCTTCTCCTTCTCTCTCTTCTTCTTCTTCCTCAACACATTCGATCTCCCCCATTTGCTTCAGGCCAGGTAAGCAACAAATCACTCAAAACCTTAAACCCTACTGTTTTCTCAATTTTGAATCGAAGAGTGAATTCTTGTTTACAGGAAATTTTTTGGGGAGAAAGCTAAATGCAGGAATCCAAATAAGGCCAAAGAAGAACAAGTCTCGTCACCATGTCTCGGTTATGAATGTAGCCACAGAAATCAACTCTACTGAACAAGTACGAGTCTTTTTTCTTTTTAATTGCATTTTGATGATGTTCACATAAAGTTTCAGACTTTGCTTGGTTTTACAAACTTAGTATGTAATGGTGATTTTGTGTGTTTAGGTAGCTAAGTTTGATTCCAAGAAGAGTGCAAGGCCGGTTTATCCATTTGCAGCTATAGTAGGGCAAGATGAGATGAAGCTATGCCTCTTGTTGAATGTGATTGACCCAAAGATCGGTGGTGTGATGATAATGGGAGATAGAGGAACCGGGAAATCCACAACGGTTAGGTCTTTAGTCGATCTGTTACCGGAGATTGAGGTTGTTGCAGGTGACCCTTACAACTCGGATCCTTTGGATCCTGAGTTTATGGGAGTTGAGGTGAGAGAGAGAGTCGAGAGAGGAGAGAAAGTTCCTGTTGTTGCGACTAAGATCAATATGGTTGATCTTCCATTGGGTGCAACGGAAGATAGAGTTTGTGGAACAATTGATATTGAAAAGGCTTTGACGGAAGGTGTAAAAGCCTTTGAGCCTGGCTTGTTGGCTAAAGCCAATAGAGGGATACTCTATGTCGATGAAGTTAACCTCTTGGATGATCATTTGGTTGATGTGCTTTTGGACTCAGCTGCTTCGGGTTGGAACACGGTTGAGAGAGAAGGGATTTCGATTTCTCACCCGGCGAGGTTTATCTTGATTGGTTCTGGAAATCCTGAAGAAGGAGAGCTTAGGCCACAGCTTCTTGATAGGTTTGGTATGCACGCGCAGGTAGGGACTGTTAGGGATGCTGATTTGCGAGTCAAGATTGTGGAAGAGAGAGCTCGTTTCGATAGTAACCCCAAGGACTTCCGTGATACTTACCAGACAGAGCAGGACAAGCTTCAAGACCAGATTTCAACTGCGAGGAGCAACCTTTCCTCGGTTCAGATTGATCGGGAACTGAAGGTGAAGATCTCTAGGGTGTGTTCAGAGCTCAATGTGGATGGGTTGAGAGGAGACATTGTGACTAACAGAGCAGCGAAAGCACTTGCAGCTCTCAAAGGAAAAGATCGAGTAACTGCAGAAGATGTTGCAACCGTTATCCCTAACTGCTTGAGGCACCGTCTCAGGAAAGATCCACTGGAATCTATCGACTCTGGAGTTCTGGTCTCCGAGAAGTTCGCCGAGATTTTCAGCTGATTATTTTCTTGACTCTTCCTACTACTCTGTAAACGGTGAGAAGAAGCAGAAGCAATAAACAGGCAAAACTGATTGAATATAGAGTTTATGCTTTTTCTTCATTAAGTTGACTTGTTCAATACATAGACTCAAAAGAGCTCTGGTTTTTTTGTATTCTCAAAACATTTTATGCTTTCTCCATTAAGTTGAGTTGTTCAATGATATAGCTCTGTTTCTTTGCATCTACAAACATTCTTGAATTGATTTAGTCTAAACAAAAACAATCAAGAAACGTTGTCAGAACTATCTTGAAGCTTCCTGATTAGAAGGACATAGCGTTTTGCCGGTTCTGGTAAAAGTGTGGAGCAACTTCTGTCAGCCAAGAAGGATTAATGGTGACGACATTCCTCATGTATTGACGCTCTGTTGAGACAATGGATTGGTAAACCACCCATTTCGGGTTCACCCTGAAGATCGTAAACCAAATCAGCTTTCACATTCAAACTTTTGATGTTATCAAGGTTTTTGTCGAATCCATAGCAGCAGGATACTACTAACCTGAACAAGACAGATGACGGGTGAATATAAACTTCTTCAGCGCCTCTAATGGTCTTGTATACCCCATTGCTGTGTGGCTAAACATCATAAGAAAAAATGTTACAGTTTTGATTACTCTATAAAACAGAAAAACGATGTGCAGCAACAGAGAACTGAAACAGGTCACTTACTTCTAACCGGCATGCATTGGCGAAAAACCCTGCAGTCACTGCTTTTCTCACAGCCTGAAAACATAAAAATATCATTAACATTAAAAATCTGCAGCCTTTTTCAAACTGAAGCAAGGTGATACACTTTTGTTACCTCCATGTCTCCATCGCATGATTTCAGGGTGATGCCTAATCTCCGAGCAATCCGTTTGAGTTGATCCCTGATTTCAACAACTTTTTTCTGCCAAAGGAGACGAAAACAACATTAAAATTGGGGAAAGGAGAACAAACAATGTCTACTTGCTAGTTCTGTTATTATACACACCATGGACTGGTAGTTGAGGAAGTTCTTGTAACACCATTGTGAAGACTTCTTCGACTCAAGAAACACTTTGTATACATTCAGGAATGTGACATGGTCACCCTGAATAGACAAGACATGTGATTTTACTCGATCAAACAAAATACTTTCAGTGATATAGTTAGCTCAAAGCTTTATAGCAATATATACCTCGGCGGCTGCAAATCTCAGTTTTGCTTCATCTTGTTCTTTCTGTACTCCTCTGGCAATGACCCAAACGGACTGCATACAAATATATTCAAGATTGCATCCATTTAGTTTCAAATCCCATAATTTAGATAGAAAGAAAGTTCATTACAAATTTTTGCATTTTAAAGAGAAGAAACTTTTATATGCAGAGGAAAAGGTGTAAAGAGCTATTACTTGGATAGAGAGAACTGCAGCGATTGTAATGATCTCATCTGAACAACCAAGCTCACCTGAAGCTAAGATCATTTTCGATATCATTGGGTCCTAGCAAAAAAAATGACGAAACTGAGACATGTAACATTTTCGATGAGCAATGGAAAGTAAGTAACTCAAGCTTAGGAAGAGAAAGTACCAGTGGAAGTTCTGCAACTTGGAATCCTGTTGGCGAAGTGAGTTTTGCATCATCATCGAGGATTTGAAGTGAATAAAGTACTTCAAGTGCCCGGATCATTGCTTGTGGGGATGGAGGTGCAGGCCAATCGAAACCCAATATATTATCTATGCCCAAAGCTTTTAACTGGAAAAGAAAAAAAACCAAAAATCAACAGAGCTCGACCATTGTAGAAGAAAGAGCTCTCCTCTCATCTAGATGTTTACTTAAAGCTTGAAATAAAGACAACTAATTTGTGGTTTTATGTAAGGCATCCCAAATTGTGACGTATCAAGAACAAAGATATAAGACAAGAGCTGAGCAAGTTTTGTACCTGAATCACGGTAGAAACAAGATTTGACCTCTGCATTTCCGGAATTCCTTCTCCAGGCATTTGGTTGAGAAAATAATCTTCGGTATATAGCCTATGAATAATGTCAAGGAATGACCAGAATTAAACCATTCATTGTTAGAAAGAACGAATTGAGAGTTATATATCACAAATCAGACATATATATACAACTTGTAAACAAGAATATAAACTTACCTGTAACACTTTCCAGGCCGAACTCGCCCAGCCCTACCAGACCTTTGTCTAGCAGATGCTTTGGATATTGGTGCCACCACAAGACTTTCAATATCTGAAATCTGTGAAAGCCAGAACATGTAAGTTGTTTCAGAAATGTCCAATATACTACAAAACGACGGAACTGAAAATATAAACAAAAGAAATGGTGATGAAGAAACTTACTGGGTTATAGAATTTCTGCTTTGAGAAACCACTATCAATCACATAGACAACGCCCTGAATAAAAGAAAAAGTTACAGAAAGTTATTCTCAATGATGTTTCAGCAATATTTGTATGAGATAGTAACAAAGAAAGCTTGCCTCCAGAGTCAATGATGTTTCTGCGATATTTGTTGAGAGTATAACTTTTCTCTTTCCTCTGGGAGTTGGAGTAAAGATCAATTCCTAACATAAACAAAGGAGAAAACAACATTTCGCGATTTCAGTACAGTTTTGAATACTCTCAAAAGTATGGTTTAGCTTTGTCTAGAGCCGTGCAACAAATATTAACCTGTTCTGCTCGCGAAAGTCCTGAATATAGTGGCAGAGGGAGCAGTCCTGAAATAAGATACGAGTTATATAATGGGCTAAGGTTGATTGACACAATCTTATTTATGCATGTATAAAATTCTACCTGAAGAATTCTTTTGATTGCTATGAGCTTCTTCTGCAAGAAGTTTAATAGCAGTTTCAATATCATCTTGACCAGTAAGAAATACAAGAACATCCCCAGGTGGCTCCTGAACATAAGAAGATACAATTTAAAGATAACAGCACAAAGGAAAAGAATGTACTAAGATAGTTTAAAAACATCAAACTAACGTACTCGTTCATTAATCAACAATATCGTTGAAACAACTGATCGGATATAATCTGAAACAGGCTCCTCGACATAGTGAATTTTCACACTGAAGCCTCTGCCCTAAGAAGATTTCACCAACAAAACAAAATTTCTCGTAGTATCGCATAGGAACAAGGGTCGAGAGAGAAAGAAATTAAGAAAGATAAGAGTTACATGTTACCTCAACGGATAAGATTGCAGGTTCCAAGTTTGGTCCATGAGTACTACCTTCTGGTGCATGGCTTTTTTTGCTGTTGAAATATTCATAATGTATAAGAATACATCTTACAAGTGATTCCAAGAGTCTGAGACTTGTCAGGAGCAAAACAAACTACGATGGATAAGTTAAGAACCTGGAATTGAAGAAATTGAACATTGCTTTTGCTTCGATTGTGGCTGACGAGATAATCAGGCGCAGCTCAGGGCGACGACGTTGTATCTGAGATTAACAATTTATAGAAATTGAGGAAAGCAAACTGTAAACTACAAGAGTTAAGCAAAATTTAACGAAGTCTTAATGCTATACCTTTTTCAAGAGACCAAGTAAAATGTCAGTTGATATAGATCTCTCGTGAGCTTCATCTACCATAATAACACTGCACAATGACTCAATGAACAAAAATAAGAGTAGGTTTTACTTTTACCAACACGATTTACTAACCTAAATCATAACCGATAGAGATTATGCTGTGCAACAAAAAAATCATTACCTATACTTTGTCAAGAGAGGATCCTCCATCATCTCTCGGATCAGTACCCCATCTGTGAGAAATTTCACACTAGTCACACCCTGTTGTAAACGAATCAAAACATGTTTTTTTAAGCATCATCACAATATTCCATACGATAACAAACAAAAAGTACAATAGTGTGACAAGGCAAGAGTCTTACGGAAGTTGTATGATCTTCAAATCGAATGGTGTATCCAACTTCATCCCCAAGATTAACTCCCATCTCTTCAGCCACTCTCGCAGAAACCGACTAAGCAAATTTCAAAAACACTAGAAGTGATCAAGCACAATATTTCCAAACTTTATCTTTTAGACATCAATCTTCAAATTTGGAGCTCTAACAAACCTGAACAGCTAAACGTCTTGGCTGTGTGCAAGCAATAACTCGGCCTCCTTCTGCCCATCCAGCTTCTTTAAGGTACTGCATCAAATAGTATGCATAGACAAAGCGTTACCAAAACTTTCTCCAAGTTTTCCAGTATCTTCAACTTCCCCAACAGCTACTGAGCTCAAACATCGCAGCATTTTACAAGATTGAGTAATTTTTATGCATCTCTATCTACATTGCAACTACCTTCAGGCTTTGACTAAAATCCAAATTCATAATCTTTGACTCCTATCAAAAGCTGCCTATTGGTCTAAGAACCCTGAGAGATTAGCAAACAAAATTGAACTCTGAGCAAAGAAGAAAGGAGAAACCTGAGGAATCTGGGTAGTTTTGCCACTGCCAGTCTCGCCGACGATAATGGTGGTGGCGTGATTCTCCACCAAATACAGAATCTCAGTCCTGTACTTGTACACTGGCAATCTCTGCCTCTGCTTCTCCATATTCGCATACCCATAACTACAATTTCCACCGTAAGTACACAATCATCTTCAAAACCAAGTACGCGTATTGCCAGCAGCAAGAGAAAGAGAAAAATCGGCATACCTCGAAGAAGAAGAAGAGGAAGCTGGATTGTTGGACATGAACACTATGCCTCCTTCTTCATCCTCGACGAAACGAGGTTTCTCGGTCCCTGGTTTCCAAAACGCCATCTTTTTTTCTCGCCCACGACCTTTGCCTTCGTCGGTTGAGTTTTATAAAAGGCTTTTCCCACTGATTTTTCCACGGCGGAGGAAGTCTCGGCGACACCTCAAAGCTTCCTCCGCAATTGGTTACGTTTCGGTTCGGTTTATCAAAAGATTCGATTTGTCAACATTTGGGTTTGGTTTATTTCCAATTTAATCGGAACCGATCATGTAAACAATTTTCAATTTTGGTTTAGGAAAAATGTATAGTGTTGCTTCTTCGTCTGCGTTACCTTCTTCTTCCCACACCATTCTACTCCGCAACAAGCTCTCGCCTTTTCTCCTCCGCCGCAATCACAGCCACCGACTTCGCCGTCGTACTTCTCAGATCAGAGCAATGAGAGCTTTGATCCAGAGAGTCTCATCTTCCTCCGTCACGGTCAGTTTTTGTTATAGTCTTTCTTTCTCTCGAGATCAAAATTCTCTTAATTGAGCTCTGAGATATCAACAGGTGGATGGTAGAATCGTGTCGGAGATTGGTCCTGGTCTCTTGGTTTTAATCGGAATCCATGAATCAGATACCGACGCTGACGCTGATTACATGTATATGCTGTTTTACACACAATCTTATCTTCAAATTCTCCTATCTAAAATTTGCAGATTCTGACACGTTTAAACATTGTTATAGATGTCGAAAAGTTTTGAACATGAGATTGTTCGATAATGAAACCACTGGCAAAGGATGGGACCAAAATGTAAGTTTGTGTCAACAGTAAATTTGTTTTCTTTAGTAAATATTTAAGAACAAAATGCAAACTTTGTGTTGCTGCTTTCTTTCTTTGCAGGTCATGCAAAGGGATTATGGAGTTTTACTTGGTAATGATTGACTAATGCGCATCTTTATTAGCTTTTGGTTTCTCTGATCAATTGGATCATGTGTTGTTGTTGTTACAGTTAGTCAGTTCACATTATACGGATTCTTGAAAGGCAACAAACCTGATTTTCACGTCGCAATGCCACCTGAGAAAGCAAAACCGTTTTACGCTTCTTTGGTCGAGAGATTCCAGAAAGCATATAGTCCTGATGCAGTCAAAGGTATACAACACATTATAAAGCCTCTCGTTGATCTTTCTTGGTCAAAACTTTGTATTCTTCTTGACTGATATGGTTTGACTCTTTTAATTTCAACAGATGGTGTGTTTGGAGCTATGATGAAGGTAAATAGACTAATCCTTTCAATAGCCAACTTTAATTCACTATCTTGTGTGATTAAAACAAGTTCTTTTGCTTATACATTTACCTTGAATCACATTAAAAGGTCAATCTTGTAAACGATGGTCCAGTCACAATGCAGCTCGAATCACCCCAATCCTCCAAGTAAAGAACTTATCTTGGTTGCATACACTATATACAAGGCATTGCCGCATTTGTTTGTTACTAAAGCAAAGTCTGGGTTTGGTTTCAGGAATGGGACAAAGGCGTCAACAGAATCATAAGATCACTCATTTTGTATCGGCGAAGCTAAGGAATATATATATATATTTTTATGTGAAACACTCATAGTCCAATAGACTGTAACTGTTAAACCCTACATTACATTTTGCTTTCGATTCAATGAAAGCCTCTAGATATTGCTAAAAATCTTGATTCCTAGATGCCTTAAGCTTTTGCCTTGAGCACCATCTCTGCAGTGAACAATACTTCTTTCCCAAACGGCAAAAACTCGATTTTCCTACAAAGCACCATGAAACTTTTCATCAGACAAAGAGAAGCCATATACATCTTATTGTAAAAAGAGGGTTAAGGAGTATGCAGCTTACGAATCTACTCGCTTTAGATTAGTAAATGCAGAGATGATACTCTTGCATATCTCTGTTATAGAGTCGTCTTCGTTAGAGTCAGATAATGTAAGCCGAGCCTGAAGATAGTTTAATGGAATTAGGAACAAGGAAGACCGAGAAAAGCACTGAGAATGTGAAAGATATTGTAATTACCAGAAAGGCATGTCCAACGAGGATTTGAACAATGTCGGATCCTATCTTTTTGGTTATATTTTTGGCGTTTGTGCCACTTGAAAACGTTCTTAAGATCCCATTTAGCGTTTTCGAATCCTCTGCTTGAGGATTGCTAGATCTCCGGGTACGAACAGAAGGCTGCAGCAAGAAAGATTCTTCAGATTGAAACACACCATGTGTTGAAGAAATTGAACACAGAGGACTAACTACAAACCTTAGGAATGTATTTGGTGAGGTATTGGATAACAATCTCAAGCTTCCATTTAGAATCGTCAAAAACCTGCTTAAGAAAAATCTTCACTCAAGAACCACAAAGAGAAGAATTCAGACAATACAAAGCGTTTCAGGAATTGTTTAGTCTCTTACCTGAAGAAAATTTGACAGCAAGTATCCATCATAGGTCAGCTCGTCGACAATGATCTCCATTGCAGGAGTCCTGCATCAAAATGAATCAAAAACATAGCCAAAACACAATGTGTGTGTGAAAGAGAAAGAGAGAGAGATGCAAATACCTTACGCCGTCTCCTCTATTGGTAATCCCTTCCATGTCAGCTTTCTTCTTTGACGCATCAAGCTCCATGATCTAAACAAGGAACAGAAACAGAAATGTGAGAGTAATAAAAACTCCAAAAATAGTAACTTTATATACTTGGATAATATACCAACTACTTACCATTGCAAGAAGTTCTTTCATAGCAGAGAGGGTTCCCTTGTGCAAGTCCACCAAACTGATAGATTTTTCATCCGCATCAAAGAGTGCACATATTGTAGATACACAATCCTTCATTAGGAATTTAAAATTCACTCTTCTTGAAGCCTACAAGCGGAAACATAACAGTAAATAACGGATAAACTATAGTAGTATACGAGTCATTTGATCATGGAAATGTACCAGGAGTAGATTCAGTGAGGACTCCTTTAACAGACTCCAATTCATGGTTTCTTGAAAACAACAAAAGGACACAAAAGCTTCAGAAAAATTTCCCAAAATTGTTGAGACTATGAAGGTAACAACAATTTCTTACCTTGATACACTTGATTTCTAGGCGTGAAGTCAAACTTAAGAACATGAACAAGATACTCGAACAGGAACTTGTTTCTCAGGATCTGCAAGAATCGAAACAAAGGAGCAACAGCAATACTTGTGTTAAAGTTATTCGCAAGGGTTTAGTAGAAACAGAAAAAAAAACCAACCTTTAAATCTGATTCCTCAGACTCATTAACTCCTTTGTTCATGTCTTGAATCAGCTGTTGAAACCCTGTAAATCAGATAACAAGAAGTCAAAACAAAAACAAGATGCCAACAAAACAATGAAAGCTATCTAACTCAAAAGAGAGGAGACAAAGTCATTACGTGAGCTTCTCACTGATATTTCCTTTTCATCAGAATCAACATCAGACCCAAAATTAAACGGTGACCAAGCCTGCCAATAAAACAAACACATGAAACCAATCATCCCCATTAAGAATTGGACAAAAACAGAACAAAACAATTACCTCGTCAACGATTTCCAGTTGAGCTGAATTAGAGATATAAACCCAAGGAAAGCGCTATAGAGGAAGAAGAAACAAAAATCATAAGCAAGACAATGAAACTTACAAAAGTTTGAGAATTGAGACTAAACCACTATTTTCCAATAGAGTTACCTGATGTAATTGTGTCAAAAGCTGGAAACTTGCAGTGATGAGTTCCAATGTTCTTCCGAATCTCAATACCCCAAAAATCGCTTGGTACATTTTGCTTCATATAAAAAAAAACCCATATCAAAAATCGTGATTCTTTTGTGGTAAAAAACTTCAAATTTTTTTGGAAGAGTAAACATTTACTTAGTTGGGGGGATTCCGATTTCGGGTACAAGTGAAGCGGCGCGAACAGCTTCCAGAAACTGCAAACCTATGATTCCATCCGACGAATAAATAAATTTATAGGGAAACGAAAACGAGGATTGATTGAGTCGAGTGGAGGAAGACGTACGATCTTCGTTAGCGTCGCGGTTGTCCTTAGCGCCGGTCGAATCAAGCATGGCCAATGTGTTTGCTTCCAAGCCACCGCTATAGCTATTCATGGCTCTGCTCGTACTACCCTTGGTCTCTTTCGACATTATTCTCAGGAAAACAAAAACGAGAACAAGAGACTGAAAATTAGAACAGAGAGAGAGAGATTCGTAGAACCCTAATAACCCAACCCGAGGCAAGGCCATTTTCCCGCCATAAGAGAATTGTTGGCAATAATAAAAAAAGCTCCGTTGCCGGGACTCGAACCCGGGTCTCTCGGGTGAGAGCCGAGTCTCCTGACCAGCTAGACTACAACGGATTTGATATTTTGATGTTAGTTTAAAAGTTTATTTAATACAGCAAACATATGTTACGTATAAACTGTTTACTAACTGTTTAAAACTTTTTTTTGAACAACATTTGTTGATTATTTTGATTGTTTTTTTTTGTGTGTGAATATTACAGATTTGTTTGTTGTGGGGTTTATCTTTTTTTTTTTTCATTGTCAATACAGAATGAATTTGTGTGTTTACAAGTATTCAAGTTTTAAGGGTTGGCAAGAAAATCAGAACGGTTACAAACTTGTAGTAGTATACCAAAAATCTTTGGCGTCATTACTAGTGTCGAAAAATCGCTACTTGCATAGTTGGTAAAAAAAATATTGTTATTCGGATCTGAACTTAACGAGTTTTATCTTCTTTGTTTACACACTCCTATTATTGAGCTGAATCCCTTTAAATATCAAAATCCCAAAATTGTATGCAAATGTTAAAGAATTTATGAAGCATATAAATGGGTAATTTTACTTAAGAATTTATTTCACATGATATGAAAATTTAAGTACTCATGACACCCTATGCATCCTGTTTTTTCTTTCATATGATATGAAAATTTTATTTTACTTGTTTTTTGTCCCCGATAAAAATATTTTATAGATTCACTATTGCCTATGTCAAAACCAGTTATTTTTGGTTCTTCTTTAAGATTTACCAGCATATTTGCAGGTTTGATGTCTCTATAAACAAGATGTCTAACTCCATGCATGAACATGAATCTGAATAATTACACATGAAAATTTTGAAGCAAGAAAATTATTAGAGAAATGCATGTTTTGGATTAATACACATAAGAAAGAGAGTGAGAGAAAGAAATTTGAGTAGTGTGCAACATAATACTCCGTTTTGAATTAGGTGTCGTTATAGGCTTAATTTTTTGTTTCGGTTTAGTTGTCGTTATGTGTTTTCAATGTAGATTAATGCTATATTTTCCAGCTTTAACCTTATTTTTTTACCTTATTTACACTTATCAAAGAAAATAATATATTAAATAGGGGTAAAACAGAAAATTGAATAAGTTTCTTAATCTGCGTGAAAAATTCAAGAACGACAAGTAAAAATAAATGGAGAGAGTAAAAATTTTGGCACTTTTAGCACTTTTGGTTTTTAGCTTTAATTATATGCAATTCCTCACTGAATGATTAATGATTATTTTTATGTTATTTTGACCGAATTTTTATAAAAATTATAAAAATTAATGCCTCACAGTTGTCATGAGGTACTAAAAATTATATCTTTTAAATAGTCTTTTTCCTTTTTTTTTGCATATGACCTTCTATAAAATACAGTTTTTTATCGTTTTATATTTATTGATTTATCTTCTCAAAATTCTAATAATTGTTTTCTCTAAGATTTTGCTTAAGTCTTCATCCATTCTTTGTTTTCATACAATTTTCCATATGTTGATGTAACTGGAATACTTTGTAACGTAAGGATATTTCTGGAACTTTTGGCATTTTTTGGCAATTTAGAGTTACTTATATGTAATATTGTCGCTAAATGATTAATGCTTGCTTTGACTAATAATTTCAGACAACTAATAACTCACATTTGTACTGAATATTATCTTTTAAATTGTCGTTTATTCAGTCAAACAAAAATTGTCGTTTATCTTTTTGATTCGAATTAGCTTTTGAAAGAATACAAATTTCTCATCTATTTATATGGAACGTTTTATCTTCCGGAGTTACAATAACCCTTTTCTAAGATTTTTCTTAAACTTTCATCAATTCGTGGTTTTCAGTATCTTCTTTGTGTATTTTCGAAATAAATCAACACATTTTTCAATTTCATACCCATATCTAAATCGTTTTGTTTTAACAACTCACTGAAATCGTCATCTAGATCAAACTGGTTTTGAAATGGATTTTTCGCTGGATATCTCCAAGGAAGATTTAGTCATAGATAATGCTAGTCATTTAACTGATAATGATTTAGCTTATCTACAGAAAGATCATCTCTGTTTTTCCAATGAATGGTCTCATTCGCCAATTTTGACCAGTATTTCTGATTCATATAATCAAAATATGAGGGAAAACGGCCGATTCCTACCCCAACTACAATTATAGGCACCAATTCCTACCCAACTTTTATAGTGTACCAATCCTACCTGAACTACAAAAACTCGTCCTTTCCATACCCGAACTAATATTTTCATGGCCAATCCGAACATTGACTAACGGGACTTAGGTCAACGACGATTTCCCGTTAACGGAGATGAGTCACCACGACACGTCACCTGCCCCGTTGGAACGAAGTTCAAAACGACGTCGTTTTCACGAAAACGAAAATCAAATTGTAATCGCCGGTTAAAATTTAATTTCGGTTCAATTTCGGTTTAATGTCGGTTCAAAACGTCGTCGTTTTGAAAATAACAAAAAATCACATGTTTCTATCGAGTGGTGTCGCGAGAAAGAGATAGATTGCGTATTGGTGAAATCGATTTGGGGAAACCTCTAGCATCTAGGGTTCATAATTCACACAAAGATAGAAAGGATGTCCACATCATCGAATCACATAGATAATGCAGAGAATTCAGGTCAGTTTACTTATGGCAATCGAATTATAGAAATTGATTCATGGGAAACGTTTTTTAATCGGTTCTGATTTCGAAATGAAAACGTAAAACTTTTATAGGCTTGATTATGGGTGTCGGAGTTCGTCCGAGAAGAAGAGGATTTCCCAATGTTTTGATGAAAACCTCAGGGACGGCAAAAAATCCGGGACGATTGTTTCATGCTTGTCCATACGGATCTGAATTGGTAAACATTTTTGAAATTGTAATGTTATTGAATAGCCTTGAGAACATGTAGTCAGACTGTGTTTTCATGTTTCAGGAAAAATACCACTTCTTCAAATGGACTGATGTTTCAATGGTGGAGGAGATAGAAGACATGAAGAAGAAGATTGAAAATTTAGAAGTTCAGAGAAGATCTTCGGAAGAAGTGATAAGCTGCCTTGCGAAAGAGATTGAAACTATGAAAGCAGAGTCACAAGGAGGTGAAAAAGAAGAGAACGAAGGCAAGGAGATTGTTGGTGATATGCCTTTCTTCAAGAAACTGGTTTGTTGTTTCTGGGCATAAATTTGCTCTTGGTGTACTAGCTTTAGGGAGCAACCATGATGATTCTAATTTGTAGCTTTATATGTTATTCTTCTTTTTTATTCAAAATGCAGTGCAAACAAATTGCTAATGCGATCCAAATCTCTCACAACAGCAACCAAATACAAATGGAAAGGAAACTAATATCCAGAATACATTTCTCAAACAACATCAAAAACAACAAATAAAACAACATCAAAAATTTCTCAAACAACATCAAACAAATGGAAAAAACATATATGAAATACCTTTTCTCATTCGGCAAATGACTGAGATGATTGACTTGGACCTGCAATTTCCTGAGACTCAGCAAATTCGTTTGTTGTCTTACTCTTTTTGGATTCACGTGGCTTTCTTCCTCTCTTTTTTGGTACTTGAGGCTGAGAGTCAAGATCACCTGTTTTGATCTTCTTTGGTGGCCTAGCTTTAGGTGGAACACCTGAGTTTGGACATTTTTTTGAGTTATGTGCATCTAGACCACAACGATAACAACTCATGTCTCGGCCATGGTTTGTCACTTTCTTCCCTTTAGTTGGTGACTCATTAACCCCCTTTACCCTTTTCTCAGGATTCTTTTTCCGACCCTTTTCTGCCTCTCTTGGTGGCGCCTCAAGGATTGTTTCTCCACTTTCTTTCCAATACTACACGAACCAGATGCAGCACTACCAGATTCGATTCGAACTATGAACCCTAGATTCGTGAAAACTGTTTCCCCAATCCGATTTCTCTCTCTCTCTCTCTCACTCGCGACGCGACAGAGAATGGAAGAAGAGTTTAAGTTTCTCAGTTCCAAAACGTCGTTGTTTTCTCTAGGGTTGGTTGATTTTTTGTTATTTTCAAAACGACGACGTTTTGAACCGACATTAAACCGAAATTAAATTTTAACCGGCGATTACAATTTGATTTTCGTTTTCGTGAAAACGACGTCGTTTTGAACTTCGTTCCAACGGGGCAGGTGACGTGTCGTGGTGACTCATCTCCGTTAACGGGAAATCGTCGTTGACCTAAGTCCCGTTAGTCAATGTTCGGATTGGCCATGAAAATATTTGTTCGGGTATGAAAAGGACGAGTTTTTGTAGTTCAAGTAGGGATTGGTACACCATAAAAGTTGGGGTAGGGATTGGTGCCTATAATTGTAGTTGGGGTAGGAATTGGCCGTTTCGCCCAAAATATGATACCATTGATCCCAAACAAAAATTCAGCTCCTTTCGGTCAAAATTTGGTTACTACTCCAAATCATCCATTTTACAATTCTCTCATAGCGGAATGCCATCGAATTATTCATTTATTAATATCAATTCCTACTTTAAGACCGATCCTTTTGAGGAACCTATGTATACCATACCCAACAACACACAAAATCTTATAGCCAATGGCATTCAATTCTCCATCGAACCTAAAGGTATATTCGATATTTTTTTTCATTCTCGGGAAAGTATTTTGTGAGATGATACTATGCACAGTAATAAAGTTATCATTAGTGGTTTTGTTTCATCACTTGACAAATTTATTGTTCAGGTTTATTCATTTAATTTTCTAAGGCTATATTGTGTTAAAGTCACAACTAAAAAGATTATTAATCATCGTCAAAATTGCGTGATGATAGATACCAATCAAGAGAAGACATTTAAAGTGGTGAAGAGAAAATCCAAAGAGAAATGGAGTCCTGATGAAGATAAGTAAGTTTTCTTTTTTTATTATTAATATAAAAAAAAAATATTCATTTCCATATTTAGATTCTCATAGTAATATTTTTTAATATATAAATGATATTTTTGATGTTATATATATTTATCTGTTGGGACATTTTAATTTATAGAAAGTTGAGAGCCGAAGTGAAGGCTTATGGGGAAAAACGTTGGTCATTCATAGCAAAACATATTAAAGGACGGAAAGGAAAACAATGTAGAGAAAGATGGAGAACCATCTACGTTCTAAATTTAAGGTAATTTTTTCTGAAATCAATATCCTTCTTGTTTCAAATACCGTCATAATTCATATGTATATATATAATCCATATTTCATTATCGTGATATATTTATTAATATGTAGTTTATAACTCATATAACTTATAATTTGTGGTGAAATCGACTACTTAATCACAAAAAATCAAAACTTTATTTATAAATGGTACACATATATGATACTTAAAGTGCATATAAAACTAAGAGAAAAATAAAATAGAAAACAACTTTTGTTAAAATAATTGTCATGTATTTTTTTTTACGTACCTTTAAAAACAAAAATGCAAATTCTATTAATTTTATTTTCTTTTCATCAATCAAAACTCAGGTATTATACATACAATAATATAAATGTGATATAAATATATGTGATTTCAGCGAGATCCTTGGAGTGGAGAGGAAGATCAAATATTGATTGAAGCTCATAGAGCTGTTGGCAACAAGTGGGCTCAAATTTCTCTTGAACTCCCAAGAAGAAGCGAAAATGCTGTTAAGAACCATTGGAATGTAACAGTGCGCCGAATGTTCTCAACAAATCGGTCTTACGATAACATACTTGAAAACTACATAAGGTCTATCACAATCAACAATGATACTCCAAATGATACTTCTGATGGGAATATGAGCTTGAGTTTGGACGTTACACCACAGATAGACGAACCATCCATCGATGCGTCTACATCATCAGTTCTAGAGCCAACAACATTTTCATGGGATGATTATCTTACTAACATTTGTGACTCCATGGACTTTGAAATGGTCATGAATGAGTGGGAGTAATTTGGGATAAAAGATAAATTTTGATCCTGCAAGTATGTTTTTTATTATCATCTAAGATGGTATCCATCTATGTTATGTTATTTGGTGTATCATTTGAATATGCAATTTAAGAATTCCTTCTTAAACTTATGTTCAATGAAAGTTTTACAGAATTTTTCGTGTAAAAAACCAAAGTTAATATAATTAGAAAGAAAACACAATCTGGTAATTACTACAAGTATCATTAAATAAAACAAAGGTTAAATAATTACAGTATAAACACATACATTTGTCATGTGTTGATTTGTAATGCTTAATTTGTAATATAAAGCTCTTGCTTAGGTATAAAATACCGACCAACGATAACATAGTATAAGTTCCTTCACTATGAAATCATTTAAACACAATAGGAACCTATATAACATAGTATAACTTCCTTCACTATGAAATCACTATAAACTTACTAAATATGAATCGTTTGGATCTAACGATGACGACGAAGAGAAACCTTTCTCAGCATCAAACTATGGAGAAAGCTTCTTCTTTAGCTCCTCCAATGCCGCCATAAACACTTATTCTGTGACACAGATTAAGAGTCGATTGCATCATAGCAATACTAAATTAGGCAACTATTTTTTTTTTTTTTCAATTTAAAAAATTCGGAAACTTTAACTGTTCGATTTCTTTCTTAAGTAACATGAAGAAAAAAAAAACAAAAAATGTTTAGGTATAGTATAGAGATAACGAATTACAACTATTATCATACAGACTATCTCTCTAATGCCATTGAATAAAGAACTTAATCTCTTTTTACGATTGTAAGCTTTCAAACTTCAAAGCTTGTGAGATATACTTACTCAACTTGGAAATACTGCATTATTAAATTTATACATACATTAGAAATTTATTCTTAAACTATTATATGTGCTTTTCATCATTGTGTCAAATCTTTGGACCAACATAAAAATCATCTATAAATATCATGGTTGCAAGTCCAAGTAGGCCAGCCGGCTCTGTGCACATGTGGTACAGCTTCCTTAAGATCATGACTAATGGTGTCTTTTAAGCCCATCTCTTAGTGTAAATGACAATTTAAATAAATAAAAAATGAGTAATTTTTCTGAAAAAGATCACCAGGTTCTGATGAGTAATTTCTGATTTTTGTAGATCTTGTTTACGAGGTTCCTATCTCCTAAAAGATGGTATTTTCTCTGAAACTGACTATTAGACCTCCAATGCATATGAGAGACTCATTGCTGATGTCAAAGTCTTCATGAATCCCCCAAAACACCAATCCAACAACTATAGAGAAGTAGATGGAGATGGAGAAGAAGATTGCATTCATTGTCAAGAATAGAGAAGATCACATATGCCAACTTCTTCACAGATTCCTTGAGCACTGCTTTGCGTCTTGGCCAAGTTGTAGCTATTTCTTCATCATCTTGGTTGAGGTTGGGGTATTGGAGCTTCTTGAGACACACCACAAAGTAGACCACGAAAATAGTGTTTATTATAACCAATGACACCTTTTCACCCTTGAGATCATTTGCAACTAAACAAGTTGCCACCCAACTTGATATTGTGGTTGCAACTAGGAAGCTGAAGACCACATCCATTTTTGTACCAGCCTTGGACCCCAAAGTGGACAACTTTCTCTCCATAGTTCTCCTCATTATCGGTGGAGGCTGAGAAACACAACAAATAAAAACAATGTGGTTATCCCATACACAATCAGAAGAAGGAAGAAATGTAGCAGAGATTTTTTTGCGCAAACGATACTTATTATATTAATTAGAACCACCAAGTTAACCACTAAAAACAGAGGAGAAATGTAGCAGAGATTAAGCTACGAGATTCAACACTAACTTAGCGAAATCCAGGAAATTCGTAGATTTTAGGCAACGAAACTGTCAAAGAGACTATTTTCCACAGCTAATGCTATCAAACCAAAAGAAAACCAAGTTACATTGCAAACTAAACAAATAATGCTATCACACAAAATTCATAAGTTCCATTGACATTCTTCTAAAAAGCTATACGATTAGCTAGCAAGAGGGAACCTATCTTGAAGGAGAAATGACGCAAACCGTAGCTATGATTATCCGAGAGACTAGAAACATAACAAATCAAAACAATGTGATTATCTGAGACGCAATTAGAAGATATGTTACGAGATTCAACAATAACTTAGAGAAATCCAGGCAATGAAACTGTCACCGGAGACTATTTTCAGGAAGGAGGAGCAATACGAACTTAAGTTTAGGAGAAAGCGAGCCACAAGGAAAAAATCAAACATATTCTTCTCATGGATCCAACATTTTCTTACTCAAATCGCTAATGAACAACTGTCGTCAAACGGCGAACCTGCGAAACTAAGTCTAGGAGAAAGCTTGAGTCACAAGGAAAATTCAAACATAGTCTCCAACATTTTCTTACTCAAATCGCTAACGAACAACGATCGTCAAACGTCGAACCGTTACAAGCCTAAGCCAGAACAACGAACGACGGTGAGATTCTACTAGGAACGACGAGCAACAAACGCAAATCCTCACCGATTATATCCTTGTTTAGTTGATTCCGTAGTAGACGCTAACGGTAAACGTTCAACGGCACTGGAGAGACAAGTCGCCGACGAAGCTCAGGGGGGAGATTTGAAATCGCGACCGTATTTGTGATGTTGAGATGTGTAATTTGATTTCGTTTTATATATATTTGGCGCCGCTCTTCCTTTGAATTGATTATCTTGTGTGGTTAAAACTAATTATTCTGCTAATACGTTACCTTGAATCACATTGAAAGGTCAATCTTGTAAACGATGGTCCAGTCACAATGCAGCTCGAATCACCCCAATCCTCCAAGTATGAACTTATCTTGGTTGCATACACTATACAAGGCATTGCCGCATTTGTTTGTTACTAAAGCAAAGTCTTGATTTGGTTTCAGGAATGGGACAAAGGCGTCAACATAATCATAACATCACTCACTGAATTTGTAATCCCAAGCCACCGCTATAGCTATTCACCGCTCTGCTACTACTACCCTTTGTCGTCTCTTTCGACATTTTCTCTTCTTGCAGTCCACTAATTTGTTCTCAGCAGCGCGGAAAACAAAAACGAGAAGAAGAGATTGAAATCTTTACCCAAAATTTGAACGGAGAGAGAGAGATTCGTCAAACCCGGGTCGAAATAAAAAAAAAGCTCCGTTGCCGGGACTCGAACCCGGGTCTCTCGGGTGAGAGCCGAGTATCCTGACCAGCTAGACTACAACGGATTTTATGTCTCTTTTCACAGTTATTATTATATATTAGAGATATTATTGCGGATAGGTATAGCTAAGTTCTTTGTGTAGATAACCAAACCAATGACGGAAAGAGAATAATTCGTAGACAGCAATAAATTAGGACTTGTAAGAATAATTCGTAGACACCAATAACCTATCATACAAAGTATATATCCCTTTTTGGTTGTAAGCTTTGTTTTCAAAGGGTGTGCACTATATTATATATTACTAAATTTGGAAATTTATACGTACATGCATTATAAAATTTATTCTTAAAAATAATGTTATATGAGCCTCGCATCATTGCGTCAAATCTCTTGGACCGCGAAAAAAGTCATCTAATACGATTACGATTGCTAGAGTGTAGATATAAAACTACGGTATTACTTAGTTGATACAATAATAAATATCAGCAAACTTAACCCATAAACTGAAAGAACTTTCCGTGTCGTTGAATAAACTCGGTTTTCTTTCTAATATTGGAAGAGAAACCTAGTTTATGCATGACCATATTAGCTTTGTTTAGAATCTTGGCTCTTCAAGCATAGAGGTATTTTTCACTCGTATAGCATAAATACAAGTAAAAAAAAACGATGCAAACAAAAGACTAGATATATAATTTGTTAATCAATATAATGGTCGATATTCTACAGTGGAGAAGTGAAAGAATATTAATAGAGCTATATCATTTACTTTGTCAAACTTTTGACCTCTACCATTAATTAAGACCAGTACTCTCCACCTTGGAGGCTGCGAGTGATTCCTTTTTCGTGACGGTTGCGGTGGAGGATTATATTCCTCCATTTTTCATATGTCAAAGGGTACAATTAAAAAAGAAAACGAATTCTTTTTTTTTTTTTTTTTTCAATTTTCCCATGATAAATGTAACTACCTTACTTATAAGAGTTTATAACAACCCAATAGTGCCAACTTTTTTATTTTCCATGACAAACATCTATACTATTAAATGGAAGTAATCAAAGGTGTATGTTAGAATTATTTCTGTCACCAAACAGAAAATTATCCCAGTTATCCGAAATTTTCAGTATAATCCAGAAGAAAACTGGATCGGATCCTGTTAAAAAGACCATTTACCCCACGTTTTTCAAAGGAGATTTTTTTGGAGTGAGATCATTTATGTCCACAGCATTTTCGGATCTCCTCTGTTTGGAAACAGGGATAGGCACAGAAAAAATGTCGAAAGTGTCAAAAGGGGACAGACATCGGACCTTCGTCCCGACCCGAAAAAAAAACATGCGGATCCTATCTAACTTAAATCAAACCGGCGGAAATCTTGAGCAATAACCGAACTTGATTGAGGCTTATCAATGAAATAAAACCCATAACCGAAGTCCAATCGAATCTTCTTCAAAATTACGAGACGAAGATAACATACTTCCAAATCTGAACTCCAACTCCGAAAAATCTGCAACCAATTTTCCATAAATATCGGTTATATCATTTGATTTTCGAATTAAGCCAATTAACTAAACAAAATTAATTACAAATAATACTTTTCCAAGTAAAATATATGAAGAATTTCTAGAAATCTTACTAATCAACTAATAATAACGAAACAACAAATCAGTTACTTCCTATAAAAAATATGATAGTTAGCATTAGTTTTTAAATTCAAAGAGATCTGATTGATATTCTTTATGTATACTTCCTAAATGTAAGATTTAACTGTGAGCTATTTCCAAAAATCAACGGGTAGAATTTAAAAACGGTGAGCTATATTCCAAAAAATCAACAGGTAGAAACAATCCGGATTTATCTCCACGAAAATCAAATCTTTAACCTAATTGTTTAGGTATAAATAGACCTTCCTCTATAGCCTACTAAAGAAAAGCAGAGCTTTACTACTTCCTTTGAATCAATTTTAGTGGCGGCTTCTTTTTGTTTAACATACCTTTATGTCTTTCTTTTCAGGTTGGCGAATCCAAGTAATCTTCTTCATGTTTGGAAGCAATGCATTCCGGCTGCTGGATAGACATTACAGATGATGAAGACTACATTCATACGCACAAAAAGGAAGACTACATTCATCATATACGTGAGTAACAAATCGTAAACAGTAACAACCTAAACCATCTTTCATATCCCTATTTAGATATACTATCCTATATACCTCAAAAATCACATTGAAACACAAAAGTGGATTTCCAGCGGTACTATCAAATGTGAATGCAGGTAGCAAAGAGGTTTTTAAAAGATCTACAAGGAGATGAAGAAAGCAAGAGTTAATATCTAAAAAATATTAACAGCTAAATAAACGAATACATGCTAAATCTCTTTATAATTCTGTATTAAGTTAAAGATTTTATTGTGGGTTCCAAACTACTTACTCACAACGTTTTTTTTTTGGTTTCGTCTTTTTTCAGAAAGAAAGAAAGAAAGAGCTGAAGAAATATGAGGCTTAACAGGATTAATTGTGTTGAAATGCGGATCCAAACTACTTACTAACAGGTTTGCAAATTTTAATCACCTTTGTTCATGTGCATATTTAAACATATTAATATTTATTAATTCAGTCTTCGCTAATTTCGATAACAATAGCTTATTATATGTGCTTAACAAGCCATTACCTTGCAGTATGTGCTCAATACATCTTAGGTTCGGAGCACTTCAAAGTAATTTGGTCCATCCAAATTAGCGATCTGCATACATTGGAGTTTTACAATATCAAGGTAACGGAATATAGACAACAAAACAATGTGTTGCATAGTATAAATTTTGTGCTTCAAATAATTCTTATTCCGTTTTATTTTGTTAATCTTTTTCTGCTGTCTAAACAAGTTCTTAGTCTTTCTCAAAACGAAACTAACTTGCTGTACTTTGGATATGTTTTACCAATACAGAAATGAAACACAGAAATTTATATTCGATTGGATACCAGAGCAATGAGGAGCAAATGGCATTACCAGAACTTTGGTATATGTTCGGATATCACATTTTTATATCACATTCCCGATCTGTTCTAAATGAATTTTTTTTTATCTCTTTCAGATGTAAAGATGCATGCCAATGTGAAGGGAGAACAAAAAACCATATGATACTCAATTGCCTCTTTATTCTGTAGGTTGTTTTAAATCATGCAATGGGACGATACATCAAGTCCTACTATTTGTGCATCATCAATCTCAATACCGAAGACATCAAACCTTACTTAAGACATCAAGATTTAAGACGTAGCCAAGCATTAAGTAACAAAGAAGAAAAAACAGAAAGTTGAAGAATTGCTTAGTTCGGACCCAAGAAAATCACTACTTTTAAACATTCAAATCATATATATTGCTTAGGGGGTGATTGGTTGTGGCTGTAGAAGCTGTAGAGAGCAAAAAAAAATTCTAAAGCCAAATAGATCACCAATCATGCTCTATACATTTTTTTTTAAACCTACAACCTTCTTTCATTTCTTTCATTTTTCCTTCCTTTTTTAGTTTTGCAGAGCAAAATTTCTAGAGCATAATTTTAAAGGCTCTGAATTTCTTTTTTTCTCTCTCTTTGATTCTTTCCAAATATATTGTTTTTTTCTTTACTTTTTTCCTTATTATTATTTTCCATATTTACCTATTTCCTTTTTTACTAAAATCCTGCAGTTAATATCCTAAAGCAACAATTTCACAGCCACATCCATAAAACATAAAGCAAAAACTCTACAGCAAAAAAAAAAGCTAGAGCAACAACCAATCACCCCCTAACTGATCTAAGTTAATACTCATATTTCTACTTTAGCTTTTATGGTAAGCTCGAGTTTAGTAACTAACCTTTTTGATGTTCAATCATTAGGGAGTATGCTGGAGAAGCTTTGTCCCATATCAAGTACCACGCCTTTGATCTCCAAAATTGTTATACTGGAGTCAATTTGTGACATTAGCTATGATTTACAAAATTTCAGAGCATGGAAGAATAAAGTCTTACTGGAAAGAAACAATGGCTTCTCTACTTTATATTGAAAAATAATGTTTAAACATGAGAGCAGCGAATATCATTCCAAGAATTCTCTGGACGACGTTAAAGATACCCAAACACCTCAGATTAGATGACCTCTAAAGTAGTAACAACAAAGTAGGTTTCTATGCAATCAAGAATTCTTTGGTTCTAGGAATATTTGAAACCTTTATAAGCTTGATAAAGTAGGAACCATTTCAATTTTCTATCAAATATGAAAGATTCAGTATGGATTAAATGAGATATTATGCATACGTTTCTTCAACTTGATGGGAGTTGGTTTATATGCAATCACTAGAGCTGCATCGTATCAACACCCTTATAACAAAGAGTTTTAGGTTGCCATAAATTATTGACTAATAAATCTGGAGGGATCAAGGACTAAATGGTTATCAATGTGAAGATTATGCAGACCAACTTTTTGAGGAATGCAAGCAAGCTGATGATCAAACACATGATCTCAAATGTTTCTTTCGAGGAGGTACTTTTACTGACTAAACAAAATGTCAAATGTTTGCAAAATATTATTCCTATTACTGGAAAATTTAACAAAGCTACCATCTAAAATGTCATAGGTTTCTTTTGTCAAGACTCAAGAGTATCAGTTGGCAATTTTAAGCTTTCACAGTTTTCTGTCACCAAGAGTCTTAACATCCAACAATAGATCCACTCTTCGATAACAAGAATCTATCACACAAACAAAAACAGAAAAACCATTTTCAGAAAAGACAAAGAAAATGGTTTTTTATTTATTTTCAAAGCATCAATCACATTACGAGCACATAAATAGCTAACTAAAAACTACAAACAGTGAAAGAAAAACACACACCAACAACCTAAAGCATCTTAACTAGGTGAATAAATAAATCAATGCATAATCAAATTTATAACATACCTTTCGCTCCATGAGAAAAATCAGATGTTGCGCTACATGGTGCGAAACCCAGACCAATCATGACTCTATTGCCGAGGTCCTTGGCAGCATAAGGTACCTCCGACGGAGAAGAATCTGAGAGCCGCCTGTTGCTCAAACCAGAACCTGCAATTCCTGTCTCAAAAGACAAAAATTAGAAGCGGAATCGACAAGAAACTAAAGGTTGTTTCGAAAGATAGATTGAGAATGAAGTAAAGGCAATTACCTCAACTTTCCCGAAACCGGTGGAGTCCCATTTCGAGCCTCGCCGGAAGCGTAGAAGAAACATAAACAGGGTATGAATTCTCTGATTTCGCATGCAAGGAGCAATCGAAAGATTGCTTGGGGAAAAGGAAATGGCTGGAGATCAGAGTCGCAAGGGCCAAGGCTGCTGGAGATAGATCCGCTTTTGATTTCTCCCTCAGCTCATGCACAATACACAAAACACAATCACATGAGCCAGTAAAAAAACCCATTTCAACAAATCCGCAAATCCACTGAAACCCGAGCTTGAAAAACTCACTTGATTTCCGAGCTTCACCGAGAAGAGAGAAGAGCTTAAGAATCGACGGTGGTGGAGAGGAGTGTAAGAATCGTCGGTGGTGGAGAGGAGTGTAAGAATCGATGGTGGTGGAGAGGAGAGAAGACGGTGGTGAAGAGGAGCGAAGACGGTGATGGAGAGGAGAGAAGACGGTGAGTCGAAGCTTAGATCTGGTTTTTTACCAATGGAAAAGAAAGCTCGAGGAAGAAGAAATTAAACGGTGTCGTTGATTTGAATTGCCAATTTGTCTTTTTAGAAATAGCTTTACATTAACACAAAAACAAATAATACCAATGGAGATAGTTTAGTTGTCTTTAATAAAAAAATGTCATACAATATCCAATTTTATGAGTTTAATATTCACAAATTTAACTAACTCAAAGTTCAGCAATATCACAGATCAATGCAACATTTTTTCAGATCCAGGTTTTTTCAGAAATACATAAGAAAAGAACAAGATTGATAAAAGATGAAATTTTGTAATCTTAGCTGTGTTATGTCTCATATGAAAAATAAAAAAACGGATCTAATCAAAGGTGAAAGTTTATAATCTTGACTTTAACATATGTCAAATTTACAAATAAAGAGAAAAGAAAAAGAATGGATTTACGAACAAGAGTATCGTTTTCTTGACCTAAATTGCTAACTTTTGTTTTAAATGAGTTTTACACTAACACAAAAAAATGTCGATAAAGACGGTTAAATTATCTTTAATCAAAATTTGTGAAAATAATATCCAGTTTTAGAAATCAAATATTCACAAATTTAACTAATTCAAAGGTTAGAAACATCATAGGTCAGTGCAACATTCTTTTAGATCCAGATCTTTTCGGAAAAAAACATAAAGAAAAAATGGGACTCATAAAGGTGAAAATTTGTAATTTTGATTTTAATATGTTTCATATGAAAAAAAAAATGGATCTAATCAAAGGTGAAAGTTTGTAATCTTGCTTTAACATGTCTCATGAACATATTCAGAAATGAAGAGAAAAGAAAAAGAATGGATCTATGAACAAGAGTATCGTTTTCTTGACCTAAATTACCAATTTTTCTTTTAAAAATGAGGTTTACAATAACACAACAAAATAATGCCGATGGAGACGGTTTACTTCTCTTTACTCAAAAAATGTCAAATCAATATCCAGTCTTACAAATCTAATATTCACAAATTTAACTAACTAAAAGGTTGGCAACATCACGGGTCAGTGCAACATTATTTTAAATCTGGGTCTTTTCGAAAAAACATAAAGAAAGAATGGGATGGATAAAGGTGAAAATTTGTAATCTTGACTTTAATATGTCTCATATGAGAAGAAAAAAAACGGATCTAATCAAAGGTGAAAGTTTATGATCTTGACTTTAACATGTGTCAAATTTACAACTAAAGAGAAAAGAAAAAGAATGGATTTACGAACAAGAGTATCGGTTTCTTGACCTAAATTGCTAACTTTTTTTTTAAATGAGTTTTACACTAACACAAAAAAATGTCGATAAAGACGGTTAAGTTATCTTTAATCAAAATTTGTGAAAATAATATCCAGTTTTAGAAATCTAATATTCACAAATTTAACTAAATCAAAGGTTAGAAACATCATGGGTCAGTGCAACATTCTTTTAGATCCAGATCTTTTCGGAAAAAAACATAAAGAAAAAATGGGACTCATAAAGGTGAAAATTTGTAATTTTGATTTTAATATGTTTCATATGAAAAAAAAAATGGATCTAATCAAAGGTGAAAGTTTGTAATCTTGCTTTAACATGTCTCATGAACATATTCAGAAATGAAGAGAAAAGAAAAAGAATGGATCTATGAACAAGAGTATCGTTTTCTTGACCTAAATTACCAATTTTTCTTTTAAAAATGAGGTTTACAGTAACACAACAAAATAATGCCGATGGAGACGGTTTACTTCTCTTTACTCAAAAAATGTCAAAACAATATCCAGTCTTACAAATCTAATATTCACAAATTTAACTAACTAAAAGGTTGGCAACATCACGGGTCAGTGCAACATTATTTTAAATATGGGTCTTTTCGAAAAAACATAAAGAAAGAATGGGATTGATAAAGGTGAAAATTTGTAATCTTGACTTTAATATGTCTCATATGAGAAGAAAAAAAAACGGATCTAATCAAAGGTGAAAGTTTATGATCTTGACTTTAACATGTGTCAAATTTACAACTAAAGAGAAAAGAAAAAGAATGGATTTACGAACAAGAGTATCGGTTTCTTGACCTAAATTGCTAACTTTTTTTTTAAATGAGTTTTACACTAACACAAAAAAATGTCGATAAAGACGGTTAAGTTATCTTTAATTAAAATTTGTGAAAATAATATCCAGTTTTAGAAATCTAATATTCACAAATTTAACTAATTCAAAGGTTAGAAACATCATGGGTCAGTGCAACATTCTTTTAGATCCAGATCTTTTCGGAAAAAAAACATAAAGAAAAAATGGGACTCATAAAGGTGAAAATTTGTAATTTTGATTTTAATATGTTTCATATGAAAGAAAAAAATGATCTAATCAAAGGTGAAAGTTTGTAATCTTGCTTTAACATGTCTCATGAACATATTCAGAAATGAAAAGAAAAGATAAAGAATGGATCTACGAACAAGAGTATCGTTTTCTTGACCTAAATTACCAATTTTTCTTTTAAAAATGAGGTTTACAGTAACACAACAAAATAATGCCGATGGAGACGGTTTACTTCTCTTTACTCAAAAAATGTCAAATCAATATCCAGTCTTACAAATCTAATATTCACAAATTTAACTAACTCAAAGGTTGGCAACATCACGGGTCAGTGCAACATTATTTTAAATCTGGGTCTTTTCGAAAAAACATAAAGAAAGAATGGGATTGATAAAGGTGAAAATTTGTAATCTTGACTTTAATATGTTTCATATGAGAAGAAAAAAAACGGATCTAATCAAAGGTGAAAGTTTATGATCTTGACTTTAACATGTGTCAAATTTACATGTGTCAAATTTACAAATAAAGAGAAAAGAAAAATAATGGATTTACGAACAAGAGTATCGGTTTCTTGACCTAAATTGCTAACTTTTTTTTTAAATGAGTTTTACACTAACACAAAAAAATGTCGATAAAGACGGTTAAGTTATCTTTAATCAAAATTTGTGAAAATAATATCCAGTTTTAGAAATCTAATATTCACAAATTTAACTAATTCAAAGGTTAGAAACATCATGGGTCAGTGCAACACTCTTTTAGATCCAGATCTTTTCGGAAAAAACATAAAGAAAAAAACGGGACTCATAAAGGTGAAAATTTGTAATTTTGATTTTAATATGTTTCATATGAAAAAAAAATGGATCTAATCAAAGGTGAAAGTTTGTAATCTTGCTTTAACATGTCTCATGAACCTATTCAGAAATGAAGAGAAAAGAAAAAGAATGGATTTACGAACAAGAGTATCGTTTTCTTGACCTAAATTACCAATTTTTATACAACTTCACCAGACTCAACGACTTGACACCTAATAGATCTGATTGGAGGGTTAAGGCTAGAGTTTCCAAGATGTGGGATACTTTGGAGGTAGATGAGGGTGAAGGTATAAGTTTTTTCTTCGTCGACGAAATGGTTTGTTCTTAATCTATTCATATTCATATCATCTCAATTACAAGTTCATTATTTTCCAAAATCGTGGTCCTAACTGAAGTTTACAACTCTAACAGGGCACGAAGATGCATGCATTTGTTGAACAAACAAATCAGATGAAAAGGTTTAAGAGATGCCTTCATGAAGGGGAGTGGAAGATTCTAACCGGATTTTCAGTGGTGTTGGTGAATACAGAGATCCGTTTGACGGAAGTCAGAAGGAAGATTGCCCTCACGTCCAACACGCAAGTTACACACGCAGAAGACTCGGATGCTTTTATTCCGCTTGACATGGTGCCTTACGATTTTGTTTCGAACCTATGGAATGATCAACGTACTTCTTTCCCTAGAGGTTAGTTTTTCTTACTTCACATTTTGCGGGTTCTAACGGAGGAAACCTAGAGGAAATGTAGCTTTCAATAGGTTAATGTCATTGTCATTTTTTTGTAGGCTTTCTAGGGTTTATATTTGTAGTTGAAGACAAAGTGCTCAGGGAAGATGACTCTATGCATAGGAACCCATTTAACGATGATCAAAAGAATATAAAATCTTCAGAAAATATTGAAAAATCCATGATTAAATGCAACCGTCCACATAAACGCAACCCTAAAAACAAAATATATAAGCGGAATAATTCATATAGTTTCAATCAAAACTCTGTAAAGAAGAAAAGAAACCTAAAAAACAACTTCAATGGCAAACTTTGAGAGACTCGCCATGGTTACACCCAATGGAGATGATTCGATGATTTGAGTGAGAGTTGAGAACGTGTGGTCTACTCTAGATGTCGAGAATGGTGAAGGCCTCAGTTTCCTGGTGGTTGATGATGAGGTTTGTGAATAATTAACCTATACAGTTTAACATTGAGCGATTTTAGAGGTACAAATTTTAATGTTTTAATCTCTACTCATTTTTGCAAACAGGGCACAAGGATGCATGCATTCGTCCAGCATTTTGCTGATGCCAAGAGATTTAAGAGACTTCTTCAGAAGGAGACTGGTTCACGATAACTGGTTTCTCAGTTGTTATTGTCCGGAATGAGATTCGTATGACTAAACAGAGAATCGTTCTCAAGCGAAACACAGAAGTTGGTGTTTCAGAATTGTTCAATGGTTTTATTCCGCTAGATTTGGTTCCATTTCAGGATGTTAAGAACGGAACTGTTCACGATGGAACTTCTTACACTAGAGGTTAATTTTCCTTACTAATACTATTGTCAAAGAGCAAAATGTTAAGATTAATTAATATCCTTTTGTTAAAGTTTGATACTTTGTTTTAAACGGTTTTTGTAGACTTTCTAGGCGTCATATCTTCTGTTTCAGATTTCGGCCTCACAGTGGATGACTCTATGCCTAGAAACATACATAACTATGATCCTAAGACACCGGATCGATTGACTTTGTTCTTGAAGACAACGAGTAAGAATTTGATAACTACTTATTAGATCTTTTCCAAACTAAGAAATGTGTTATGTTATATGATTATGAATGTCACAATTTGATTGTTATGCAGTGGAAATCATCTAAACTGTCGTGCAAAGGGAACTTTGGCGGTTCTCTTTAAACGTAATTGGCTATGTTATGGTGAAACCGGAACAAACATATGCCTATTAACCAATTGGCATGTTGTTGGAAGAGATGGTTAGTTTCTTTGAAAATTTTTACCTTCATCTTACGCTATAGCATCTCAATACAACTAGATAATGATCAACCATTACCTATAAACTACCAGGTCCTATTCAAGTTGAAGATGAAGAAGGGATTTCTACTTTTGAGTATGATCCTCCTGGACACCACGAGGTGGTACATTTCACGAACATATTGTAAGTATTTAAATTTTTGTGATGTACAATGTTTTTTTAGAATGTCGCCTGCTCCTTAAGACCATTCTTAGGTACTGGTTTACTGCAGATTGCACCATGAGGAGGACCTGAGCGATGAATGATGAGAAGGAGGAATGGAGGAGATAGATCAAAGAATCATTCCCATTGATTATGAAGATGTTTTCCGTTTAAGTATTTCTTTAGCTTTTGTTTGCAATTAATTATGAGAAACTAAGTATGCACCTTTCAGTTCAACTATCCTATGTTTTTCAAAAACGTTCCTCCTAGGTTAGGCTATGCAAAATAACCCAACAATGAAATTGTGAATCTATCGGAATAATCAAGTTCAGTGACAGCTAGCAAATTTAAATCACAACTATAAGCCTACAGTAACTGTAAAAACACGGATTCCACAAAGGTATGAGAAGGTGTCCAAAAATGTTTACCTCAGTTTTTTGCAGTGAAGTTTTTTGGTATTCATCAGCAATGTCTCCTTTTCAATCCATGCTTGACTCATGATCACTCAGCCCGTCAAAGATACAAGCAAGTAATGTGGTTACGATATGTTAAATAACGCAACTCAAAAACATTAGTTGAACATCTACAAGTTTTAGTTTACTTTGAAATTCATTTGATTATGATCATCTTAAAACCAATCTAAAGAAGAATTAAGTTAATCTTATTTGAGTTATCTGACCTAGGAGGAAAGTTAAAATTGAAGGATTGCTACAGGGAAGGAAATTGTGAGAGCTTAGAGGTTGACCTGACTCAGAGTACGGAGACGCAAAGCAACAGTCCCGTCAGCTGAAGAGTTCAATTTCGCTGGGTTCCTTTGAGTAGAGCATATGATTTTCGTTTTTTCGGAAGGGAACTAGAAGCTCGGTAAATTAGGAAATTATCCCAAAAATCGATCAGTCATCGTCAATTCCAGTAATTTCTTCTATCAAAAGACTCTTTAGATAAAAACTTGGGTTTAATTAGCTAAGTGGAGAACTCGTGAAGCTTGAAGGAAGAAGAAGAAGGAGACGACCGGATCAGGATGTCGAAGGAGGAAAAGTCGCTTGGTCACGAAACACAGATTTTGAGTGACGAAGATGTTCGGCGAATCTGGAAATTGTTGCTTCACCGTTCGGTTAACCTAAACCCAACCAAATCGATTTGACCAGCTCGGTTAACATAAATCGAACCAAATCTATTTCAGAAAATAGTATATTTATACAATATACAATTAAAATTATAGTTATACATAAAATAAGAGTATTGATTTGTGGATGTGAATTAACTTTGGAAGAAACATAAATAATAAATAGGTTCGTCTAATTTGATTGTATTTAATTATTATTATAACTCACCAAATCAAAAAAAGCAAACTCCCAAAACAACACATTTTGAAACCATCCAAACCCCGTAAACCCCGAAACTGAGCAAACCTCATAAACCCCAAAACCGAATGAGGTAAACTTATATAATCAAAATATAACTCACCGACTGAAACCGAGCAAAGCCCGTAAAACAACACATCTATATGTTATACTATCAACACATTGAATATATTTGCATCCCGTCAGTATCTACCATGAAATGATAACAATTTTGTATACATATTTATTTCGTCTCATACTTATATAGTCAAAGTAACATAGAGAGATCATCATATATCACAAACATATATACTATTATTTACATAATTATCGTATCAATAGTTCCAACCATTTTATAAAAACCGTCAGGATCTAGTGAGGCAATGAAAAAAACAGTTAAGTTACAAAAACAAGAAAACGAATTCTTTGAAGGGCTTTTTTTGCAATTTTCCCATGACAAATGTAACCACCTTACTTATAACAACCAATAATGCCAACTTTTTTATTTTCCATGACAAACATGAGGCAATGAAAAAAACAGTTAAGTTACAAAAACAAGAAAACGAATTCTTTGAAGGGCTTTTTTGCAATTTTTCCATGACAAATGTAACCACCTTACTTATAACAACCGAATAATGCCAACTTTTTTATTTTCCATGACAAACATGAGGCAATGAAAAAAACAGTTAAGTTACAAAAACAAGAAAACGAATTCTTTGAAGGGCTCTTTTTGCAATTTTCCCATGACAAATGTTAACCACCTTACTTAACAAGAGAGTTTTTGCTAAAGAAAAATAAAATTTCATAAATATCGTGAGCCTTACCTATTCCTTGTAAAATCTCACCTATATATAAGTCTCACTAATCTCTGTTCTCTAACACTTCATTCAAATATACAACCACCTTAAAAGATGAAGAGTCACTACAGAAACACCATCTCTCTTGTTTATCTCTTGCTTTGTCTCTTCATCACATCTGCCTCCTCTGCAAGTTCCTTCATACGACAATTCACTGATGACTTCGACTCATATCTGCCGCGTATGCCATCTTTCCTTTGTTCTTAGATTTGATCCATTATTCAAGAAGATCCATCTATGTATTTTTTAAACAGTTTGACTTCATATAGCTCTGTTTAATCTTTGTCTAGAAAAAGAGAGGACTGGAGCAAGACTAAACCCAAACCTGGATAAAGATGCGGAGATCTCATTCTCATCACGTGATCATAAAGTCTCAGCTTCAAGCACAGTGAAAGGTCTGAGAGAACGTCCTCCGTCTTCTTACTCTTTGAAGATGGAATATTTCAACATTGTCCTTGAGTCAACCAACTTAGAGAGATACCAATCTCGTCCTTTTTCTGTTGGTGGATATAGCTGGTACGTTCGTTCCCGATCTCATCTTTCTTCACTCGAACCGAATCTTATATATACACTAAAACAATATGTTATACAACACAGGACACTTGTTGTGTACCCCAACGGGAACAAGAAGGATAATGGTGCAGGGTACCTTTCGCTTTACGTAGCCATAGACAACTCAACTCTCCTCGCTGCGCAGAAAGACGTTTACGCGGATCTCAGGTTTTACATCTTCAACAGCAACGAGAGGCAGTACTTCACAATCCAAGGTTTTTTTTTGCTAGTAATTTTAATTATCATCCAAAACAAGAAGAAGAAGAAAATGCTCTACTAATAGTAATCTTTTGTATATGTAACTCAAGATACCAATGTTTGGCGATTCAATGTTTTCAAAACCATGTGGGGATTCTCCAAGGTCCTCCCTGTTGAGACATTTAAAGACCCGAGTAATGGTTACCTTTACGATGGAGATCACTGCCAGTTTGGTGTCGATGTGACTCTTCCCACTACCTATGAAAAATCAGAACTTTTGACTCTCACTGATCATTTCAATAGTCCAAGATACACTTGGACGATTCAGAGATTCTCCACGCTGCTCCAAGATGAATACAATTCAGATGTGTTCACCATTGGAGGAAGACGTTGGTGAGTCCTCATCCTTTCTTTTTGCTTTTTTTAATTAAAGTTTTTTTGTTTTTTTTGTTTTTTTTTTTTGTTTGGTAAAGTTTTTAACACCAAGTACTCCATCAGGAAAATAAATGTGTGTCCAAATGGTTGTTCCTCGGGAGAGGGAGTAGCCATGTCCATGTATCTACTCCTTGATGAAAACGACAAAGTCAGACCCTATGAGAAGATTTATGTTCGAGCCAAGCTTCGAGTTCTTAACAAAAACCCATCCAATAATCTTGAAAAACAAGGTAAGTTATACGATTGATTTAATGATTTATATATCCATACATATTCATCGGCTCATCATTAACTATTTAATCTTTCGTACAACTTGTTGGCAGTCGATGCATGGTACGATGCACCGGGATATGGACCTCCAGGTTACGGTAGGCATGATTTTATCCCACTCTCTGATCTCAGAGATTCATCCAAGGGTTTCGTTGTGAATGATGTGTTGAAGGTTCAAGTCGAAATTGAGGCCATTTCTTTGACAAAGTACTTCCCTAGTTAGATTTCTCTAAACCAAGAAACTTGCAGCTCCGTGTTTGCTGCTTTATCATCAACTACTTAATGATAATAAGAATCTGTGTTTGCGTTTTTTAATAATAAGAATCTGTGTTTGCGTTTTTCAAGAGTACAGAATTATTTGATATATTTTAAGTTACGTTTTTAATATTTTAAATTGGATTTCAGATTATGTATTCGTACATAATGATACGTGTGAGTACGTACACACAGATAGAAACCTTGAATTTCCCAAGGAACCTAATCCCCTCCATGAAGTGAGGTGGTCAGAACCTTGTGCTGTGATTTAGGCGAAATAAACGAAAGAGAAAAGAGAGATTGAGGCAATATACTCTATTAGGGTTTCTTATTAACTCGTGTGTTTTACTTTTACTTTACAAACCCTTATGAAGTTTATATATACAACTCAAGAAAAAACTCTATAAACCTTTGGCCCATGAGAGAAGCAAGTGGCCCAGAGCATCCATCTCATCTGGAGTTCCACTCCACCTTTCTCCATGTGGGGTTAATTTCCTCATTGGGAGGATTATTGGTCCGTGGGCCAGCCTGTTTTGGCCCACAAACGATGACAAAAAAAAAAAAAAACCTTTGGCCCATTGACCAGTGCCCATGAGAGCTGGCCCTTTTGCCACGGTATACTGATTATAAGACACCTTGAATAACACTTTGGAACACAAGTTTCACCAACTGTATCTCCCAATTATCATGCCGCCGGTTTCCATTGAACACACACACAAAATCCCCAAAGAAAATTTCTCTACTTCTCTTTATAAACGCACCAATGGCTTGTTTGCAATTTAAAACAACCAAACGGAGAGATCCTTAACAATGTTCGGGCAAATTTCATCACAAAACCAAACACCGATAAAAAGATCAGTCCATGTTTTCAGAATTTTCAAGAACTTGGAAAGCATTTGTTGATTTTTTTTATTACAAAACAGAGTAAGAAGAAAAAGAGACAAAACAGAGCAAGAGACGAGAGTTTGTCTCTTCTCTTATGAAGAAGAAGAATATAACGAGGAATGGTTTTACTTACTCTGAAACTTGATTTAGTTACATCGTGTTACAATGAGTTATATAATAATACAAAACACAACGAACAGTTGCGACTACAACGAAGAGTTGCTACTCTCTACTACTTGTGTGTGACACAAAACCGCTCGTGTAACACAACCTAAACTTAGACATCTTTAAGACTAAACTCAATTAAATCCAACAGCATTGCCTACCCTTTAATGACGTACGAGGAGAATCTAAAGAAGGTCTTCCAAGCCTGGATATGTCGTCGATGGATGCCAAGGAATGGACAGAGATTCTTGACGCGATTTCTTTTTCCCCAAACGAAACCAATCATGACCCATTAATCAACCCTACCGGTTCCTGTTCTTTGTCTTCTCGTGTTTCTTGCTAAACAAGGAAATACAGGGGAGTGAGGAGGCGTCGATCTGTGGGGGAAATTTGCAGCCGAAATCAGGGATTCGACGAGAAACGGTGTTAGGGTTTGGCTCGGGGCGTTCAAGACTGAAGAAGAAGCAGCTATGGCTTACGATAAAGCCGCGGTTAGAACTAGAGGAATTCAAAAAGCTCACACCAACTTTCAACTCGAGATGGTTATAAAAGCTATGGAAATGGATTGCCTCCCAAGTTACTACCCGAGAAACCGCTCAAATACGCCCCAACCGTTCACAAACCGCCACGAGATTAGACTGGGAACGGGAAATGAGGCGCTTAGGGCTTCATCACTTGTGGACTTCTTGGGAGTGAAGAAATTTGGTTAGGGTCAAGAAGGAGACAAAGAAGTGATGAAGATTGTATGTTTCAAGAAGAGGAGACTGATGAGATGAAGAAGATGGTTACTGGAGACGAGACATTTTATGATGTATTTGGTTTATTTGAGTTTGAGGATTTGGGAAGTGATTATCTTCTTTTTGACAGAACAACAATAAAACATAACTGACCAAAATCTTGTACTGTTGTCTTGTTTCCCCTTATGAGTTTTTGATGATAAAAAATAAATCAAGATTCTCTTTTCGTATGAATTATAAGTTGTGGTGGTCAATGGTTCCAAACCAATAAAATTTATCTGAAAATTGAATAATTGATTTTTGATCTATTCTCTGGCAAGACCATCTAATAGTAATCTTGAGGAAAAAAAATGGGAGAATTGTGATTATACACAGAAAAAAAGGGAGGTTTGTCCATATAAAGGATTAAAGGCTAAAATGGGAAAATCATGTTCTGTGTTTTCTTTTAAAGGATTAAAGGCTAAAATTAAGGAAAAGAACATATGCAATTAAAAAAAAAAAACTATTGAAGAATAATCATTAGTCAAAGATAAACCTTGAATCGACTAACTAGTAAGATGTAATCTAATAAGAAAGTTAACTTAAAAGAAGAAAAAAAGTCATCTGAAAATTCTACAAGATAAGGTAGAGGAAGAAGAAGTAGCGGGCTCGAGACAAACATTGGATCTTCTCTTCATGCATTTGGGATCAATCGATAGAGATGGCGAAGAGGGCACGTGACGAATCAGAAGCGAAGAGGACAATGGTGTTGATGAGACGAAGAGATTGGTGATGTCCTGAAGAGGCTTTCTAAGATTTTTTCTTCTCATTCTGATATGGGTTTTGTCTTTATCGACTGATGAACAATCCAAAGGCTTGACAGAAATGGTGGCCATGTATGAAGGTGGGACATTCTCTTTGTTGTCGTTTTGAGGTTTTAGATCGAGAGCAGCCATTAATGTAGAGCTGGAAGGAGGAAGTGTTTATGGGATTGAGCGAAATAGAGAGAAGAGAGAGAGATAGATGGGATTGAGGATAGAAGGAGGAACTGTATATGAAGTCAGTGAATAGGAGGGACTTTGAACCATATTTGGAAGTGATGAAATCTGAGATTTGTTTTTGAAATTTTTGTGGAGGGATTTTTGTTTTTGGTTTTGAGAATGGTTCTAAAATTTTATGAAACTAGAGAAAAGGGCTATGTGTTATGGAGGGAACTCGTGGTGGAAAAACTAAGATTCTGATCAGTTTCCATTTTGGTTAGAAAAATCGGTTTTGTTTTTACTAAAACAAGTTTTGACTCTTGACTTTGAGAGATCTCAAATCATTTTATTGTACCAGATGAAGTAGGTTTTTACGCGCCATTTTTAATTTAGTATGTGCGCCAAGAAAGAAGAGGGAACCCCCAACTGTAAATAACATTTCCCATGTATCTTTTTCCATGTCTTTGTCTGCAGGTAAACCAATCTTTTCACAATGGGAACAACATCTTAAGATTTCAATCTATGCCAACAAAATTACACAGCTAGCCCAAAGTTGAGGAATAGAACAATGAGGAAAATAGTGAAATCTGAAAGATAGCATCTCACACCAAGTTATCAAGAAGTTGTACTTGACAATCCCTTGTCTTAAAAATAATTTTTTCACGCAAGCGGTTTCAGAAAATTCCTCTATGCTCTAGCAATGCCGAGTTGGCTTTGGTTATGATCCAATTCCTCTATGTTCAGATCATTAGATGTTTCTCCTGAGTATCTTTAGAACTTCTTTTAGCAGGTGCAGACATGGCGAAATCTGATCAGTATCACCTTTGCCAACAAACTGCCAAGAGGAAATTGCCATCAAACCAAAAGAAGACCAAGTTACAATGCCATCAGTATCACCTTTGCTGTGTGGCTAAACATCATCAAGAAAAGAGTTACAGTTTTGATTACTTTATAAAACAGTAACAGAGAACTGAAACAGGTCACTTACTTCTAAGCGGCATGCATTGGCGAAAAACCCTGCAGTCACTGCTTTTCTCACAGCCTGAAAACATAAAAATACAATAAACATCAAAAATCTTCAGCCTTTTTAAAACTGAAGCAAAGTAATAGACAAGAAGGATGATTCTACTTTGGTCAAAAATATTTTCAGAGAGTTCGTTAGCTCAAATCTATAATAGCAATAGATACCTCGGCGGCTGCAAAGACAAGACAACTACAAGACAAGAGTTGAAAAAGTTTTGTACCTGAATCACGGTAGAAACAAGATTTGACCTTTGCATTTCCGGAATGCCTTCTCCAGGCATTTGGTTGAGAAAATAATCTTCGGTATATAACCTATATGATTAATGTCAAGGCAAGACCAGAGTTAAACCATTCATAGTTAGAAAGAAAGAATTGAGAATTATATACCACAAATCAGGCCTAAATATACAGCTTTTAAACAAGAATAAGTATACAGCTTTTAAACAAGAATATAAACTTACCTGTAACACTTTCCAGGCCGAACTCGCCCAGCCCTACCAGACCTTTGTCTAGGCAGATGCTTTGGATATTCGTGCCACCACAAGACTTTCGATATCTGAAATCTGTGAAAAGGAAGAAAAATGCAAGATGTTTCAGAAATGTCCAATATACTACAAACGACTAAACTGAAAATATAAACAAAAGAAATGGTGATGAAGAAACTTACTGGATTGTAGAATTTCTGCTTTGAGAAACCACTATCAATCACATAGACAACCCCCTGAATAAAGAAAAAAGTACAGAAAGTTATTCACGATGATGCTTTTAGTAATATTTGTGCGAGACAGTAACAAAGAAAGCTTGCCTCCAGTGTAAAAGGCGTTTCCCACTGATTTTTCCAGTGGTTCGGTTTATCAGAAGATTCGATTTGTCAACATTTCGGTTTTGGTTTAATCCCAATTTAAGGGTGGCAATATCCTCTTTATCGGGAAAGGTTCGGTTATAGCTAGGCTGCTCTTTATTCCTTCTCCCTGGTTTTTATCACTCTTTTTTTTTGTTTGCCACTGTCAATTATCGGCTAATGTAAGGGCTTTTATTAACCACACTCTTTACTTTTGGTAATATAAACAACCAAACCCATCTGATGCATACTCAAAGATGTTACTAAGGTAAGGTGACATAATATAAAGTCATGAAGAAATTATCAGGATGAGAGGTTTCTTGTCGTCATGGGAGGTTTCAATTAATCACCAGAGACAGAGAATAATTCGACTTTTCAAAATTTAGTCCAGGACTGACTTGGTTATTAGGCTGATGGATTTCCTTTGTTCCATCAACAACTCCCTCTCCTTCATTCTCTACATGCCCATTTTCTTCTGCTACCTGTTCACAAAAATCAAGTCAACGGTTGGTCCCGTGCATGGAAGATAAAGCAAATGATATAAACGAACCAACTTTTGGATCCATACAGCTCCAGAAGAACTTAGATCATCATCCGTGTTTCCATTTTCAAGTGCTTCTTCTGCTTCAACTTGCAGGTTTCTCAAGGCTTCCACGAGCGTAGTGAAAGATTTATCGGCATGGCTTGGATAATTTGCTGCAGCAGGATAAACTCTCCTGTAGATAAAACAAGAGTTTATTTCTTGGTTTGACCTAATCGGATGGTCTGAGCTATCAATATTAACCATCTCAATGTGACAATAATGAGTGGCTATGCTACGAGTACCTCGTCTTGACAGCATTCTCTTCAACAGAAAGAGCAACTTGCCAATCCTCAAAAAGGTTTGGGTACTCTTCAGGATCAGCCATAGATTCTGCTGCTTTAGAATTAACCTGTTGACAAGCCAAAGATAACTTAAGCCGTACAGTATATTTTCTCATTGACAAAACAAAAGGATGAGAAAACAACCTTGCTCACATATTTCCTCCAAAGAGCTACTATCTCTGAAACTTTGCTTGGAAGATAAGAACGTGCCATCAGAGCAGCTTCTGGTATCCGGTTGCTGGGAAAAAAAATTCATGTCATCGAGATAAGCAGAAGCACATGAGACTGATTTTCTTCAAATTGCCGACTAAATATTTAATGAAATACCTCTCCACCAATAACTCTAGACAATCTTCCAATCTACCCAGCAAGAATAAGCAAAGAAAAGCGACATTATTCTTCCCCTCTTCTTTAGCAAGGCATGCAAGCTTTGACACCCCTTGAGCATCTCCCATAGAAGAATATAGTAGTAACAAACCACTCAAATCCATGGCGTACTTCATGCAATCCTCAGCCAATAGAAACTATCATGCATGGAGCACACACAAATGCAATAGAATCATTATGAATCCACCAAGACCAGAAGAAAACTTAAATATAGTAACTTTCTGCACATAGAGTTGTTTTTCTTACTACCACTACAAAACTCTAAAAAGATGTACCTTCCCAGAGGACATGGCCAACTCTCCTAACTGCTTCCATTTAGACTCGCTCTGCACTTCTTCAGCGATTTCCTACAAGCATGGAAAACACATACAAGAAACAAATTGCATTGTAAGTTAAAAGATGAAGTCAAAGTACTTCTTAACGTATTATTCATCACAAATATAATATTACCTTTGCGATTTCAAGTCTACCCAATTGTATGGCCAGCTCAAATCTGTAGTCAGGATTGGTCGCAGTTTCTAAAGCATCTTCAATCATTCCCCGAGACTCCAAGAAATGAGCAACACTAACAATTGGAAGCATTTACAGAACAGAATAAGAGAGAGATATACACAAAATAGTGAAGTACCAACAGGTAGGAGGGCATTAATGTAATATATCAAGCTGAGTGAATCATCATAAACATCTAAAAGAAAACCTAATAGAAATATTCTGTAAATATAACATCATGTAGGAGGCATTCGGAAATAAAGTGCGGGAATCCGTAAATGTAGAATTTTAGACCAAAACAACCTGGAACGTACTTGTTATGCTGCTCTTTAGGAATTGTAGGCAAAATTTCACTGGCTTTATCCAAATCACCTCGCATCACAAGAGACTTGTATTCAATCAGGCTAAAAAGCAGAGTATATCCTATGACACTGCACTCCCAAGATAAGGTGAAATACGGTCAGAAATTCTGAATGCGTCATAAAACAATATGAAATAAAACACAGAAAAAAAATTAGAGGAACGTACTTGTATTCTTTGTCTACCAAGTACACCCGGCTTTGATTGGCGATATAGCCCAGCAAATACATTGGACGGTCCAACTGATACATTGTAGTTACCTGTAGTAAGAATATTAGCCGCTAGATATAGTGTTGCTCATAAAAATGGTTGGATCTTTAAGGAAATCAGAATACACGCAAATTACCTTGCCTCCAACACAAAAGTTAAGCTTCCAAGAAGAGTTACTGTAAATGAAGCAGTCTCCGGCCCATATACCAGTCCTAACACGTTCATTTTCCTTATGGAGAGTCTCAAAAGCACCCACAACACCTTCATCAGTTGGTCTTTCACTATGAAAGTGCGAGGAAACCAAGTCACGCTGTAACAGCAAGGAACACCAGAGTAAGCATTTGGACAATCCATGAAAATAGATGGCTGGGAATGGAGGTAAAGTGGGATTCTCACATTGTACTTCATAATGTAGAATGACGTATCAGTAGCAATGGCTACTAAATCGCCACTTTCAGCCCAATAAATATTCCGCAGATCTGTTGCCGGAGCAGCACTGATGACAGTTGATTGGGATACCTTTACTGTGACTGTGATATCCACTTTTTTAATCAGTCTACATTCAGCCCAATCATAAAACCAAAGTGAACCGTTTGAACACATTGCTAACAAGGTTCCTCCAAAAATCTTCTCAGCTGAAAAAGTAGGCTGGATACTCTTCCTTTCCTGAAAAAAACCACATCAGACCCACCAATAGCTGTCTCCATTGCAAAAATGTACTGGAAAGGCCACAATGAGAATAGCAAACCTGAAAACTTTTACTGAAAATTTTTATCTTTGATGAGCTCTCTCTAACTGCACATTCCCCCTGGGATGACCAAACAAATTCCAGCCCAGGACCGACAGATTTATATCTCCAAGCCAAAGCTGTGTAGATTATGTACTCTCCTTCACCACAGACTACAACAAACCTCCCATTAGGGTTGTGCTTCAAGCTCTGAAAGTTAAAATCAATAAGTATATGTGAGATACAAGAGATGATTATTCCGAACCACACACACTCTTGGGATTTTGTAAGAAACAGAAGTCAAGTTTTATCATCTATTACAGCTGCATTTTAATTATATATTGTTCAAAGAACCATAGAAGCATGACGACTATGGGGATATCCACAACTTCAACGCACATGTCCATAACACCCCTTTAAGTGGGGACATGCACCCGAAATGTTTTCCCCAATAGATCCTATAATAATTCAGAACAACGGGACAAGTTTCAGTAACACTCACTTGTGGATAAATATTACAGGTTTCCAACTCTTTAACAGCCAAGGGAAGTCTTTCTCCATCAGTAACCTAAGGTAAAGAGATGAAAGCATAGAATCATCAGAAAATACACAAAAAATACCTTAGACGCAGAGGTTGGGCCATGCCATAATACAATTTTTATAGTTAGGAGCTAGACCTCGCAACCTGCGCCAATACTTTTGATGTTTGCAGTTTGAATTTCATTATGCTTAGCCCATATAATTTTTCCGTTACTGTCCATGCTAGCCACAGGAATTTCTCGCCCAAATTTAAGCATGATGGTTCCTTCATCATATCCAATCACAACCCTGTAAAATTCAAACACATTCTTGTATGATCAGTTGAATAGAGTGCTTACACTACTCCTGGAAAAAAATTCTAACAAAGAAAAAGAGGGAGCAAAAATCCAAAAACTCACCGGCGCAAACTCTTTATGCAACCAAAGCCCGAAACTCTCTCGCCACCATAGTCCAATGTGTTCTCTAGCCTGAAAAAAAAAAATCAATTGACAAAATAGAGAAATAAACCTACCTAGTGTGAAATGAATACAAAAAGAACCTCCTGAGCACAAGGTATAGTTGAGTGTTACGGACCCAAGAAATATCAGCATCGTTAAGAAAGTTTTGATATATATACCTGTAAGTCGTAGCGTGCCAAATGCGAACAATTCCATCCGCAGAACCTGTGAGTATTATTGGAAGCTCCGGATGGAAACAGACGGCAGATACATTACGTGTGTGCCCTTCTAGCGTCTGGACACAGCTTTTGGTTTGATAATCCCATACCAGACTCCAAAAGTACAAATAGTAAATGAAGTGCAAATATATAATGCTCAGGCAAAATAAATTCTGTACCGGAAGCATACCTTAGCAGTATGATCACGAGAGCCAGTAATTAAATAGGGCTTATTACCCCCTGTGAAATAATCTACACATGTGACTCCTTTCTGATGAGCATCCATTGTAAAATTTGGGTCTGGGGAACCAAGATTCCATATCTGAAGATGAACAAGCATGAAAGAGTAGTCTGAGCAAATATATACTTTTTTTCATGCCCATAAATCTAAATCTCCACTTACCTTGATGGTATGGTCAAGCGATGCACTGGCAAAAGTGTTGGTATCTGTTGGATTAAATACCACTTGCATCACATAGTTGGAATGTCCCTCAAATATCTGAGTACAAGCCCAACCATTTTCCCAGTCCCAAAGCTTTATGAGCATATCATCAGAAGATGACAGCACATATGGAAGGGTCGGATGGACAGCTACACACCTAATGCAATCCGCATGAGCCTCAAATACTTTAACCTTGTCCATTGTATAGTAATTGTATACACGAATGTGTGTATCATCTGCTCCTGTCACAACCCATTGCTTGCGCGGAATGAACTTGGCCGACCTAACTGTTATATAAAATTCAACAGAAACAAACTAAGCAAGGCAATATAGAGCAAGTAAAAAAATCTATAACAAAACATCATCAACTGAAAAGATGCTCACAAAAAAATTGTTATACCCGGCAATTCAGTCACCTCGAAGGATTTTGCTATCTTCTGAGGAAAAAATCATATTAGATTCAAATTAGATGAGATTCTAAAAAAACTGCCTAAAAGAAACAGTTACAGCAGGCTAAACTCATAGAACTCTTGTAGTGGGGAAACCCACACTTGTGCTTTGCTTTTTGGCCTTTCCATGTCTCGGAATAGGATACAAGCATTAAGAAAAGAGAAACAAAAAATAAAAATTTATTCACACCCACCTGTGTCTGGTAGTTCCAAATACACACGGTTCCAGAATGCAAACTTGCTAAAATCCTGCAACACCACGTTATTCAACACATTAGTTAGTAGTTTGTAGCAGCTTTGAAGGTATAAACATAAAAGAGACAGAGAGTAACTGTGGCTTTTCAAGTGATGAGAGTAAAATTGTTACTCATTCACCAAGTCACGACATCCAAAGTTGTAAGATAGCACAAATCAAAGTTGAAATTACCATGGTTCTGTAGGATGCAGATCCACAGATTTTACTTTCTCTGATGGTTGAGCAAACTTTTTCTGATGCAAACATAACAAAGGCACATTATCGCCACCGTATTATAAGGAGATAATAGAAAAGAGAGAGTTGATGAAAAGAAACACAATACCTTGATATCGAGTGAAAACGGCTGTTGCAAGAGAACAATAGTCAGTACTAACACGACAGCTTTTCAAAATTCAATTACTATAAATACAAATTCAATCTCATAAACGAAACGTCATACACACTATACTCTACTACAATCAATCAGGATCGCAAGTTCAATTTGAGACCTGGGGAAGAATATAAAAAGCTTCGAATCCTCACCATCTGTATACAGATTAAGCAGAAGATGTGCTCTTCGGATATACGAGCTTAACAATGGCTCTGGTGGTCTTAATTGAGAAAACTGATTCTCGTTTACCCTCGTTATAACTTGGGATTTATTAAATCTTTTCTTTAAATCAAATATTAATACTTTTAGAACACGCTAATTGTGCATTGAATAAGCAGAATCAACAATGAAACTGTCACTGGAGACCTATTTCCAGTACGAAAAATTAATCATATTCTTCACATCGATCGAACATTTTGTTACTCAAAACGACCAGTTGATTCCGTAGTAGGCGCTGACGGTAAATGTTCAACGGGAAGAAGACGACGGCGGCACCGGAGAGAAACAAATCGCCGACGAAGCTCAGGGGGGAGATTTGAAATGGATGGGCTGTGATTGAACGATTTAGTAATGGGCCGTATTTAAGATGTTGAGATGTGTAATTTGATTTCGTTTTATTTATATTTTGGCGCCGCTCTTCCTTTGAATTGATTATCTTGTGTGGTTAAAACAAGTTATACAACTTGGAGGATCTCATCTTGCTTGCTTGCATACACTAAACAAGTTATAGTAGAAGCAAAGTATTTGGTTTCAGGAATGGGACAAAGGCGTCAACAGAATCATAACATCACTCTTTTCCTACAAAGCACCATGAAACATTTGATCAGACCATATACATCTTCTTATTGTAAAAAAGAGGGTTAAGGAATATGCAGGTTACGAATCTACGCACTTTAGGAATATACATCTTGCATATCTCTCTTCTCTTATAGAGTCGTCTTCGTTAGAGTCAGATAATCTGAGCCGAGCCTGAAGATAGTTTATGGAATTAGAACACATAGATTTCATGAGGAGCCTAAAACCTTCCATGACATGAGGTGCTCAGTACCTTGGAACACAAGTTTCACCAACTCCACTTTTCAATTATCCTGCCGCGGATATCCCATTCAACGCACATAATAAAAAACCCAAATATTTTCTCTTTAAAACGCTCTTAATCCCACCAACACATACTCCTCTTGATCAATTCAACAATGGCGTTTGAAAATATCCAAGAACCAGACGGGGAGATCCTAAAGAATGTATGGGCGAATTTCATCAGAAAACCAGAAACTGATGAACGATCACCAGAAGTTTCTACCGTTTGGGAAGCATTGCCTACCATTGATGACGTACCAGGAGAATCTAAAGACGACATGAGTCACATGACAAAGCTTCCAAGCCTAGATATGTCGATGGAGGTGAAAGAATGGGCAGAGATTATTGACGCCATTGCTTCTTTCCCAAACGAAACCAATCATGACCCATTAACCAACCCTACCGGTTCCTGTTCTTTGTCTTCTCGTGTTTCTTGCAAAACAAGGAAATACGTGGGGGAAATTTGCAGCCGAAACGGTGCTAGGGTTTGGCTCGGGACGTTCAAGACTGCAGAAGAAGCAGCTATGGCTTACGACAAAGCCGCGGTTAGAACTAGAGGAATTCAAAAAGCTCACACCAACTTTGAACTCGAGATGTTTATAAAAGCTATGGAAATGGATTGCCCTCCCAAGTTACTATTGAAATTAAACTTGATTTTGATCAAGGTTTAATTTTGGGTCCATAAACAAATTATTATTAAACCCAAAATTAGGCCCAAGTTCTAGAACTCTCTAGAAACATCATAAGAGGTCATCACTTCCTCAAATTTTCTAGAGAATTCTACTAGATAACTCTCTAGATATTTATGTAGAACTTTCTAGTTCTTGTAAGACAAGAAATCTAGATATTATGTTAGAGAGTTCTAGAGATTAGGATAAACTTGTAAGATAATTTGTAGAAAGTTGTAGAAGAAGAAGAAGAAATATCTAGGACCTAAGGAGGTTATAGAAGAGTGTAGAAACTTTGTAAGTAGATTTGGGAGGCTATAAATACCTCCTCACCCCCTCATTTGTAAATGCACAAGAAATTGAACAAGTTAATAAAGAGTGTTCTAAAGCTAAGTTCTCTCTTGTTCTTCTTAAAAGTCTTTCAAGTATTCTCTTGTGTTCTTCCATATTTCTCTTCATACTTAGAGGGTTTATTGTTTCTTTCGGGTTTCTCGGGTATTACGGTCTTGGGCTAGTGCTAAGCACTATCGGTGCTGGTTTCTCTACATGGTATCAGAGCCATTCTAATCTTGTGCTCATCAAGATCGGGACTTAGGAGAACTCGGGTTTACTCTAAGTATGGAATCAATGGGTCGTGTTGTTGGATTGGGAATGGAGATCTTAAACCAATCTAACTACCGGTTATGGAAGTCATGTATGGAGTCATACTTGGTGAGTGAGGACTTATGGGATGTCGTCGGCGGCAGTAGCACCACACCACCAATGGGAGCTGCTGCGACAGCGGAAGCGACAAAGGAATGGACACGGAAGAATGCCAAGGCGGAGTTTGCATTGAAGAGGTCAATATCCTCGGGAGTATTTGAGCATGTCTCAAGGTGCACATCCGCTAGTTCCATTTGGCAAGCGTTGGACCAACTGTTCAACAAGAAGAATGAGGCTCGTCTACAACTGTTAGAGAACGAGTTGGCGAATGCGAAGCAGGGGGAGTCTTCAATCTCAGAGTTCTTCATCAAGGTAAAGAACCTTTGCTCTGAGATTAACACTCTTAATCCGGAGGAGTCTATTTCGGAAGCTCGGTTAAAGCGGTCTATTATTCGTGGTTTACGACCCGAATATACACCGTTTGTGACTTCCGTTCAAGGATGGGCTACACAACCTTCCTTGGAGGAGTTTGAAAATCTGCTAGCTTCGCAAGAATCCTTAGCCACGCAAATGGCGGGAGTCAAAATCCATGATGACTCGGGGAGCGCTTTTGTAGCTCGGAGGCAACAGAGCTACAAAGGAAAAACCAAGAATGATGGTGTAAAGAATAATGATGGACGGGAAAGATCTTCTACGGGAGACAAGAAGCAGTTCAAGTGTTACCGGTGTGGAAAGCTTGGGCATTTCAAAAAGGACTGTCGGGTCAAGCTGAAGGAAACCAATATGGCGGAATCAAAAAGTCATACTGAAGACGAAGATTGGGGGAAATGTTTCACGGTGGAGGCTGCATCTTCAGGTACATCCACAACTAAAAATCTTGGAAATGATTGGATTGTGGATTCGGGTTGTAGCCATCATATTACCGGAAACGAGAAGTTATTTTCTAGTCTTCAACGTCATGACGGGAAAGAAGCTATTATCACTGCGGATAATTCAATCCACCGGGTTGAGAAGGAAGGGACTATTGTTATTGAAGGAGAAGAAGGAGGCCCAATCACTCTCAAGAACGTATACCATGTCCCTGGAGTTAAGAAGAATCTTCTTTCCGTGGTGAATGCGGTGGACTCAGGTAACTACGTTTTATTTGGACCAAAAGACGTTAAATTCTTGAAGAATATTCAAGAGTTAAAGGCGGACGTAGTTCACACCGGAGCACGGGTTAAAGATCTTTATGTCTTATCGGCCTCAAATTCGTACATTGAGAAGATGAGTACGAATGATAATGCTTTTATTTGGCATGCTAGGCTTGGCCATATAAATATGACTAAGCTGAAGGCTATGGTGAATAAAGATCTGGTTAATGGGCTCCCAAAGTTGAAGATTCAAGATGAAGGAAAGCTTTGTGAAGGTTGTCAATATGGAAAATCACATAGACTTCCATTTGACAATTCTACTTCACGATGCAATGCTCCGTTGGAGAGGATCCATAGTGATTTGATGGGTCCGACGAGAACATCCTCCTATTCCGGGTTCCGCTACATGCTGTTGTTCGTTGATGATTACTCACGGTACACCTGGGTATACTTTGTGAAGGAAAAGTCAGAAGTATTCTCCAAGTTTCAAGAATTCAAGGTTACCGTGGAAGGAGAGTTGGGTCGGAAAATCAAGACCTTAAGGACGGATAATGGAGGGGAGTTTATGTCAAACGAGTTTCTCTCTTTCTGCCGAAAGCATGGTATCAAGAGAGAATTTTCATGTCCATACACACCTCAACAAAATGGAGTAGCAGAAAGGAAGATAAGGCATCTAAGTGAGACGTGTAGAAGCTGGCTACATGCGAAGAATTTGCCTAAGGCTCTATGGGCAGAAGGGATGAGATGTGCAGCCTATGTCATCAATCGGATGCCGCTTAGTCCAAATAATATGAAGTCTCCTTATGAGATGGTTCATGGGAAGAAGCCAACAGTGAAACATCTCAGGATATTTGGATCTATCTGCTATGTCCATGTGTTCGACTCTCAAAGAACCAAGCTGGAGGCAAAGGCGAAAAAGTGCATCTTTGTCGGCTATGATGAACAAAGGAAGGGGTGGAGGTGTATGGATCCAGAGACACACAGATACACTGTATCTCGTGATGTTGTCTTTGATGAAGTGTCTTCATATTACGGATCTCCTCAAGTCTTGGTTGAGCAAGATGGTGCGGGCTCACTTAAAGACGATGAACCAGCTGCTCAGATACCAAGTGATGGTGGAATTTCTGAACCAGAGATGCAAGGTGAAAGGGGGAGCACTAACCAAGAGGAAGAGGAGGAGGAAGATCATGGTTCCTTGGCTAATCAACGACCAAAACGGGACATCGTTAAACCTGCTCGGTACAGAGATGAAAGGTTTGTTACTACTTACTCATGCTACTTTGCATCTCCTTTTGATGAAGAAGAACCATCATCTTATGATGAAGCAAAAGGAGTTAAAGAGTGGGAGACCGCAATGAAGGAGGAGATGGATGCTCTAAAGAAAAATGAAACTTGGGATTTGGTTCCAAAACCCAAGGATGTCCAACCCGTCTCATGCAAATGGGTGTACCGGATCAAGCGTAAGAGGGATGGAAACATTGATAGACACAAAGCAAGATTGGTTGCTCGGGGATTTTCTCAGAAGTATGGAGAAGACTATGATGAGACTTTCAGTCCAGTGGCGAAGATGACTACGGTACGTACACTCTTATCTTTAGCTGCAAGCTTTGGCTGGAAGTTATGGCAGTTAGATGTGAAGAACGCTTTTCTATACGGAGAACTTGATAAAGAAATCTATATGGAGCAACCACTTGGTTACATATCACAAGAGCATCCCGATTATGTTTGCAAGCTAAAGAAGGCTTTGTATGGGTTAAAACAAGCTCCAAGGGCCTGGTATGGAAAGCTTGCTCAGTTTCTTCAGTTTTGCGGTTACTCTCCGTCGAACTCTGATCCGAGTCTGTTCTTCAAGAAGAATGGAGGAGTCCACGTGGTAGTCCTTCTTTATGTGGATGACTTGATAATTACCGGGAATGATGAAGCGGAAATTGCTCGTCTGCAAGAGGATATGTCGATAAGGTTTGAGATGAAGATGTTGGGTGAGCTGAACAACTTTCTTGGTTTGGAGGTTGAAAGGATGAAGGATGGAATATTCATCGGCCAACATAGCTACGCAAGAAGGATTGTAGAGAAGTTCGGGGTACACGAAGGAAAGACACGTACTACTCCGATGGATGCGAACATCAAGCTGAAGCGCGATGAAGGATCCTTGCTACCCGATCCTCGGCCTTATCGTTCTCTTGTGGGAAGTCTTCTATACTTAACCATTACAAGACCTGACATTTCCTTCGCGGTTGGTCTTGTAAGTCGGTTTATGCAGTCACCAAGGAAGCCACATCTAGAAGCGGCAAAGAAGATCTTGAAGTATGTGAAGACAACTCTTGGCATGGGTCTAATGTACAAGTACAATGCCAAGGTCTCTCTCTATGGCTTCACGGATGCTGACTTTGGTGGAGATCTAGATGGTCGAAAATCAACTTCGGGCTTTGTGTTCTTGTGTGGAGACACAAGCGTTTCATGGTGCAGCAAGAAACAAGCAACGGTGTCGCTGTCTACCACTGAAGCGGAGTATAAAGCTTCGACGCTCGCAGCCCAAGAGTGTATTTGGCTTCGAAGGCTTCTTGAAGATTTGTTTGAGCCAATCAACAAGCCGGTTGCCATATATGGAGATAACCAAAGTGCTATCAAGCTGGCTAACAATCCGGTGTTCCATGCAAGGACGAAGCATATTGAGTTGGAACATCACTTCATACGGGAGAAGGTGCTTGATGGAACAATTGAAGCTTTGGAGGTTCGAAGTGAGGATAATGTTGCAGATATCTTCACCAAGTCACTACCAAAAGGTCAGTTCGAGTTACTTCGCTCGAAACTCGGGATGGTTGATAAAATCAAGTTTAAGGGGGAGTATTGAAATTAAACTTGATTTTGATCAAGGTTTAATTTTGGGTCCATAAACAAATTATTATTAAACCCAAAATTAGGCCCAAGTTCTAGAACTCTCTAGAAACATCATAAGAGGTCATCACTTCCTCAAATTTTCTAGAGAATTCTACTAGATAACTCTCTAGATATTTATGTAGAACTTTCTAGTTCTTGTAAGACAAGAAATCTAGATATTATGTTAGAGAGTTCTAGAGATTAGGATAAACTTGTAAGATAATTTGTAGAAAGTTGTAGAAGAAGAAGAAGAAATATCTAGGACCTAAGGAGGTTATAGAAGAGTGTAGAAACTTTGTAAGTAGATTTGGGAGGCTATAAATACCTCCTCACCCCCTCATTTGTAAATGCACAAGAAATTGAACAAGTTAATAAAGAGTGTTCTAAAGCTAAGTTCTCTCTTGTTCTTCTTAAAAGTCTTTCAAGTATTCTCTTGTGTTCTTCCATATTTCTCTTCATACTTAGAGGGTTTATTGTTTCTTTCGGGTTTCTCGGGTATTACGGTCTTGGGCTAGTGCTAAGCACTATCGGTGCTGGTTTCTCTACAGTTACTACCCGAGAAACCGCTCAAATACGCCCCAACCGTTCACAAACCGCCACGAGATTAGACTGAGAACGGGATATGAGGCGTTTAGGGCTTGTGATAAAGTCGTTGATGGGATGGTTGTAAACAAATGTGCCCTTTGCTGTTGTTCAAATAAGGAGTACTCGAAGACTTGTGGACTTCTTGGGAGTGAAGAAACTTGGTTAGGTTCAAGAAAGAGACAAAGAAGTGATGAAGATTGTATGTTTCAAGAAGAGGAGACTAATGAGATGAAGAAGATGGTTACTGGAGACGAGACATTATGTGATGTGGTTGGTTTGTTTGAGTTTGAGGATTTGGGAAGTGATTATCTTCTTTTTGACAGAACAACAATAAAACGTAACTGACTAAAATCTTGTACTGTTGTCTTGTTTCCCCTTATGGATTTTTTATGAATACAAATTAATCAAGATCCTCTATTCGTATGAATTATAAATTGTGGTGGTCAATGGTTCCAAACCAATGAAAAATTACGGTAATGAAACAGGTCATAGAAAGGAAAAATTAATTACATTGGAGTCTAATTATAAAAGAGTTCACAAGTTGAATTATTTTTCTTATAATTTGAGTGGTTTTTTATTTTTTTTATAATCAAGTGTTATGGATCAAAAGTCTCGACAAATATGGATGCATGGAGTGAGTAATCAAATAAATTTATCCCTGAAACAAATTGAGAAATGATGTTAAGAATTCCATCAAGAACTCTAAATAATTCTATCTATTGTTATCATTTCCTTTACATGAACATGTATTTGGTTTATATCTACAAATAATTTTTCACAAGATATACGTAATTTTCTAAACAAAGAAACTTATTATTAGTTTTTCTTTAGAGTTGGTAGGATGATCAATGTGTACCCATTCAACTCAAACATCTGTCTTCCAATAATCTCACTTCTACACCATATTTAAATGTATTTACAACAAAATTTTCAAGCCATAAATGTTTATACCATATATAACCTTTTCCTAGTTATCTTCTTACACATTGCTATCAGTTTATATATTTATGGAAACGTTTCTGAGTGATTTGATTTGACAAAGCTACAAATTAAATTGAAGAAATATTCCTTAACCACACACAAAGTATTTGTTTTCCTTGCAAGTGTATATTAGTTCTGCGTTTACCAGTTCATGGCGGCCATAAACCTCGAGATTTCGTCAAACATGTTTGTTCTCTAATCTTTCCAACGACTTTCAAAACATATATGCTTAGTCATGCATTTATAATAACAAATCATTGCAATCCAATCATTTTTTAAAAAAAACACAAACAAAACCAATAAGTTTTCGTCGTTACCCACTACCCTTGTTTTTTATTTCATTACAAAACACAACAACAACACATCATTGCAAAACATCTCTCTAAATTCTATCATTTAAGATTTCACTACATCGATCAAAGATTTGTATTTTCTTTTGGTTTCAGAAAAAGAACAACAATGGGAGCGTACAAATCCGACGACGACTACGATTATCTCTTCAAACTAGTCTTGATCGGAGATTCCGGCGTCGGAAAATCAAACCTTTTGTCTCGATTCACCAGAAATGAATTCAGCATCGAGTCAAAGTCAACCATCGGCGTCGAGTTCGCTACAAGAAGCGTTCATGTCGACGACAAAATCATCAAAGCTCAGCTTTGGGACACCGCCGGTCAAGAAAGGTAACAAACCCTCGTGACCTCTCTGTTTTCTCTCTCTATGTGTCCTTTTTTCTTTCACAAACAAAACCAAAATGCTTAAACCGGAATTGAGCCAAATTTTGGTTTTTTTGCACTATCAAACTTTTATATTTTTGTTAAATGTTGGAACCAAATATAGCTTGGTTACAAACATATATTTGATTTTAGTGTAATTTCATTGAGTTTTTAAATTTATATAGTTGTATATATACATAAGAAAATATAAAAATTGATGTACTGTAGTTAGACATATATAATATTTGGTTAATGAATGTTTGCTTATGTTGTTGTTTAGTTGACCAATGTCTATGTGCTCTTTATGCGCTGTATTTTTTTCCTCTGGCTTTTGTTTTGAGCAATTTCGATTTGCTTGCTATACAGATACAGAGCAATCACGAGTGCATACTACAGAGGAGCAGTGGGAGCTCTTCTTGTTTACGACATAACTCGACACATAACGTTCGAAAACGTTGAACGTTGGTTAAAGGAGCTTCGTGACCATACCGATGCCAACGTCGTGATCATGCTTGTTGGAAACAAAGCCGATCTTCGTCATCTTCGTGCGGTTCCCACTGAAGAAGCTAGATCGTTCTCTGAGAGAGAGAACATGTTCTTCATGGAGACTTCTGCTCTTGATGCTACAAATGTTGAGCAAGCTTTCACTCATGTCTTGACTCAGATCTATCGTGTAATGAGCCGTAAAGCACTTGATGGCACTGGAGATCCAATGTCTTTGCCTAAAGGACAGACTATTGATATTGGAAACAAGGATGATGTTACTGCTGTTAAATCTTCCGGTTGTTGCTCCGGTTGAGATTTTATTTATTATTGTAAACTTTTTGTTTTTGGAGGGAGGTTTTTGGTTTTTGGAATGGTTGTATCTGAATTTTCATTTTCATTTTTTTTTGGTGGGATGTGTTTTAAGGTCATGAGACCGGTTTGGTTTTACAACACAAACCGAATTTGGATCGAACTGAAGAAGACTTGGTAAGTTGGTATGGTTAGTTAATAAGGTCAGTTTAGTCGTAAAACAAAACTGAACCGAGCCAAAAATAATTTGGTTAATGTTCAGTTATAGTTTTTTTCAAGAACTAAACCGAAAGCGAACAAAAAAAAACGAGAAATAGCATCCTTAAACATGTTACTTACGTGTGTTTAATACTTTGTTTAACAATTGAGTTCTTGCTGTTCTTTATTTTCTGATTATCGATTTCTTTACTAACTAATACTTGCTAGCCACTCAATCTTTAACCATTTATCTGACTAGCTACATTAATTTCTTTTTATCAAATTTAAAACATGAAAAATATACGAGACAACCGAACTAGTTCTAATCAATTCAAACCGATTCTGAACAAACCTTCATAAAGAAGAAAAAAAACCCGAAATGCTTGTCATTATGGTGTAAGATGTTCACCATAATTTACACATGTATAATGTTTTCGATTGTTGTTAACTTTTATATTCACATATATTTGTTCTTTTAATAAAGCATGTATGTTCTCGAAATGTTAAATCTCTTATACCAAGATACCAAATAGTGCATACAAGTGTATAAAGAGATCAACGTGATGACATTAAAGTAAAAAGAACTTACCAAAACCAACAAAGAAAGAAATACGACATACGTGTTCCACACGGAGCCAAGTTAGGTCCACCGTCCGAATTATGACAAGGTCTTTCCTTCCAAGTCTCATCAATAACATGCGGATGTTTATTGTTTCGTACACTTGACAACATCATAATTTGGATTTTGGACGGTGAAAAAATATCATCTTAGTTCATGCGGATAATTTTTCTTATTAATAATTTATGATAAATGAGAGCAGTGCAGCAAATATCAAATTATACAAATATTAAACCGGATTTTTAAAAAGAATGAATATCAAAATGTAGATGTTTTGAGAAAATGGTGAAAAAAATAACTTTTTCACGTGCTTACTGAATAATTGGGTTTTCTGGTACTAAAAGGCCCAACTTCTGGAGCATATTTCCTCTTTTATCTTATTTCATTGGTGAGTTCTCTGGATTTGTTTTGGAACTTTATAATAACGGAATATGTAACGTGCAGGTCTCAATGCGTGGCTAATATGACTTCGTAAACTGACGACGTTAGTTAAAAACTATGCAACCAATATCCATTTAATTATATGTCTTTCTAAAAGAAACCATATACAATGACACAAGGGTGAAGGAAACGAAAACTCGTAGTTGACTAAGCACTTTACGTTAGTTAAACATAATTCTACCGAATAATTTACTTATCTATTTTGTTAGACATTACTTGACCTCCACGATGAATAAGTCTTATTTAAAAATTTACGAGCTAATCGAAAGATTCTCAACACAAGTAAGATATCAAAGTTATTAATTTAAATGGTGCATTAGATAATTCTTGTACGACGCTCTTCTCATTGACATTTCACACGTTCCAACTAAGAGTACTCGAGTAATTGATTCCCACTAGGATTTTACGAAATTGATCTAAACAGAAAACAAAATATTACATGCTGTTTTCGGGCCTAGGGATTACGAGCTTTGGCCCAGAACCTCCTAGTAATTCATAAAAAAAAAAAAAAAAAAAAATCACAAAAAGTTAATTAGAAAATTAAAGATTTAGTAACGACATGGAGAATTGTTCATGGGAAAGTAGTCATCATCAGTCGCACACATGTCACGAAAATAAGATAAACGTATCAAAACCATAAACTTAAAACAAAAATGAATTATAGTCCTCTATTAAATAAAGAAGCGTGTGCAAGAACATACTTCACTTAAACAAAGACTTTTGTTTGGTCTCAAAAGGTTACTTGCAAGTCATAAGAAAATGTAAAGTAGCCTTTTCTCTCACCTCTCTTATATATCCTTCATCAATATTCCTTCTTACATCATTCAAACCAAATCATTTCCCAAAATCATAAAAAACATATATAGAGAATGAAGAAAGGAAAAAGCTTGCAAGATATGGAGATCAAAGTCGTTGAAGATCATCAAGAAAACGCTGAAGAAGAAATCAAAAAGCCACTCCTAGAAGAAAACAGAGACTTTCCGGATATAGAAAGAACAACATGGATACAAAAGGCAATAGGTCAAACGTTTCAAACCACGGCTCATTTAGCTAATCTCTTACCAACAGGAACGGTTCTCGCGTTTCAACTCTTATCGCCGATATTCTCAAACGGCGGTCAATGCGATTTAGCTAGCAAGATCATGACATCAATGCTAGTGGCGATATGTGGATTATCTTGTTTCATACTCAGCTTCACGGATTCTTACAAAGACAAAAACGGTACTATTTGCTACGGGTTTGCAACAATCCATGGGTTTTGGATCATTGATGGATCCACAACGCTTCCTCAAGAACTATCTAAAAAATATAAGCTGAGGTTTATAGATTTTGCTCATGCTGTCATGTCGTTGTTGGTGTTTGGTGCGGTGGTTCTGTTTGATCGGAATGCGGTAAATTGTTTTTTTCCGGCACCATCAGCGGAAGCGTTGGAGGTTCTAACGGCGTTGCCGGTAGGCGTAGGAGTGTTTTGTAGTATGTTGTTTGCAACGTTTCCTACAACACGCAATGGTATTGGCTTTCCAGGCTCTGGTAAATGATTTCGATGTATCATATATTTTTAAAATTTATTTGTAATAAGATCTATACATGTTACTTGTTGTTCAAGATTCTTTATTTTGATGATCTCTTGAAAAGGAATTGTTACAAATTAAAAACCATGTAAATTGTTTCTGATAGAGATGTATTCAAGCTAGCAATAATAATTTATGAAAAACGTAACATTGACGAGTGGTCACATTTGCTGATTTTGGATATCAGAAACACATTCTTTATGAAATTTTGGTTCATATCTCGATTATGCATATTTGTGTCCACAACTCAACATATGACTTTCTATAATTTTTATATTTAAATCGAACAAAAACTAAAAACAAAAAGAGAGGTAATTTAGATTACCTCAGAGTAACAAAGTCTTGCAACACGAAATTTGGACAACCCTCATAGAGTCACATACTCACATCTGAGGATCGGGGTAAATTAATCTCTTGGCGACGAGTACCATCGAACCCTGGTGGCTAGTGTTAGTTGTTGAGTAACACAGCCATTCTGGATGGGATCGAATTGGTGATATAAGCACCAATTTAATTTTACTTAACACGATAACAAACTAACAATAACCGAATGGTTCCCGGTTTTGACCGGTTTGCTAGATTTAATTTAACAAACCAGAAACAAATTGACGGTATAGAGGTATCAGAGATTTAAAAGAACAACGCCATTGCATCTTCGGTCTTCCTCATCATCCAATTATATCATCAATGTTTCTTTGTTCCGTTTAAATCTGAAAGTCAAAAACTATGTTTCTCAAGTTCGGTTACTTTTATTATGGTGAACAACGATTTCAAAGAGTAGAAAGAACACAAAAAAAAAAAAAAAAAAAAAAAAAAAAGCAAAAAGAGAGGTAATTTAGATTACCTCGAATCGGCTAACGCGCAGCAGAGGCAAGCGGGCATCATACCAATATCACTCGAACCCGGGATGTGAGAGATGTGACTCGATCATCATTCATCATGCTGAGTCAAACCAACTTTACTGGGCTCGAATTGGTGTCCTTATACCCACTTCATTACTACTTAAATAATCGTTTTCTAATTTCCGGTTTAATCCGGTTCGCTAAACATCTTTCACCTCTACGATTTTTAGACTCTTGTACCGCTTTCTTACACTCTTGAAGATTTTGTCTGAGTCTCTATTTCCTGGGGAAAATATTCATAACCACCTGGTTGTGTTCGGTTTGTCGAAAATTCTCGAGATTTTTGAGTTCATTGATTGGATTTTACGGCGAAATGTGGTCTCTTGGCTTTCCAGGCTCTGGTCTGGTAAATGATATCGATTTTATCATATATGTTTAAATTTATTTATGATGTGAATACATGATCTATACATGTTACTTGTTGTTCAAGATTCTTTCTTTTGATGATCGCTTGAAAAAGAATTGTTACAAAAATCATGTAAACTGTGTTCTTAATTCTGATAGAGATGTATTCAAGTTAACAATAATAATCTATGCAAAACATAACATTCACGAGTGTTTACATTTGTTGATTTTGGATATGCATAAATTCTAAAGGTTTTCAAACTATGAAATTTGGGTTCATATCTCGATTTGACGATGCATATTTGTGTCAACAACTCAACATATGATTTTCTTTAATTTTTGATATTTTAATTGAAATACTATTATGTATGTTTCATATGCAGAATTTAATGAAGCCTGAAGCCTTAACAACACAATTTTTGTTTTATGTTCCAGTACATGACAACAGATTGACAGTTAAAAAACCAAAATACTTTCTTTGACATTAAGTGAAATATGCACAATTTAATGCCAAAACAAAAAGAGAGGTAATTTAAATTACCTCAAGGACCTCAGACAATTTAAGCAGAGAACTCAATCTCTATTGCCGACGAATTTAATCAAATCTCTTGCCTGAGGGGTACCATCGATGATCGAACCCAGGTGGCATGTGTAAGTTGTTAAATGACACAGCCGTCTTGGACGGGATCGAATTGGTGACAAAAGCTCTACTTTAATTTTACTTAAACACGATAAAAATAACCGAATCGTTCCCGGTTTTTACCGGTTCGCTCGATTTAATTTAACAAACCAGAAATAAATTGACGGTATCAAAGATTCAATCAACGCCATCATCATCCCACTCTATCATATTAGTGTTTCTTTGTTCCGTTTAAATTTGAAAGTCAAAACTCCATCCATCTCTGGTTCTCAGGTTCGGTTATTTTTTATGACAAACAACAAAGGAGAAAAGGAAAAGATAAGCAAAAGAAAGGTAATTTAAATTACCTCGTATCGGCTACCTCTCAGGGTAGCACAAACCGACCACAGAACTTCGCTTCAGGGAAGAGCTGGGCAACAGAGGCAAAGCGTGATCAAGACTCCTCTGCTGATATCACTCACGAGCGCACCCGTGAGGAGGGAGAAGCGCAACATTATGCTCCTCTACCATCGGCATCATCATACCAATATCGTTACTCGAACCCGGCCGGTATGACTCGATCACATACTGAGTCAAACCACTTTACTGGGCTCGAATTGGTGTCCTTATACCCAATTCATTTCTACTTACCTCATCTTTTTCTAATTTCCGGTTTAATCCGGTTCGCTAAATATCTACGTTTTTTTAAGACTTGTTCATATTTTTTCCTACGCAAGTCTGCTCTGCTTTCTTATACTCTTGAAGATTTTGTCCGAGTCTTCAGCTTATAAGTATCTATATTCGTAACCACCTGGTTGTGTTCGGTTTGTCGAAAATTCTCGAGATTTTTTAGTTCTTTGATTGGATTGTACGGCGAAATTTGGAGTTCTTGGTTACGCACGTAAACTGTTCGATGAAAGTCCTGAACCAGACTTTTTTTGGAGGTATTGAAGCTCTTATTATGCCTCAGGTTCATGTAAACACCATTGTTACTTGATATAAATAGTTTGATTGTTATTGTATATGCAAAATGCAACAAAGTCAAAGCTTAGAAGAAAGGTTTTTTATTTTATGAATTTAGCTGTTAAAAGTTGTGGTTTCTTGGAATGTTCTGCTTTCTTCTTCTGGTTATATAAACTTTATTTATTATGTAAGAGGTTAAATCGAGAGTCATACTATTTAAAGAAGTAGGAAATTGAATCTGAATCTCCATTCATAAGAGTTTTTTTTTGTATTCCTTTTTAAAGATTGAAGAAAGTTCGTGCCTCCTCTGCCATTTAAATATAGCGGAGAGACTTTCCTGGAAAATGTGGAATCAAACCAAAGTCTACCCTTCTCTTTTCACCTTCTTCTTTGTATAAAGTCTTCAAGCTTCTTCTCCTCGACCATTATCCAACAAAGAATTCAATTTTCCAAGGTACACACGTTTTCTCCTCAATCCTCTCTATTGTTACTCGCTATACTTTTGCTCTTGTTGACTTTTCTTGTTCCTAGAATCCGATAAAGTCTGGTTTTTTGTTTTACCCTTTTGAGCAGGAAAGTGATTGTGATGGATAGTGAAACTATAGCTGAACAGATCCCTTTATTGGAAGGAGAGACTGACAATTACGATGGTGTTACTGTAACCATGAAGGACCCCATGGATGCTCAGGTTTTCACCGATAGCCTAAAGGCTTCCCTTTCCCATTGGAAAGAGCAGGTATTGAGCAATTTTGAACTCAGATTTCAAATGTTTCTTTTCAGTTTCTTAGTGAGGGTTTTTTTATTTGCAGGGGAAGAAGGGAATATGGATAAAGCTGCCTCTTAACTGTGCTAATCTTGTAGAGGCTGCAGTTAGTGTAAGTGGATGTTTTGACTTTGTAAGAGGTTTATATGATCATAATGGTGAATTGGTGTGATTATTCTTCAGGAAGGGTTTAGGTATCACCACGCGGAGCCTGATTACTTGATGCTTGTAACTTGGATCTCTCAGACTCCTGATACAATCCCAGCCAATGCTTCTCATATCGTTGGCATCGGTGCTTTGGTCTTCAACAACACGACTGGAGAGGTAAACCACAATTTATCAATCCTCCAGGGACTGAACAAGACAAGTTATTGTCTCTGTTTATTTTTCTTTTCTCAATGTTACTTTGACTGAATCTTGATGAAACACTTGAATGAGTGCAGGTCCTCGTTGTCCAGGAAAGGACTGGTTATTTCAAAGATAAAAATGTGTGGAAGCTACCTACCGGTGTTGTCGACGAGGTGATTTTACATCAGACTATTTTTGTTATCTTGTCATCTTTGTTGTCTCCATAATGTAGTTTCCATCATGAAGAGTCTAGCTTTAAAACGAGTTGAGTTTGAGTTAAGAGTTTAGTATCTTTTAAGAAATGTAGAAATGTAATGGCTTAACTCTTAGTCTAGACTCTTAGCTATAGGTCTTACTTCTAGCCTAGAACTGAATGTAGATGTAGAAATTAGTGAGCGCTTGGCTTATAAAGGGTCTCAGCGTATTGTTTAGGAGAGTTGAGAGTCTCTTGTTAATCGAATCTATAGACTATAGTGCTTGGTGAATTGAATAAGAAAAGCTTTGTTTACAGCTTAACAGAACCATGAAGTTTTTTACAATAACTCAGATAAGTTTTCACACCATACAAATATGTGCATAGTGTCAAACATTGGTCCCTGGAAAGGTGATCGAGTTTGAAGCTAAAAGGAGATTGGCTGAAATGAAGTTGTGATTGTTTTTATTTTCTGCCTCTAACAAAAACTTTCCAAATTCACAGGGTGAGGATATTTGCACTGCAGTAGCTAGGGAAGTCAAAGAAGAAACTGGTGTATGTATCTCTTGCTTCCAGAAAATGATATCTTTTTACTTGCCACTCTAATCTAAAACCTGTTGTGTTGTTCTTCTTGTATTTTTTACTTCAGATTACTGCAGATTTTGTGGAAGTGTTGGCTTTCAGGTAAAATCTACGTTTCATTGCCTTGGAAACACTTTGATATTGTGGCTTACCGCATCAGTTCCTGATTGATTTACTCTTTTATACTCTCAGGCAAAGCCAGAAAGCATTCTTAAATCAGAAAACCGATTTGTTTTTCCTATGTTTCTTAACTCCACGCTCCTACGAAATCACCGAGCAAACATCTGAGATCTTGGATGCTAAGGTATAGCAATAAACACCTCTCTAACTTTCACTGTTGATGAGCCAAGAAAAAATGTTTAAAGTTAACTGAGCTTGGTATTGTGTGTGGTTTTAACAGTGGATGCCGATAAAAGAGTATGTAGACCAAGCATGGAACAAGAAGAACGAGATGTTCAAATTCATGGCTAACATCTGCCAGAAGAAGTGTGAGGAAGAATACTTGGGATTCTCCGCTGTGGAAACTAAGACAACATCTGGTAAGAAGAGCTTTATCTACTGCAATGCTGATCATGCGGATCATCTTGTAGCAATGCGTGACCAAGCCGCCTCCTCCTCCTCCTCCTCCACCTCCACTTTTCAATGAAAACATTCTCTTCTGATTACTGTTTGGATCTTAACGTTTGTGTTTTTTTCTTCTACATTGCTTTCTTCGGTCACGGATTTATTGCGTCTCTGTATTCAAATAATGTCAGCTTTTCTGAGTCAATGCATCACTTGGCACAATAAAAGAAAGGTAATTTAGATTACCTCAGATCGCTATCTCAGATGGCATGTCATCTGGATAGAACCCGACTACAGAGCTTCGGTGACCGAAGCTGTGGCCCAAACCTTTGGTCTGGTACAGAGGAGTACCTCTGGAACTTTTAGGCAAACTCCAACGAGACTTTCTCATCGGACAGAGAGGAGATCCAATCTCCAATCTTTTGTCGGGTACCAATTTTGTTGTTCGAACCCTGGTGCGACTCACTTTTTCATGCCGAGTCACAACCACTTTGCCTTGGTTCGAATTGGTGTCCGTACATCGATTTAATTCAGACTTAAATGATAATTTTGTAATTAACAATTGGAACTTAATTCCCGGTTTAATTCGGTTCGCCCAAAGATTTACCGCAATTAAGAGTTTAAGATCTATTATGTTGCGAATAAATGCATCTTCCACCTCAGAAATCAGAATCCTTCGTATCTTTGGACGCTAAGGTTGATCATTTGTTAGATCCATCAGTGGTAGATGATAAACCACCGTAAGATCATGGAGATATGATCATTTGTTTCTAAAAATCACATAAAAGCCAATTTAAATGAAATCGGAGAGACTAGATTTGTCAAGAGCGGCTTCACATTTCTAACAAAATTTTGCTCTCTTTTTTCAGATAAGTTTTCAAACAGTAAATTAACAAATTATGACGAAAATCTCGTGGTAACAGATATTTGGTAAATTAAAGAAAAAAAAAAAGAGGTAATTTGGATTACCTCATATCGCTACACAGAGAGGCATGATCTGATAATGAATCACCATCCCTCCTAGTTTCGCTTCCGACAAATCATTGGCGGGGAACGAGGAGAGAAATTCTCATTCACTCCAATCGGTACCAATATTGCTCGAACCCTCGTGGATGTTCACTCTTCAGTCGTCACCACATTGGCTGGGGTCGAATTGGTGACCGAATGCTATTTATTTATAGTTTATTGATTAGTATTTAAATTTCAAGGTGCTTTTTGCTTCTTATATGGGATCCAATAAAAATGTTCTTTGAAGTAAACGAAATCAAGATTTATTTGTTTCTATAGATACTGAATGGAAAATAATTACTTCTAGAAGTTGTACACAAACTGTTTAAAATATGTCATGTGTCTCTGAGTCTCTGGTCCACGTAGCTAATCAAACGAGACTTTGTTAAAGCCAGATGGGACCGATACTAAGAAAAGAACTACTCAAGTCTTCAACTGACTGCAAGTATAGTTCTCCGAAATTTTCGATCTTTCTTCTTCTCATGTGGTCCGAAATTCAAGTTGTGATATTATTTGATTATTTTCAGAATTTTTTTTTCTTTATATTTACTAATACTATTTTTGAAATGGTATTTATAAGTTTATGATAAATCTTGAAAGGTTTCAGAGAATCACTAAAAATCATACCATCAACATTATGATATTTATTATGTGGATGATAGAAAATATAAGTTGACTGACTAGATAGATCATAGACCAATAATTGATTATGTTATATTATTAGATGATAAATCCTGTTCTTTGTTTAATTTTTTTTTTTGTTCTTATAGAATGGTAATAGATTAGAAAACGTGAATACATTCAAAATAGTTTTCGAATTGATGATACAATTTGAACAATAATCAAAGCCATTTCTAGGTTGCAAATTCTTTTTTAATCATGCACACTTGAGGTTTGGTACTTAGACTGAGCATCTTTATCTTTTGTGCACAAGTTTCACAAACAGTCGGTAGATTTTTTATTAGAAAAATATCCCAAAGATATTTTGATTTCTGTTTCGCTTTTGTTTTTTTGTGTTTGCTTCTATGCATCACCAAATAATTGAGAAAAGCTTTATCGTTACTTTTACAATCTCTAATTTTGTCAATATCAAAAGGGGGTACGTGTACGTGTGTAGTAATACAGACCACTTGCTCAAATTTGGACCAGAGACAGCCGTTGATCCACCTGTTAATTTCTTTCTTTTTCCAAACAAATTCAAACCGTGTTTTTCAAGTGTTTGTCGCCGTGAATTATACTCTATATATACATCAAGAATTCACCATTGAAATTAAACAGAAACCAAATACTTTCATCACGACTTTCTCTTTAAACATTTTTCAAGAACAAGAAACAAAAAACTTGAAAAATATCGAGTTAATCATGGTTAGATCAGAATTAGGAAGGAGGAGATTTTTATCCGGAGCTGAGATGGCGCCGTCGTCGGTAGTTTCTCGCCGGAGTTGCGCAATGTCTCCGACACTAGAGACTATTTTCGAAGAAAGGTCCGATAGTTTTAATCATCAAGATTATCATTCAAAAGCCGTTGTGGGACAACGACACCGTCTCTTTCTTCTCGTTCCGGCGATCTTATCAGCCGTTTCTTGCGTTTTGTTGTATAGCCAGGAGCGTGTTGTTCGGTTTTCTTGAACATATTTTACATACATTCTTACATATGTATGTATCTCAAATTTTCAAAGTACGTAACTATGTATAAGCAGAAGAGTTCTCTATATAATCTCATGTCTCTATTCAACTCGTAGTGTGTTAATCAGTTTATTTGGTTTTCAAATATGAATTTTATAGCATGTTATGGATCTTTGGCCAATATAGTTCTTGAAACGATTTTTTAACATCACATTTTCTAGATAAATTTTTTAGTACTAACTCTTTTTTACCTAAAAGCAATGAGAGATTTTGTTATTAACAACACTTCCAAATTACAAACTAAAGGAGCAATCAATAGCCTTTGATAGTTTTGTACAAGACAAAGTACAAAAGCGTTGAGAGTAGAAGAGGGAGAAAGATCACAATCCGTTTTGGCGCCTTCACTGCAAAACTATCACATCCTTCTTCAAAGATCGTTTCCAGCTTAGGCTGCGAGATGGTTCTCGATAATCGCCTCTGCTGAATCCGATGAGATAGTACTGAAGATGTTACCTCTCCCCATGTTTGAATAAACCTCATTTCATTCGCCATTGATGCAGTTTTTTTAAGAGTGTTGTTATGAAAGGAGAAGTTTTGTTGTTTTGAAATGAGCAGAGGACAGAAATACTTGATTGTTTAATTAGTGGATGGCAACAAAGGAAGAGTATATATAGAGAAGATTAGAAGACTTTTTAAGGTTATTATACAAAAATGGGAAAATGTCAATATCCAAAAAAAAAAAAATCAAGACAATGACGTGTTAATCTCAAACATATCCAGAAGAACTAATTCTTGTGCTAAATTTAGAGGTTCTAGAACGTAAAGAAAAACAGTTTATGATATTTACATCCGGAATTTGTTAACAAAAAAAAAGATATACATGCCCCCAACAATTCAGTTGTACTATTTTAGGTGGAATTTCTAACAACAAACTCTAGTTCTTAAAATTAGAGATAAGCTGTATTATTCAATTCGTTATAACGTTTTGGTGTGATATAGAATTTGTTACATCAATAATTTATCTTTATCTTTTTTTGGGACGAAATTTGTTTCCATCTAAGTTTAGCGAATAAAGCTTTAAAGATTTTCTTTCTGTTTTCTTGTTTCTCCAACTTCGATGGACATTTATATATTTGTCAGCTATGTTTCAAAGTAAATGAAAAATATGTTATTAACAATGATATAGTTTTTTTATCATAAAAAATATATAGTTTATATCATTTAAAATGGAAATGGTTAGGAAAATGTGATAAGTGATCTCTAAAGAATAAATTAAATTAAATTAAATTATAAAAAAAAAATGAAAGATGAAAGAAAAACAAAAATCACTTTTTTTTTCAAGTGAAATAAATCATGAACCGATATGAAAGAATGAAAATCAAGAAATAAAATAGACATAAGAGAGAACTTAATTTATTTTTAGTTTTGAAAGCCTTTTGGTCAACAAAAAAAGAAAGAACTTAAAAAATAAAGTTAGTGAAGTCATATTTTTACAAGAGAAAGCACAAAACAAATCGGAAAAATGGAAATTAGGGATTTTGGTTTAAATCCGAAGAACAATTTGATCAATTATGGGTTTATAATTGTACGATTGCAAAAACAAAAATCTCATCGTGGGAAAGAAACCTGAAACTCTCCTTCAATGGCGGAAGAAGAGAAGCCAACTCCACCGGAACTTCCTCTTCCTTCTCCGCATCAATCTCCATCACAACCCGAACATCCGCCGCCGGAAACGTCTACTCCTCCGGCTAATTTCGATCCTAGTCGAAGTAATTCTCTAATTTCCCCTTTCTTCTGCAATAGCAAATTGATTTCTAGGGTTTGCGTTCGACTTCCTAGCTTATACTGAGTTATACCCTTGTGATAATCTCTTTACTTATCTTCCTTCAATCACACTGATATGCTCTAATTCCGAATCCCCAATTTCGTCTCCGCCATTGCTAATCATACCCGAAGCTCGCATAAACACTATAATCTAGAACCTGCATAATCACGAAGTGTTGAGAGAGATAGAGAGTCAATCATCGATGGTTAGTGAGATTAGAGCTGCAATTCATGTAAACATTCACTCTGTTACTTAGTTTCACTATACAGATTCTCAGTCTGCATTCTGCAAGTATGTGTATGGATATATGTACATATGAACTATGATCAATATCTTCAGGATGAGTCGTTATACACTCTTTCACGATCCTGCTTATGTTGTTGTTCTGATCTTGATTCACTAGCTGCTTGATGTGTTTTGCTTCTTTAAGTTATCTGCATTGTGATGATATGTGTTATCTGGTTGTTGGCTGTTTTATCTAACCAAACGCTTCGTTTCCATTGTTTTGAAAGTGATTGGAATCATCAAAAGGAAGGCTTTGATCAAGGATTTAGCTGCAGCTTACCACACGGAGTGTGTTGCTTATTGCCGAGAACTTCTGGAGCTCCAAAAGAGAAAGGAAGAGGTCAGAAATCAATCTCCTTTTCTATTCAATTGTCAATCACATTCTTACTTCATATGTTATCCATTGTTTGTATGAACTGTTAAGTTGTACAATGCACACATTGTTACTCTGTAAATGTAAAACAAATCAAGCATGAAACTTGTGACATAACCTAAGGATCCAAAGAATGTTCTTACAAGTTGGGATTAAGATTGTTATAATTTGGAACCATATCTGTGAAACTCAGTGATAAAACTAACCGTGGTTTATGCTAAACCGGTTTCTCATTGAGTGATTTTGTTTTCTTGCAGCCGTTTCTGGACACAAAAGCTCAAGATGATCTGAGAAAAGAGACGTTGAGGTCTTCTTCCAAACGAGCTAAGAAAATTAAAAGATAAAAATAACGTGCATGATGCTTAATTCTACGATGTTTGTTCATAGATTGGTTCTCATATTCAAGGTGAAGTGAAAAAAAAAGTTGAAACCTTTATTTTGATTATCTAAATTAGAGATACAGTATTATTTACACAGATGCAAAATTATAATCACCCTTTCTAAAAACATCCTCTACCGAGCGAAAATCCGGTAAACCGGTCTGAGACAATCAACCGCAGCAACCGCCTGATGCTTAGCCTTCAAACAGAATCTCTGAAACCAGTTCGTGTCAGGAGCAGAGACGACCATTGAAGATTGAAGGTACATGGAAGCTGCTCTTTTCACGAGCTCGTTTCTGATGGCGATGTTGGAAGAATCCATCTCGGACAAGAGAAACCCTTCCTGTGACGAAGGAACAGACTGGTTGTGGTGACAAAACAACGAACCGAATCCATCGGAACTCGAGATCACATCTTTCAAGCTCGTGTACCGGAGATTGTTGTGATCATTGTCGTCGGAGAGAAAGAGGAAGGGTGGTTTTTGCAACATTTGGAAACCTTGTCTCCATATTCGTTAGTAAAACTTAAATTGTTGGCAAGCTGGTGAATTTAATATCTTCCCCTGTTTTAGTGATCCCTTCTATTTAGCCACAATTATCGGAAAGACCCTAAATTTTGTGGAGTTTCCACTTTTAGAGACCATATAATGGTATGCGGGCATTAAACCACACCGAGCCAGACTTAACCGAAATTCAACCAAACTTTGATTAGAACGGAAATGATTTTCTTAACCAAATTGAAACCACTTTAGTGTGACTTAACAAAACCAGCGTTTGCCGTTTTAGCGACATCAGACATGTCTTTTAAATTACGGCCCGAAAGATATAGATATATGTTGGGCCTTTAGTTTATCCATAATGTGATATAAATTGTAACACATTTTTAGTCTGCTTTAATTATTGTTTTAAACCTTGATGTAAACATGACTTTGAACTCACTTTAGCCAAAACAAACTAAACATGCTATGTATATATTTAAATATGTGTTGCAACAAATGTATGGGTGTATGTTGTGGTCCTTAATTCTATGATTGTCTGAAAGATAAATAACCAATAAAAAATCAAGTTTAGTTCCTAGAGTAGTTTGAATTAGTTTACATGTAACTGGTAGTAATAAATTAATTAGACTTAATCTAATTATAGAAAGGTATATACCTCTGAGTGGACCTATCTTTCAAATCACAATTAGGGTTTATTCCTTATAGAGCATATGGAAGCTTAATGGACAAAATTAATGATGAGTCATGAACCCACTAGGTTTCATTAATGGTGCATTTTAAAAGGACATTAACTTCACATATATATACTACTATTTTAGTATTGTATTCTCTCGATTAATTCACTTCACTTTTTTTTTTTGATAAAGGGTTTATTAATTCACTTCACTTGACCCAATCTTTGAGAAAATCTTTTTAATAGATTATTTGGTTTCGTAATTTTCTTGTTTGTTATGTTTACTCAGTATACGAAATTTAACTTATACTATTGCATATAGAAATCAATTTTCACGGTTTTTTATTTACACGATTTTAACTTGTTGGTGCGGTGGTGCCGTGTATATAAGTTGAATATTTCTCAAATAAACCACAGAACAAAAAAAAAAAAAAATGGCGTGGAAACATAGTTAACTACGTTTGTAGAATCCTTATTTCAGTTGTTCAATTATTAATTTAAATAGTTGAGTACTATTTTACTTCCAATGGCTTAAAGGTTTGACCCAAAAAAGTAGATCGTACTAAAACCTAAGTGCTTGAATTTTAAATACTTTGTACATGCATCTATTATTCTAGTCACGACTGTAAAATGCAAATATTTTAGAGGTTGATATATAGACTGAATTAGTTATATTTTTCCGGTAAAATGACTGAGTGAGCTAAATTAGTTATAGCCTATAGGAAAGGAAACATTATCGGGACGGGGTCGACTCTTGATCAAGAAGAAGAGTGGCCTAAGCTAGGGATTTCCATTGCACATAATGGAAGGGTGTTTAGGGCATCTTCAACAAGCCCTCAAAATTTGAGGGGAAGCAAAACCTCATTTTAAGGATTTGAGGGTAGTTTGCTCCAACAATGAATCCTCAAAAAAATCTTTAACTGTTGTTTAATTTGCAATATAGTCCTTAATATTAACAAACATTACTAATGATAATAAAAATTCATAAATAAATTTAAAACACATTTGATATATAATTATTTATTATACTATTAGACAACACACCATATTTCACAATAATAGTGATATAATAATAAAAATTACATAAATAATAATGTAAAATATGAAATATTTTGGTACTATTTGTAAAATATGTAATATTTATGTGTTATGTAATTTGCTTTAATTTGTGTTAAGTTTCTTTAATCTATTTTTTATTTTTGTGTAAACTTTTTAAATGTATTTTCTTTTGAGTGAACTTTGGTTTTTAGGTAACATTTATTCTATTTTATTTTTATATGTTTAATTTTGTTCAAACTAAAGTTTAGTATAACTAATTGTGAAAAACCATAAATATAAGGACCAAATAGAAAGAGAAAATAAGTTTTGAGGTTTTGAATAGTGAAACCTCAAATTTAAGGTTTCACTATTCAAAACCTCAAAATTTGAGGATTTGAGGGTTTGTTGGAATGCTCAAAACCTCAAAATTTGAGGATTTGAGGGCTTGTTGGAGATGTCCTTATGTCTCCTCAAGTGAGAGAGTCTGCGTCATTATTTATTTGTGGCTGTGGGGCCTGCGTTCGCGCGGCCCCTTTAAAAAAATAATAATAATAAAAAATAAAAAATAAACATTATAAATAAATAAGTGAAAAAATGGGTTTTGTATTTGCTTCCAGTCACGGCTACTTAATCTAAAATGCAGCTAGTCATTGATGATCCTCATGATCTAGATATGAAGATCGAAGTTCTTTTTTGTCAAACATAAGAAGTCGTTATCATTGATTTTTTTTCTTCCCTTCTGTATGTATATGTATAAAATAGTAAAACAAGTGAAGCGTGTGAACAAGGTCTTCGTATAAGATGATTTATACATGTTCATCTCATCATCTTGGCAATATTCAAACTTTTAAATCTCACCATAAAGACAAATTAACGTATAACAGACTCGTAGAAACATTCGGATTTAAAAAGATTGAACCCATCTTAGCTTTTTAAAGAAAAATGATGATACATATTTCTTCTTATAAAGGATTTTCAAATGATAATATGTTGTAATTCGAGTTCTGGTGTCTATACATTTATTAGTGATTATACTACCTAGCATATATTATATATGTTTTTTTTTCTTTCTTAATTAGAAGATGCACGGTGTGTTTGATAGTAATATTGACTAGCTGCATTTTAATCGTCCTTTTTGGGGTTGCTACAAAATGTAATTTATGTAGTGGCTGAATAGTTAAATTACAAAAGGTGTAATAAAGTAGTGATATATTTTATTTTTGTGCAAGGCAGTACGTAAAGGCACATAGTTGCAATGACCAGGAAATAGTACATGTGCAATAAAAGGCTGTTTATAAAATCATAACATCACATCACTAACTGTGGTCAAAACAGTACCACTACAATACAATCTAGTAAAGATTCAGATCCATGCATTATTTTCATATTATAGTTTTTCTTTAGTTTAATTAGTACCTATACTTTAAATTCTTGAAATATACAGTATAAGATGTAAAACATAAAACGCATTAAACTGGTCTTATATGCGGATGTGATATTACGAAAAGAGATAGGCATATAGGCTATTACATTACAGTTTATATTTCAAGAATTCACATATTAGCTGGGAAAATATGTTGCATATTTTGATGTAATTATACTTAACAACGTACATTTTAGTAGCTGTTTAAATTAATACAAAATGCTGTCTTCTTCATTGAAGGTACCATCATAAAACAAAATATTCTTATAGTATATTCGTTTTTTATGTATATTATTTTTCTTATATTTAATTATCTTATCGTATTAGTTAAATGAACACGATGTATCTTTTCACAGTTATATTTAAGAATATTAATGTAGTTGGTATTTTGCAAACTTGAGGATATTGTACTGATAAACGTCTATATACATGCATGGACAAGTGTATGCATTAGTATTTAGCTTGCTGCATAAACAATTTTTTTTACCTGAATAGACATTTGTTCTTTTTATATTAATTAGTTCCTCAAAGGAAATTTTATGTTACAACAAAAATATTCATGATTATGAACATTTCAATATACATTATTGAGAAACAGAGCATGAATACGAGGTCCTAACTAATAAGTAGCATGATACTATACTATGATGTAAGAAGAAGAAATGAATAGCTACTAAATTTTTGCCCCCAAAAATAATAGCTACTGATTAAAAAAAAAAGTCTCCATTGCCAATAAAGTATTACACGTAATTATTAAGGTTGGTATTATAAACAACAAGAAGAAATGAGTAGCCACTCCATTACTAAACATATAAATCTCCATTGTCAATAAAAATAAAATCCTTGTACTGGTAATTAGGTTGGCAATAATAAAAAGGAAAAATAAAGTCAGACATAAGTTTTAGAACTTTGGTGTCCATATATAAGGATTGGAATTCATTATTAAAATAAAATTGGATTAGCAGAAGCAGAAAATTAAAAAATTTAAGTACGAAAAATATAAATAGAGAGTAAGCAGAAATTTGGGTGACCAAGAAGCAGACACGTGCAGTGGTCTGGTAAAGGTTACAGTGATCGAGAAGTCAGCAAGTGTCCGTTAATACAGCGACACGTGCTCTCGAGCCCGTCGTAAACCACTTGCTCTCTTTCCCTCACTTTGCTTCATTTATTCTTAATTACTCCTATTGAATTCCTCAAATCACATTAACTAATGCAAATTAAAGTTAATCAAATTGCGCGGATGCAAACAAATGTTTAATTCTTAAACTAAACTCTACTTGTTTTTTCCATGAAGTTCAAGTGATGTGATGTGGGTGGGATTCACATAGAATCAAGTATAAAAATATGGGTTTGCATATTTGACCCATATGATTAGCTAGTTAGGTGAAAACGAAATATAGATTTTTTTTTTGTAAGAAAGTAAAAATATAGTTCTCGTGCTTCCTTAACCATCATTTTCCCGTGAGCTTAGCAATTTCTATTTTCATTTTAAGATTTTTGTTTCGATTATTTGCTTACTTCTTTCTTTCTTTTTTCTTTTTTCAAAAGATTATTTGCTTACTTCGATGTTTACTTATTTACATTAAAATGTTTTGACCTTCACATATCATACAATTATGATTGTATATTTACGTGTAAATATGAACACATGTGTTTATTTGCATAAACATTATATAATGTTTGGATGACATATCTTCATCAAATTTTGGACGAATCACTTAAGCTAATGTGTAGTAAAGTCTAGATACATTTTTGTAGAATCACATATATTTTAATTTAAGCGAATTACTAACCGCTAAATTTTAACGTAGTTCCTTTTTTAGTGTTTGCTAATTTTAACATAATTATTGGCATCTTAAATCAATTTTAAGAGTGTTTTAGATCCGTCTCTACCAAAGTTTCAAACAATTTGATGGATACAACCACAACTACACTGTATTTGGGATCTTGCAGAGAATTGTTCAGGATACTAAAAGACGCTAACTCTCTTTACCTAGTTGCTGAATCGGTGATCGGGTTTGGGACATGTAAGTTACTTTCACACAAAATATTTAGGAGGACAAGTTCCACCAGGTTTTTCAAATTCTCACATATTCATGTGTATATCTTTTACATATTGATCTTGTATCTTTCGGACATGCCAGAAAATGACAAGATCGAGCTAGTTCACTCACAGTCATTTATGGGAAGAAAATAAATATATATTACAAACTATGTAATTAACAGTCCTTATCTTCTAGCGTATGGGATTTTTTTTTTTTTTTTGTAGACCAATTTACACAAACGACCAAAAATGTAGGTGATGGTATTCAAATACTTTAGATTCATCTGATTTGATAAATCATCCGCTATACCATGTATACTAGTTGGGGAAAATAATTTTCTGTAATCTTTTGACTCCATCAAAAATGGATATAATTTCATCCTCTTTCTTTCGCTTTACCTTTCCAAAATCTCTCTCATTTTCAAAGAACAATCATATATTTTTCTGTAATCATAAATTCATTTTCTAAAAATTGAACGTTCTAATTTAAAAAATACGCATTTTGAAGAGTTCATTTTCAAAATTACATTTCTAAGGTATTAATTTTCAAAACTATACATTCTCATTAAATAAATATAATATAAAACCAGAATCTAAACTTTAAACCCTAATAAAAGATTTTGTGAACTTCAACTTATATAGATATACTAAAAAGTGTAGTTTTAAATATGGCTTAAAAGTGGTGTAATCTTTAAAACTGACACATAAAGAAAATTATTTTGAGAAATTTATCGTCACATTATCACTTTCTTTCTTCCGATTAGCCATAATCTTGTGGCCAAAATACTGATTTAAACGATGATAATTTTGAAAAACATTATAATTTTGAACTTTCACGAGTCTCTTTTTATTTTAAGAAGATTAACCCTTAAACGAACTGACGTACATCAACGATTTTTCCACGACACATGATTCAAGCATAAATTTAACAATGGGCCTGATTGGTTGTATCTGTAGTTTTGGATGTTTTGCTATATAATTTATGTTGTAGTTTTTTTTTGTTGTGGCTGTAGATTTTAGTGCTGTAAATTTGAAAAACATCATAATTTTGAACTTTCACGAGTCTCTTTTTATTTTAAGAAGATGTACCCTTAAACGAGCCGACATACATCAACGATTTTTCCACGACACATAATTTAAGCATAAATTTAACAATGGGCCTGACTGGTTGTGTTTGTAGCTTTGGATTTTTTTGCTGTAATTTTTTTTGTTGTGGCTGTAGATTTTAGTGCTGCAGAATTAATGTTATAAATATTTTTTTATAAAATATTATAAATGTAGCATTAAAAATAAATAAAAGAGATATAGGAAAGAAATATTTAAAATGGAATATAGAGAATGAGATTAAGCAATGAGAAGAGAGAATTCTCAGAGTTCTTAAATTTGTGTTCTGAAAAATCTGCTCTCCAGAGTCAACATATTTTCATATTTAAAATTATGGCTCTGAACTTAAAAAATGGAATCAAAGCTTGATTGATTTAACACTAGTGCTCTAGAAAAAATTATTGCTTCACACAGCACTCAGAGCACTTACCAATCACGCCCAATATGTATGGTATATATGCTCTCAATTTTATTTAAAATGATTGGTAAATGTAAATTTCTTGTGTTATAAATGCCAAAAGAGACAAAAATTGTCTGTTCAACTTTAAATTTCAGAGCAATTAAACCATTTTCACATTTAAAAAAAACAATAAAAATCGAATTTAAATCATAAATATTATACGAAGGATTATAATTTACTTCAGATATTTTTGTATAGAATTGTGGCAATTCAGTGAAAAAGTCATGAACCAAGGGGCATAAATGGTAATCCGCATGAAAGACTGGTTTGCTCCCAATCTCTCTCTCTCTCTCCATCTGATCATCACTCCTTTAAATCACCATCAAAGAAATTCCAATTTTCTCGGATTTTATTTCTATTTTTTTTCTTACAATCCCTAAAACCCTAGTATCCCTCTTTCAGGTCACCTACTAAACTCAGCTCAAAGCTCAAGCTCCTCTGTTCTTGTAAGTCTCAAACTCTCTTACTCCAAAGTTTCGATTTTTTCCCGAAAAAAAAGAAATCTGAATTTTGGTGTGTTTCCAAACTTGATTCGCAAAAAAAAAAACCCAATTCTAGATCTACGAATTTGATTTCCTTATCAGAATTTCTAATCCAGGAAACAAAATTCAGTTTTGAAAGAAGTATATTTGGTCCTAATATGTTTTGTCATACAATCAAGCAAGAGCTTGACACCTGTTTCATCTAGAGTCCAACGATCTGCATAGAATCCAGAAACACAGCAATAATGATCCCTTTAGGAATTTTTTTTTTAAAATTAATTTATTTTCTTGTTGGTAACTAAGAAACAACCTCAATTTATTATTTTTCTTTTCGTATTTAGAAACACCACCAAATCTTTACATAGAGAAGCTTAATAAACCACTGAACTCGATTTCTGCATTTTTAAAGTCTCTCCATTGATATTCGCTTCAGCCGAAAGTTTGCTGCTTCAGTATCATTTCAGTAGCTTAATAATTTTATCATAGCTTCTGATCTTTTGCATCATCGAAGTAAATTAGATTTAAGATCATCTAAGTTTAAACCCCATTTAATGAAAATCATCTCTTTTTTTATATGTGTGTGTGTGTGTGTATATGTCAGATCTAAAAGAGTAGAACATAAATTCGAATCAGAATAACTGTAATCTTAAATATGTGTATATATATGATGAAATGAGAGTCATGTCGAGAAAGTAGATAAGGATGTAACATATACAACAACACATATATATATCTAGAGATTTGTTCTTATAATAAAGATTGTTTCTTTGTCTTTGTTTCATCTTTTCTTATTGCAGGCTGCTTGTGGCTGAGATTGAATTGCTTTTGATGACTCTGCAGCAGCTGCAGCAGACAAAGCTTAAACGAAGCTGTATCTACTGACTTTGATGGTGAAATATCAAAAACCCTAAATTAAAAACACAAACTTTTTAGTTCTTTTTTTTTTTTTTTCTGGTTTTTCCTCTGAGGGTTTTTCATCATCAATGCTTACAAAGTACAGTGGGTAAACAAAAAAAGAAAAGCTTTTTTTTTTATTTTATAGAAAAACCCAATTTTCTCTTCTTCTTTAAATCCCAAGACAAACACCCACAGAAGAAAAAATCGAAACTTTTCGATTTTTTAATTTGGGGGAAAAAAAACCCTAAATTTTTTGGGAGGGGTTTTAGGCAATGAGATTGTTGGTGAGATGTTTCCGAAGATCGGAGATGATGAAATGATTGGAGATCTGATGAAGAATAACAATGGAGACGTCGTGGATAACGGGAACAACAACCGGTTAAGCCGGTGGCATCACAATTCTTCTCGGATAATTAGGGTTTCGAGAGCTTCCGGCGGCAAAGACCGTCACAGCAAGGTCTGGACTTCGAAAGGCCCGCGTGACCGGCGTGTCCGGTTATCGGTCTCCACCGCTCTTCAATTCTACGACCTCCAGGACCGGTTAGGTTACGATCAGCCGAGCAAAGCCGTCGAGTGGCTGATCAAAGCGGCGGAGGATTCAATCTCCGAGCTTCCTTCGCTCAACAACACGAATTTCCCGACGACCGATGACGAGAATCAGAACCAGACATTGACGGCTGCCGCCGCTGCGAACTCCTTGTCTAAATCGGCTTGCAGCAGCAATTCGGACACGAGCAAGAACTCTTCCGGTCTTTCTCTCTCGAGATCGGAGCTCAGGGATAAAGCGAGAGAGAGAGCGAGAGAGAGAACGGCGAAAGAGACCAAGGAGAGAGATCACAGCCACCACACCACTTCGTTCACCGATCTGTTGAATTCCGGTTCGGATCCGGTTAACCAAAACCGGCAATGGATGGCGGCTCCTCCTTCTTCGTCTCCTTCAGCTCCGATGGAGTATTTCAGCTCGGGTCTTATTCTCGGGTCGGGTCAAACCCATTTCCCGATGCAGACAAACTCTCATCATTTCTCGTCCATCTCCGATCATCACCAGCATCATCCTCATCAAGAGTTTTCCTTCGTTCCCGACCATATGATTTCTCCGGCAGGATCCAACGGCGGTGGAGCATTCAATCTCGACTTCAACATGTCGACGCCCTCCGGCGGCGCCGGAACCGCCGTGGCCTCCGCGGGGTTCAGTGGTTTCAACAGGGGGACCCTTCAGTCCAATTCAACAAACAATCATCATCATCATCAGTCTTTTCTCGCTAATCTGCAGAGGTTTCCATCGACGGAAGGTGGAGGAGCTCCACAGTTCTTGTTCGGTGCAATGCCTGCAGAGAATCACCAGCACAACCACAATCACCAGTTTCAGCTTTACTATGAAAACGGATGCAGAAACTCAGACCAAAAAGGCAAAGGCAAGAACTGATTGATGTTGATGATACGTTATTTTACCATTTGCATCTTTGTTTAAGTTTCTATATTTATTTTTGCTTCATTCACCCAAATGTCAATCTTTTGATCATCAATCATCCTTAATGTGTGTTAAATTTGTTTAGTTTTTTTTTTTTTTTTTTTTTTTTTTTTTTTTTTTTTGATTTGAGAGTCTAATTTGGAAGTTTTTTTCAAATTGGGATTTGTATTTTGTAATGTTGTTGTATTGTGATAAAAGCATTTTGTTTGTGGCTTCATGATTCATTTTTAAGCATGTGTATCGGTTTTTATTATTTTGGGCATTAAAGTTTAATTTTTATTTTCAGTTAAATTGTTATAGTACGAAGATGCTATTTCTTGGTATTCATGAACAAGGGATAGGTCAAGGCGATAGGGCGATCCTTTTAAGGATACTAGATTGAATCAAATCAAATATCAGAATTCAGAAGAAGGAACAAAAAAAAAAACAGAAATTAAGTGAAAAGACAGGTAACTTTGAAAAATTAAAAGAAGAAAAGATACACATTAATAAGATAAAATGAATAAGTATGATAGATAGATGAAAGTATGAAACTGAAAATTTAGGGTAATACTCATTTATGCATTGAAGAGAGTGAAATTAAAATTATTTGTCTCCTGTTGTGCTCTCTGTTTGGTTCCCTTCTTCCTTAGCATCATCTCTCTCTCTATGTACTGTATTAACTGTATTATATCCGTATGTATATATAATATGTGAATATATCTTCCCCACTTGACAGCTGTTGTCCTCAAGACTTCAACAATGGCTATTCCCAAATTTTCATAATTTTTGGTCTGATCTGTTTTTTATTATTTTATTGTTTATCATAACTTTTTTCTTTCATGGGCTACTTGATCTTCTGCACCCACATGGCTAACCCATCTTTTAGGGTACTAGACAAAGTATTATTAAATTCATTCTTTTAGTTGTTTATATTTATATTCTAGAAAGCTTAACTTTAGTGTGGTTTTTGGATTTAGAGAAAAGTCGTTTCACTTGTGTTTCATGTGTTTTTGAGGCTTTATGCCGAAAACAAAAGGATATGTTAAAGTAAACTTTTCCAAATTAGAGAGAAATACAATATCTTGAAAACATTTGCTTGAAAGAAACATTATAGAGGCCTCAGCATTTTTTAAAATATAATAGAGATAACAAAAGTTATTGTTCCGAATAATTTTTTTGTAACCGTGCAATGGACAAATGTCTGCTGATAAATAATCTTATCGAACTGCTATCGTTTCTGACTTCATAAATAATTTCAGAGTTTGTTTGTATATATATCAACACGTGTGTACTGTAGGAATTTTTGTTGTTCTTGGCTAAGTTGTTAGTTGAGTATAGGATTTTTTGATATCGTCTTGGTTCATCTTATTTAGCGCACACTTTCCGAATTAATTAGTCTTCTCTCTGTCTCTTCTGAATGAAGAGAGTCAAATGGTCCATATTATTTATTACGATATGAAGATTCTGTAAGTTGTTTTATCACGTTTACAATGATCTCAAGATAGAAGCAAGCCGTCAAGAAGGAAAAAAGAGGGTTAGTATCAAAAAACTTTGCCAGCCGTTGTTAATGGCCTTGTTGTTGTTACTTATTATCAAAATCCGATTTTTACTAGACATGCTATTAATTTCTTTTTATTTACCGTGAAATTAACATAAGCCTCTAGAAGAACCTTGGCCCATCTAAACGACATATCTTTTTGTTTTGCTTACAACAGTTCTTGTAAGAAAAGCCCAACATAAAAGCCGCATTTTGATTTTTGTTAGACCCATTTGAGTTTTCTTACATGAGTTTTGTTGTCTGAAAGAGTTCAGAGACATATTTCTTCATTCTTTTGGTAATTAGCTCTTGTGGATTGTGGTTATATATGCAAATCTGTTATAACTGGAGACTCTTTCGATCGAACTGAATATTGGACTCAAGTGAACCGAAAAGGATAAGGCCTTATAACATTCGTTTAAGAGCCCCAAACCCTAACCTCTCTTTGAGAGAGTCACTACTAAATGTTAGCTTTTGATCGTAGGTCACAAAATACGTACAAAAATGAAATAGTAGAAACTTAACGTTAAACTGCCATAATTGTTGTCATAAAAGCAAAGTGACTGTGATTCATAAAATTATTTAAATGGGAAAAAATTACAAAAGAGTAAATATAGATAGTTGATAATTTGAAACTCATAATAGGATGTATCGATCCTTTGGATAGACCTAACCATCGTTTTTACTTTTTTTGTCACCTTTATTTCATTTGGAACTAAACAGTTTTATTTAGGCTCTATGGAATAAATATGTCATTTTCTACGTTTGTGTATAATATATTCCGTGCTTTACTTCTTTTGGGAGAAAAAGCCTTAATGTTCGGAAAACCTTTAATCATATTGTTTCTTTTATATCTCTCTACAAGCCTTCAAGTACCTATTATCGTGTCTCCTTTCGTTTGTTTTATTTACAGCACAATGAGAAGTCCGTGATTTTGTTTTGTTTAAAAAAGAAAAAGTCTCTTTTGATCTAGCTTTATATTAATAATCAATCAAACTTATTCATGAATAATAAAAAACCTTGTTAAGGGAAGAAGATTATGCTTATCTTTCGTTTCTTATAAGTTTGATGATCTTATGTTTATAAAAGTTATAGCAAAGAAAATTAGATGAATCGTTTGCAACGATAACTAATGGGTGTTTGTTTGAGAGCTAAGCAATGCCTAACCCTAAGCGTAAGCTATGCTTGAATCATAAAATGTCACCATAAAGTGAAAGCGACAAATTAAGTTTCGTTAGAGAACATGTTCTTAATCTTTCTTTAGTGAATTTAAAGTTATGGATAATCTGATAAATGATAATCATAACTTTATTCGTCAGCAGATCATTTGATTACGTTGAAAGGGCAAAATTCACTATAAAAAGATATCTGATAAACCTAAAGCAAGATCTTCTTAATCAACTCAAGTCATTGCTACTAAGTACTAACATTATGAAATTTGTTTTATCGAACATAATAAACGTTTGTTATTATTTTTATTTTTTTAAAGAAGCAGTGTTTGTGACATACATACTGCATTATTATTACTCAGTGTCCACTAAAAATATCATAAGTAATTATGATAATGTTGTCAAAAGTTGGCTTCCATTTAAAGGGTACAATTATTTCATCCTAATCACAACTTTTTGCCTGCCCGAAAGTAAACAAGTGGGCTCTTTCTTGTTCAAGTATCCAATATCCTTCAAACAGACCAAACATGTATATTTCATAATTATATGATATGGATATGTAACCAGTGCGAAGTGGGATATAAAAATATCATTTCCTTGATATTATGGCATTGTTTTTAGAAGTTGGCACACATTGCTATCTATTCTAATATATGAATGAAAGGGTTGATGAAACATAGTAACTTTTTAGGTGCACTCCGCACACACTGACACAGACACACATGACGATACATGTTTCAACAAGCGTCGTTGGTTTTAGACCAAGTTGCATTTCGTTTGGGTTTTGAAATAAATTGATCCACTGAAAGTGCAAAACATTTATTTCAACTATTGAGTTTCAATACGTACTGAAAAACAAATACTAGAATCAAACAAAATTAAGTTATGTGCGAAATGTAATAATGTAATTTACATTGCTCAATTTTATATTATATATATAAATAACTTGGGAGAAGTGTATACAAATACAAGGAGAAGTAACTGTAACTCTTACCTACAAATAATATTTACATAATAATGAAAGAAAAGGGCAATAGAGGAAGACTTTATAACTTATAAGACAGAAACTTGCTCCTTACACGATCGCTATTTGCTATGCGAGCTGAAAATAAAAACCAGCCAGCGAGTTACGGTTTCTGGTCTCTCCGATCAGCCGGATTCGAAGCTGAGTTGTTCATAGATCTTCTTCACCATCACCAGATAGCCAGAGTGACAAGACCATAGTGAATCAGGGATTGGCAAAACTCATCTTATGCATTGTAGCCTCTCTTTTCAAAACCCTTGTGATTCACCTACAAAACAAGCAAGAGCAACAACAATGAGGTTCTTTGTCCTCTTGGAAACCCAAACAAAAAAATAAAAATCCAATCTTTAGTGTCAATTAGTGATCAATGCTTAATAACATAATCATCAACTACAAATTGATGTTTTGATGATAAGCTGATTCCTAGAACCAACAAACCAATTCCTCACAATTCGATCCTGAAAATTACGTCTTAAACAGAGCATTTTCGTGCAATCATACCTCAGATCAGACTCGAAATCCTTCAAGCTTTTTTAGAACGAATTCATTTCAAGGCAGTAAGTCCTTCTCTTAACCAGCATCTTCGCAGCAATCCCATAAGGCTCATCGAACGCAGAAGAAACCCAAGAGACATCACACACCTCCTTCTTCGACTCGCTGGGTCTTATCGCCACCAGTGTAGCTCCCTTCAACACCGTCCCGTCTGGCAATTCCAAAGTAGGAGCGTACCATAGCCTCATGTTGAGAGCAGGCACAAGCGTCCTCTTGGAAGCAGAAGAAGCTGACAGTGGCTTCACCCTCAATTCCTCTAACTGGTCTCTGTTCATGAAAAGCACTCCTTGCCCATCTGTATCCGTGAGCACTAGACTGTCAAGCGTCTTGTGCTCTGCGATGATTGGCTGCAGCAAGTAGTGCCTCGCGGAAGCAGCGATCAAAGAGCTGATCGTCCATACAACACGAAGCTTAAGCCCTCCGTTTGTGTAGAACGATTCCGGTATGCTTCCGTTGTCCTCCACCACCGTGTTGTTACTGCTGAGGCTAAGGTCAACGGAAGTATCCGGAGATTGCGGATTCGGATTCGGATCCTTCGTCGGATTCGCCTGGATCACAGAGGAGGCGCCGAGAATCACGCAATTCTCGAGTGTGGAGCCGAATTCAGCTCTCCACTTGAGTAAAACTCCGTCGTCTATCCCCAATTCGCCGCTGGGAAGCTCGATTCGGAGGAATCGGATCTCGTCGAAGTTTTTGAGAACCTGCGTAGGGGAATGGTGAGTGACGCCGCCTTGTTCGATCTCTCCGTCGTCTCCTCCTCCACTAATAGACAAAGAGGAAGAAGAAGATCCAGAAGAAGGAGACGACCGCTTCGTGCCGAGGAACTGTCCCAGAGCTTGTAACGGCTTGAAAATGCCGCCGAAAACGAGACGGAAGATTGCGGAGAAGGGACCGGCGGCGACAGATCGAGGCTTATCGGAAGAAAGGGAGGAGGATTCGTCGTCGGAGATGACGCAATCGACACGAACGACGACATTCTCGACCTGAGGAACGAGGGAATGGAACCTCTTGGAAACAACGCAGCAGCGACCAAGGGCCTTGACATCGCCGATCTTGTTGAAAACAAGTAGGAGGATGGAGTCGGGGAGGTAATCGAAGTGGTCGATCTCTAGGGTTTGGGGCTCCGGATGGATCCGAGAGAGCGGATCTGAGCGGAGAATTACGGCCATTGAGTAGCGAATTGGGAGATTTTTTCCGATTGAGAGATTGAGGAAGAAGAAGAATCAGATCTTCAAGAGAAGATAACGCATGGAGAGAGTTTTGTGGAGGGAGAGAGAGAGAGAGGAAAGGAATCTTCAAGAGAGAGAATGATATTAATGGAAGGAGAAATTTAGATCCACGAGTTTCTTTGTATTTTTTTTGTCCGTAGTTTGAAGAAGAAGATAAATTACATGATTAAGTAAAAGCGCGTGTGACGCTTGAGGGAGATTACAGAGAGATTTTTTTTTCTCATAATCAACAGAAATTTACAAGTTAATGACGGAGTTGTTTATCAGTTATAAACATAACTCTTCAATTAGAGAAATGTTTACAGTTGAAGAAACAGTGTAATCAGTGTGTAACGTAACTAACAATATAAAAAAACTAATAGTTGAGTTTTATATTGTGTGATTATTTGTTATCTACTGATCATATAATAACACAAATAATTGTGATGCTTCGTGGGTGTGTTCAATAATCAAATATATGATGAATAGATGAGAAGATACAGTTATATGGTTATTTTAAGCAAGATTATTCATGGCATGATCATATCATGGAGATGGAGTGTATTATTAATCTATGATTATAATATAGACAAGAAAATATTTTTGGACTTAGCTGTACCACATGATATAAGTCGTTAGGTCATTTGTTGAGAATGGATCGGATTTGTCTAGTGCTCTCTACTCTTTAGTCTACTCATTGGCCAATTCTTACTTTTTTTGATAACTCACTTTAATATATAGGTGATAAAAAGGAGAAATCAGATTCAAGTTTGTAGCATCAGATAGTGACAAGAATGGCCATAAACATATAGTGCGTAACCTTGAATGTATACACCAAATGATACAAATGAAAATTACAACTTTAGGACACGTAAATGGGGTTAAAGAGAGACAAGTCATGTGTTGAATCTAAAATGGCACACTATGTACAGAGCATTGATTAAGATCTGAATCAATCCTCTTGGATAGACTTAGCAGGGAAGTAACAAAACAAGACCGCACATATTGGTGTCACGTTCACGGTTCACGTCGTGTCATGTGTCCGTTCTTAGTCTGCACGCCCCGCCGTTTTTTACTTTGATCATTGACGTAAAAAAAACACCGCTGTCTGTCCGTACATATCATCATCAACTCACATTTTTTTTTGTTCTTGAGAGTTCAGATACAATGTCACATACTAGTAAACTACTGAAGCCCATACTTAACAAAGCAGTGATTAGTTTTGAAGGGATATGTATTCGTTTTGAAGGGATATATATGTATGGAAGTTTTTCTTGAAAAAGAATTTTATAAGTATAGAATATGGAGCATAATAATGAAATACAACAGAGAAACATGTGACTATTAAATGCAAAAGCAATAACATATAACTTGAAATCAGAGAAAATTTGCAAAAATTAATAATGAAACATCTAAGATTCTTCCGTCCTAAATAAATAATAGGCTTACATCATAATTCAAGAAAACAAAAATAAATCCAGCTATATATATGTAACACAAATTCCAGATCACTGTCTATTGGAGTATTATTTTTTCAGATATTTCTGTTTTGGTAATAATAAAGTTTATATATAAAAAAAATGGGAAACCTAACCAGTCATATGTCTGTGTTTGTAATAATCTGTATGTATTCGTGCAGAACACAAACACATACATATAATTTTCTTATAACCTCACAAAGGCATTTTAACAAAAAAAAACCTCACAAAGACACAATGATTAAGCATTGAATTAGCTGCAAAAGTATAGGCACAATTAGGCCCAAGACTTTTTCCTGAAACCGGCCGGATACCCAAACCAAAATACCTGGACTCAAACTGAAATCATATAAGACAATTTACCCGATGGGTAAAATATTTGAATATCCATAAATATCAGGTATTACCCGAGCCGAACATATACTCGATCGGATACCCGAATGACCCAAATTATAGGTGATATTTTATATCTTTTCGAATATTTTTAATAGTTTTCAGATATATTTCAATTTTTTATTTATTCATTTAAATTTTCATATTTTCAGATATTTTTGGGATTTTTGTGTATATTTTTCGAGATCTTGGATATATTTTTTGACTTTCCTATATATGTTTTTAGATTTTTGGGTTTTCCAATGGTAAATATCCGAACCCCAAATAATAACCAAAAATTAACCAGTCCTAAAATTATGGACCAAACAGACTCAAAACCAAAAATACCGACCCGATACCAAACCGAAACTCTTTAGGAACCCATATGAGTATATAAACTTCATATACCCGATAGATCGGAACCCGATTGGTTCCAGGTTCCAACCTCAACTCGACCCAAACACCTGAAATCCCAAGTCTAGCGACAATGATTACTCAACACTAAGAACCTAGAATGACTATTGAGTAAGTAAACTAAAATATTTACCGGAAAAAATTAACTGCAAAACAGATAGGGTTTCAAGCTCAGAGAATTAAGCAAACCTGATATTTAGAAAGTTAAAAAGTTATCAAAACAAAAGCATGCATTTTAGGGTAATCAAGAAAGATTCAATTAACACATTGTAAATAGATGCACCATGAATGTAATTCGACAAGTTTCTAAGCTCCAAAACTTCGTCAAAACTAATAGTAGAACAAAGGATAGACACTAGTACCATAACAATGAAATTTTCAATATTTTTTTTTGTTAAAGGGCTTGAAATTTTCAATAATTATTACTGCATTATCTAAAGTCAGCACGTATAATTTTATATAACCTAACACAATAATTATTATCAACGTATTGTGAGGATGTCATTTCCCAAGTTTTGAATGATTAAGTAACTAGAGTATATTGCAAAACAACCATAGAAAGAATGAACAACATTCAACCAAAATGCAAGTAATTAATCTGTTCACCAGACAAATCTTGTAATTAACATCGAGATTCAAATTGTCAAACAAACAACCATCGCTAAATGTTTTTTTTTCTTGTCCATTAATCATCAATGTATGATGCAAATGTGAGGATGTCATTTCACATGATAATGCAAAAAATATACATTCGAGATTCAAGGAAACTAGTAACATAACATGCATGAGTCTAAGTACATACATTAAACATAAATATCTACATGACCTTTATTCACAAAGAAGAGAACGAGTTTGAATAGTCACGTTAGAAAAAACACAATGATTAAAAGTCAAATGCATTGACGATGAGAACAGAGGAAGAAACAAGAAAAAAAAAGCAAGGGCGGGAAAAACAGAAAGTAGTCGAAGAACCTCAGTTAACATGCAAATGTAAGACAAACGACTTGGATATCAAGAAAACAAAACATTACAAACATACTAGTTGTTATACAAAGAAGATCATACGAACTGTGATAGCCACCTACATGTTAATTATAGTTTAGGAAAAAGATTGATTTATCAAGGTTGGTTCTTCATGGGGTTGGTTACATCATTTGTGACCAAAAGCAAAGAACATGTGCACCCAATAGGTAGATCAAATCAATCAGCTAATAATATTTTCAAGCAGTTAAAAGTTAAAACTAACATATCTATCAGAATAGAAAATTTGACTTCTATAAATGGAGTAAACTTAAGTAGACTTCTACTCATTATCAGGACGAACAAAGAAGAACAAGAAACGGTAGCTACAAGAAGAGGAGGGATATACAAGATCACACTCACAATTGTACACTTTAATAAAACTAAGCGCAAGTAAAAATTAGCATAAAGTGAAACAGGCATACATTTAATTAATAATCTGTAATTCAATAGACACAAAAGAACATAACTATTTACAAAAAAACATTCAACATAATTTTTCAGAGAAGAAATTTATAGAAAACCCCGCACGTAGAATATTAAAGACTTCGAGTTAGAAGTAAGTAGAACACCTCAAGCTCAGGGAATAGAGCATATTAACAATGGCTGCAAAATATTGGCTGATAATGACAGGGTTTCAAGCTCAGAGAATTAAGCTTATAAACAATGGCACCATTTGTTAGAGATTTAACATTTATCGATCTAAACCTATGTGAGAAAGAATGAGATAGACGAGCTAGGAAGAACAAGAAACAGAACAAGAACGGGGGAAAACAGAAAGTAATCGAGGAATCCCATATTTGATTCTCCTTGGTAACTAGTAACAATAAGATAAGTGTACAGTGACAATGAAATAATTGGGATTCAGCTACTTAAATGGCTTGATTTGATATCAATCTTTTTTAAAAGTTATCAAAACAAAAACATCAAGAAAGATTAAGTACACATTATAAATAAATGCACCAGAAATGTTATTCAATTAGTCAGTTTCCAAACTCCATCTAACACTAAGAGAATAAGGGATACACACTAGTACAATTACACGGACAGTTTCAATCATTGTTATTGCAAAAACTAAAGTCAGCACAATTTTGTAACCTAACACTATTATTAATACGAGGTCATCATTTCCCAAGTAGAGTATATTGAAAAACAATCATAGAAATAGAAATTGATGGACCTTTAATTTAAGATAAATATACAAGAACAAATATATTTTCAAGAAAGGTTAATCAATTTACCATACTAAGACTATTCCAACAATCAAAGAATCAAAATTCAATATGCTATCATCAGACCGGTTATGACAAAGAAAGAACAAGAGGTAGACATACATTCAACCAAAATGCAGGCAATCTGTTCACCAGAAAAATCTTATAATTCAAAACACAACAAAACTAACATCGAAACTCAAATTATCAAACAAAAAATCATCAATAAATGTTTTTTTCTTGTCCATTAAACATCAATGTGTGATGCAGAATGGTAGGAAACTACTACAATAACATGCATGAGTCTAACATACATTAAACATAGATATCTACATGACCTTTATGGCTTTATCGACAGAGAAGAGAATAAGTTTGGAATTTGCGAACCATGTTAGGAAAAATACAGTGATTAAAGTCAAATGCATTGATGATGAGAACAGAGGAAGAACAAGAAAAAAAGCAAGGG